CTCCCAGCCCAGCCCCCATCTCCCCCCCTCCACTTCTTCCCCTCCACTTCTTCCACCCCACCCCACCTCGTGGTTTTCTATGCCTCATCCTTTTCGAACCCCACCCCACCCCCCACCTCCCCCCAGGTTCGCCCGTGTCGCTGTGTGGTGTGCGGTCAGGAGAACGTCAAGGAGGGTCGCAACAACGACATCCGCTGCTGGTCCTGCAACAGTCACTTCTGCTACCTGTGCCGCAGCTGGCTCAGGAACAAGCCGGGGCTGCACTTCGGGGCGGGGCGGTGCAGGCAGCACTCGGATGACTGAGGAGGAGGAGGAGGAGGAGGGTGATGATGAGGAGGGTGTGTAGTTGAGCGGAAACAAGAGGAGGTGTGGTGTGTAATCGAAGGAAGGAGGTGCTGAAAGACGGCGTAGGAGTTTACAGGATACGGTGGTAGTAGTAGTAGTAATAGTAGTAGCGGTAGCGGTATCGTGAAACCCATGCGTGTGGATGTGGATGTGGATGTGTTAGATGCGGCATTACGGTAGGTTCTGTGCGCAAAGCGGAGCCGCACATGCACCGTGACAACGGAGAGAGAGGCCAAGGCCGTGGGAAGGCCGGGATGGGTGATGTGGTGAGGTCATGTGAAGGGACGTGTGTGTATTGGTAAAGATGCTAGTAGCTGCTGAGGTAGCAGCTGGTTAGGGTTGTAGCAGTAACTAGTAGCGGTTAGGCAGGTGGGCATGTTGGAACAGCAGGCGGGGTTGCCCTAGCTAGCTAGCAATGGATTTGTAAGGCTACAATCGGTAGCAGGATGAGGCGTGTAGGTGGCATGGGAGTGCTGCAGGGGTGGCGGGAAACGCATGGAACGAACATTGGAAAAGGCTGGTTCTTGGTGGACTGAAATACCTGAGTTAGTTGTACGGCATGTCATGCCATTTCTTACTGGCAGCTCGCTGACCATTTTCGGCATCTGCCTTTATTGTAGCATCTGTGAGTGTTGTTAGCCCTTCTGTCAGGGCTTTAGGTGTAGTTTCCCACCCGCCTCCCCGGGGCCCCGCGGCTGGCGGGGTCGGGAGGAGAGAGGGCTGGGGTGCGGTTGGTCGCATGGGCGTCCTGGCCTTGCGCGTGGTGCGTGCGGCAGCACTCTGGCCGCTCGTATTTGCCACCCAGTCTCTGGGCGGCACTGTCGATTAGGGAATCGACGTCCTTAATCGATATTTCCTGCAAGGTCGCCAAGAACATTGGCTGCCGCCGCGCCATTGGGTAAAACGTGGCTTGGCAGCAAAGATCCTAAAAACAGAGAAACACTAGTTGCGGCCAGCTTTCGGCGGGCGTTTGCCCATGTTCGCGCGCCCAGCAAGCCTGTCCACGTGCCCAGTGCACAGCAATCACTGGGATAGTCGATCCGGATGACAGGTAAAGGCAGCCGTGAGCCTAAGCATGCAGCTGACACCTCTAGCATGGGGAGATGCGGACCTTTAGGTTTGCTTACGGAGGCGTACATAGCGGTTTGTTGTCCGTTAGGTTAGTTGGCCAGCTTCAATATGGGATCCAAGACCCTTATGCGTTTCCATATGTGGTAACAATGAATGAACCAATTAACTGCACCCGTATTGCTTGCGCATCTCGAGCAACTGAAGTTGGAGCTAGCGCCCCTGCCATAGTCATAGCGCCGACCGTTTTTTAGGCAATAGCAATACAACAACATCGGTATATAGTTAATCGCGTATAGGTGGCACTACAACATACGAACACGTGCTGCTGCTCCTTTGCTCCGTCAACATGGACCTAACAGACCCCGATCAAGTGGCACAGCTCTACGTCATGCAATGGATGCATGAAAACGGCATGCACGATGGTGGGTTACCGAGAATTCCTGTTCGCCGACTCCTTCACCCACCCACTTGCCGGTGGTCGCGCTACTCTCCAACATACCTCCACCCTTCGCATACCTGTGCAAACCCGCGTTCGCTTTACTCGACAACCCCTTGACCCCAGCCCTGCGGGCGCTCGAGAAGCACGTGGGTCGGCTGTACGACGACGGCCAGCTGCCCGAGGCCTCCCAACTCATGCAGGTGTGCTGCCGGTGAGGAACACGGCTGCCCTCTTTCACGGCTGGGAGATTGGAAATCCCTCGCTCTCCAGTAGAACGGTAGCTGGCCGGGAAGCTACCGCCGCCTAGCTGCGCCCCATCCTTTTTTAAATCTCATTACCTGGCCGTGCAGCTCCTAAGCCTCCTTACCCCTCGGCGGCTTCACCTTTTTGTCAATCTCTCCTCCTCGTTCGGCTCCCCCCTGCCAGCTGGTATGGCGACATGTGGAGCAGCAACTACAAGAGGAGGCGGAGGAAGAACACCAGCAGGAGGGCGGCACCACCGGCATCACCGCCACCACCACCGGCACCGGCACCGGCACCAACAGCGGCACCGGCAGCAGCAGCAGCTCCCAGCGGCGGCGGCAGCACCAGGAGGAGGCGTTGCGGCTGCTGCGGGCCGGTGCGGGGGACTACGCGGGCGAGGTGGTGGTGGCGGATGTGCCGCCGGAGGTGCATGGGGGAGCCAACGTCATCGCTGTACGGCTGGTGCCGGGGAGGGAGGAGGTTATCACGGCGGCAGGTGCGGGGTGGGGTGGGGAGATAAGGGTTGATTGGGAGCCGGATACATGCACTATGCTGCGCATTCTTGCTTACTTGGCTATGTGGTTTTTTCGTGCAAGCAGCAAGGGCTCGACGCCGCTAAGCTGCATTGCATTGCAATAGCTCATGAACATGCCCTCACCCCGTTTTCACCCCTTCCAACCACAGGGGATGGCTGGGTGCGCTGTGTGCGCTTCCACCGCAGCACTGCATCGACCCATGGGTCGGCGGCGGCAGGGGTGGCGCCTGCTACTGCTGCTGCAACAGCTGCCTCTGCTGCTGCTGCTGAGGCGGCGGAGGTTGTGTGGGCCACCCGGGTTAGCAACGCGGCGCTGCTGTCACTGGCACTGCACCCGCTGTACGGGTGAGTGAGAACCGGTATAAGGCGATAAAACCAAGTGCCGTACGAGGAATGCCGTAAGCCCTGCTAGGAATGCCTGGATGCTGTCTCCTTGCCACCCACTCACGCGCATGCAACTGCCAAGAGGTCACACACCCAATGACCTCACACGCCCGCATCTCCCCTGGTGCTCACTCTCGCAGCCCCTGCACACTCACCTCCCCGCCTCCCCCACCTCCCCAGCTGCGGGTTCCCCCTGGTTGCGGTTGGCGGCATGGACGGGCGGGTGACGGTGTTGTACGGCCCCACGGGCGCCACTCTGGCTGCCGTACAGCCGCACAGCAAGTACGTGGTGAGGGTGGCGTGGGGGGCGCCACCGCCCCCTCCGCCGGTTCCGCAGCAGCAGCAGCAGCAGCCACTGCTGCTGCTGGCAACTGCATCTACCGATGAAACAGTTGCCGTACTCCGGCTAGATCTGGATCCGGCGGTAGTGGCGGCAGCAACAGCAGAAGGGGAGCAGGGAGGAGCAGCTAGGGGTAACACTGGCGGCAGGAGTAGCGGGAGCAGCGGTGGAGGAGGTCAAGGAGAGATGGTATTGGACCTATCAGGGCTGCGGGAGGACGAGGTGGCTGGGTTAAAGGGGCGACTAAACACCGTGAAACAGATTCCGTACGGTACGGCGGTTGCTGACGTGGCGTTCTTACGTGATGGTCGTACGCTGGTGGTTGGGGTGCGCGGCAGCAATTACCTTCGTCTGCTGGACTGCCGGCAGCTGCTGGTGGGGTGGGGGGAGGCGTACGACAGCCCCTGGGTTGGTTGGGAGCGGGTGGTGGGGGTCGGAGAAGGTGTGAGGGAGGGAGGTGCGAAAGGGTGTTCCACCTACGGCCTGTGTGGATAGGTATGCTGGGTGGTACGGCAGCCCCTTCTTCCCCTTAGGCCCCGCTGAACTACCCCCCTTCTCCTGCTACCCCCTTCCCGTGCTGCTGCAGGCCGCTCCCTCTGCCCCCCTCAGCGAGACCCTGGTTAACATGAACGAGGCGGGCGACGACCACGTGTCCTTCAGCGCCAGGCAGCTGCTGCCCTCACACTGCGGAGCGTACCTGCTGGTAGGGGGGCGGGTGGGGGAGGGAACTAATGAGGAAAGAACTAGCTGGCCGTGTGATAAGGCGTCACCATGGTTCGCAACTTGTAGGGGGGTCCAGGGGCCCTGGCGGGCTGAGAGGCAGCCGAATACCGCGATGGATAACGGAACACATGACCCTTGTACGCTTTTTGGGGTAGACGGAATGCAGTGTGGGCGCCCTTAACGCTGATGTAGGGGATGATCCCTTGGCCCACTAGCTTTGTCATCGTCTTGCTACCGGTCTTGCTTCACGCACGCCTTGGTCCCTTAATACGCAAACACCACCTTACCTTACTTTACCTTACCTTTTCTCCCTACCCCACCCCCACCCCCACCCCCAGGTGTGCACCGACTCGCCCCGCCTGCTGGTGCTGCGCACCTCCGATTGGAGCCTGCAGCGGGTGCTGTTCGGGTTGCCGGCGGAGCAGTTCCCGCAGCCGACAGCCGCCTGGCACCGAGACAGCAACTACATATACGCCAGCGGGGGCGGGCCGCAGGTGGGGGATCAGCGGAGGATGGTGGGGGCTGTGCCTATGCGCTTCCAAACCCGTATGGCCCTAGCCGCTTGCCTCCGCTCCCATGCCCATCCCTTTCTGCCTCCTCTCTCTCCCTCCCCTGCAGCTGTGTGTTTTCCACTTGGGCAGTGGGCGGCTGCTAGCCAGCTGGCGCCACCACAAGGTGAACCTGCGGGACCTGCACTACGACCCGCAACGCAACCTGCTAGCCTCCTGCAGCTTCGACAAGACCGTCAAGTTGATGGGAGCAGCGGTGGCGGGCGCGGAGGAGGGGGTGGCCGGGAAGGAGGGGGAGGAGGGGGTGTAAAGTGGTAGTAGCAGGGATAGCAAGCAAGCACAGAGGGAAGCAGGGCGGCCTCGGCGTAGTTCCCTTCGCGGGAGCTACGGCGGCTCATGCGAGGGGGCGCTGAGGCTCAGCAGGTGCGGCGGCTGCCGTGCCGTACACTACTGCAGCGTGGAGTGCCAGAAGCAGCACTGGCAGGAGGGGAGCCACAAGCTGGAGTGCATGGCGAGCCGGGGAGTGCCTCTTTCGTACAAACCCTAGCCCTCTAGGGCGGGAAGCATGGTGCATGCGGAAAGGAGTCGTGGTACACCATCCCAACCACCACCTTGTGTTCTTGCAGGTCAGCTGTGTAAGTACTACCGATCATGCTTGCTGGTGCCAGACTGCCAACATGTGGCAGCATCTAGAAACAAATGAAGTGGCGGTGGGTAGTGGCAGAAAGCATGCTGCGGTCTGACCCGTGGGTCGGCACTGCCCATCCTGAAGAATGGGTTTTAAGGTTAGCAGAGTGGTGGCGTTGACTGATTATAGTTTTGACGTAATTAGACCATGCTAGACTGCTGACCGGTTTTGAGCTTTGACCCTAGCGCGGCCTACCAAGTAACCGAGGGGACTGAAGTTGTGACTCCGCCTGTAGTGTTGTCGAATGTTTCACCCGCGGTGTGTAGTCGAAGGCAAACAAGGGAGCAATTGGAAGGAGGGCGTCTCATGCAGTGGACAGCAGGGGGTGGGTACTCCTATATTTGTACACCGGCAGTGTACATGTCCGCCTCATTGTCCCAATGACAGTGTGTCAACTGGTGAACCATCACCCGCTTCCCGATTGCGACTGCCAGCACCAGTGAGGAAGGTCACCTCACCCGCCTTAACACAGCTAATGGCGACCGTCTCCCACCATACCTCCTCCCTCGCCCATCCCAGAACCACCCCGCACATGATGAGTACCCCCGCCAGCAGCGGGTGCTGCATACAACCCCAGCCCGCACGGCAAACCGGCAAACCGGCAAACCTCATCTACGAGCCATCCAGGCAACCACTCCAAACATGCACACAAGCAGCGGGACGCGCCTCCCAGCACATCCCGGGAAACAGTCCCAGCCGCAAACGCCCCAACTGTGTACACAGCTGTGTACCCGCTGGGGCCGTGGCAGTCCTGACAGCCGTACTTCGCATGCATGCACGCTCGCACGTGTTTTTCCAGTCACCCCGGTTGTTCATCCTCCTCAACCCTGCCCCCTGCCCATCGCTGCACCGTACCACAGGTTGTAGTTGAGCCGGGTGACCAGCTGCGCCAGATGGGGCGCACGGAAGGAGTCGATCATGCGTTGACTGCGGCGGCGGGGAGGGGGGGGGAGAGGAGGGGGGCAAAGGGAAAGAAACCGACGAGCTAAAGGCGGGCGCAGGGGACGCCAAGGCAGGCGCTAGACCAGCACAGGCGCCAGCCGTATCTGGTTAAGGCGTTTCTCCACGTACCCCCCTTTCCCAGACAAGCTGGCAGGCAGGGCCCCAGCCTATCCCTCAACCTTCCAGACTTCCCGCACCCGCTCCATCCCCCACCTGCTGATTGTGTTGTATAGCCCGGTCGCGTGACGAATGAAGTTGCTGCGCACACGCGCGATGGCGGCGAAGTCCAGTCGCTGCGGGTCGCAGCCCGCCCGCGACACCAGCTGGGAGAGCGACTGGGGCGGCAGGCGGGGTGGGTTTTTGTTTTTTCAATGTGGACTGTTACAGAGGTAGCAGCATGCAGGTAACGGGAAGGCAGGCAGGGAAGGAGTAGGCGTGCAGACAGCAGCATGCAGGGAACGGGAAGGCATGCAGGCGGCAGGTAAGCAGCAGGCTGAGGGGAAAGAGCAGGCATGCAGGGAGGCAGGCAGGTTGCACCGCCCCCTCCCCCTTGTCCCCCCTGCCCCCTGCCCCCTGCCCTCACCGCCACGTCCTGGAAGATGTCCCCCAGCACGGCGCACAGCGAGCGGACGGTGAGGAAGCTCTGCACCATGAGGGTGGACAGGAACACGTGGTGCGCCCGCTCCAGCTGGGGGGAGAGGGGGGGGAGGAGGTAGGGAGGGGGAGGAGGGCAGGCAGGGAGCAGAGCAGCGGTGAGGGATAGCAGCGCCCGCAGCACCCACACGCCCGCGCCACCCCGCCACCCTTCTTTGGACTCCTCAACCGCCCGCCCGTGCGGTCCCGCTCGGCCGCTCCCTCCCTTCCCTCACTACTTACCTCGGAGAAGTCCTGGCAGCTGGAGATCTTGTTTTCGAGCGCACTGAAGTTGACCTCGATCACATCCGTCTGACGAGGGGTGGCGTGGGGCGCGGCACACAGCACAGGCGACAGCTGGGGTCAGTACAGTTACTTGGCTCCAACGCAATAACGCGGGCGGTGCACAGCGCGATGCAACACACGCGGGAACACAGACTGGGGGGCGGTGTTAAGAGAGTCAGCCAAGCCACAGGAACCGCGGCACAGGCGAGGTTGCAGGGCACCATTCCACGCCTCCCCCCTTTCTGCCCCCTTCTCCCCTGGCTCAGCTCTATACCCCTGCATGCCCATGCCCCTCCCTCCCAGTCCCCTCAACCTCCCCCTCCCCCCCACAACCCCACACCTGAATGTAGATCTGCAGGTTGTTGACCAGGTGCGCCATCACGTTGCGCAGGTCCTGCAGCTCGCGCATGCGCCCGTGCGGCACCGCGGAGGAGGAGGGGGCGGAGGGCGACCGCTGCAGCTGCTTGTCCATGCTGGCGGGAGGGAGAGGAGGAGGAGAGGGGGGATACAGCGTTAAGGATGAGGGAGAGAGGGAGAGGGGGAGTGGTGCGGTGGTATGGGCGGTGTGGGAGCTACAGTGGATGAACATGTGATCCAGCCCCCTGCCTTCCCTCCCCCTTCCCGTCCCTCCCTCTCTTCCACCCCCCCTCTGCCGCGCACACTCACACCCTCAGGTCCTTCCACGCATCGTCCAGCCAGCCCTGCATGCGCCGCAGCCGCAGCAGCAGCGCGAACAGCTGGTTGTACCTCCGCAGCTGCTCCCGCCCCAGCAGCAGCCCCAGCGGCCAGTCCAGACGCACCTCCAGCACCAGCGGGTCCCAGCAGGGGTCCAGGGGGGGAACCGGGTGGCCGCCCGACCCCACCTTGCCGCTGCTGATCTGCGCACGGCACAGGGAGGGGGGGAGGGTGAATATGGACCATACCAGACCGTAGGAAACCAGAGGGGGGAAGGGAGGATACGGGAGGGGTAGCGAATGGGAGGAGAGGTGATTGGATCAAAAGGTGGTGGAGCGCATGCGTGCTGTGCTTGACATGTCCGAAAGCCAGGGTGACTCAACTTCGTGGAGTGTCAACGACGCCGGTACCCCTTCCCAGCCCCTTCCCTAACAAGTCCCCTCTCCTCCTTCCCGCCACTCCCCACCCACCCACCTGGAACGCCGCCTCCGCCTCCTGCCCCCACAGGTACCTCAGGCTGAAGGCGGGCAGCAGCGGGTCGCCCTCCGCACTGCTCTTGGCGGCGGAGCGGGCGAGGGGCACAGCCAGGTCGGCGTCCACCGACTGGGGCCTGCGGGAGAGCCGGGGGGAGGTGAGGAGAGGGGAGGAAGATGGATAGATGGTGCATGGGGTGTGCACGAGGGCTGAGGAAGGAAGGAGCCATGAAGCTATCCCCTTCCCTTCCCTGCCCACCTCGCCTCTGTCACCCCATCCGCCCCCACCACCCCTCCTCTCCACCCCCCTCTCCCCTACCGCGGCGGTGCCGCCATGAGCGGCTTGCTCTCCGCCAGGAACGTGTTCCAGAAGTCTCCTCTCGCCAGCAGCAGGTAGTCCTTGAGCGCCGCCAGGTGCGGCAGCAGCCCCGCGCGCCCCACCAGCAGCCGCCACAGCAGCCGAGCCACATGCGCCCGCAGCCCCTCCACCACCAGGCCCAGCCGCATGGGGGAGAGCTCCGGCTCGGACTGCAGCTGGGTGAAGGCCTGGGGTGGGGGCGGGTAAGTGGGGATGAGGGAGGGTGATGGGAAGAGGGAAGCGGGGAGGGAAAGGTGAGGGAGAGGTGTTTTGCCTTGCCTTAAAGCGCTGTTGTAACCCAACCCATGCGCCAAAAACAGACCCCGTGTCCAGGATCCCACATTCACCAGCTATCCCCTCCATTCCAGTTGTGCATGCAGCTTCTCCGCTACCCGCCCCCCCCCAAACACACCGCCCCAGTTTCCTTGACACGTACAACTCACGCCTCCGCCCCCTCATCACCTGCCCGAACTGCATCATGTCCTGAAGCGGCAGCAGCTCATGCGGCCCACCTCCTGCTGCCCCTCCCCCTCCTGCCCCTCCTGCTGCCGGCTGCCTTCGCAGCACCCGCACCGCCCGCCCCACGAACAGCACCGTGTCCGCCAGGTCGGCTGACACGTAGATGGGCAGCAGGCGGGGGAGCACCTGGGGGGGGAGATGGGAAGGGAGAAGGAGGGAGAAGGAGGGAGAAGAGGAAGGCCAGTAAGCTGTAGGCAGGGTAGGCGCACTACCCCGGGGTATAATACCAGTGTGCGTCTTGTATCATCGTTTACGCCGACATGCCGCCTCCTCCACCCCCCTTCCCCCACCTGGAAGCCCCCGTGCCACTCCCGATACGCCGCGTCGTCATCCGCTCGGCCGCTGCTGCTAGCAGCGGCGGCAGCCGAAGCAGCTGCTGCTGCTGCCGCCTCTGCCGCACCTCCCCCCTCGTCTTCTCGGTGTGGCACCTGCTGCTGCTGGTGTTGCTGCTGGTGTGCCCCTGCAGCTGTGGAGGCTGCTACTCCTGCTCCTGTTGCTGCGGCGGTGGAGGCACCAGCAGCAGCAGGTGGTGGTGGTGGCGGAGGTGCAGCTCGCGGCTGGATGAAGAACTCCCGGTGCGGGTCCTGCAGCATGCCGTGCATCATCCTGGGAGGGTGTGCAGGAGGGAGGAAGGAAAGGAAGGGAAGCGGTGAAAAGAGCAGGCGGGGCCGGAGGCAAGGGGGTTACGCCAACGCAACAATACCCTATCCCCTCCCTCCCCTCCCCCTGCCTCCCTTGCTGCACTCCGTTGCTGCATTTACCCTCTCCCCTCCCCTCCCCCCCGCCTCCCCCGCCTCCCTCACCACGCCGCCAGCTGCTGCATGAGCACCTGGTTGCAGTGCCACAGCAGCCGCCCCAGCGCCTGTCGCACCGCCGGCACCCCGCAGCAGCGGCTGTCCGCGTGCAGTCGGTTGATCAGGTCGGCGGCGGAGAAGGTGGGGGCCAGCGACACCGCGTCCTGCGACCACACCAGCGAGTGCAGCGAGAACAACACGTCCTGTGGAGGGGGGGGGAAGGGAGGGAGGGGGGGAGAGAGGTGGGAGGGGGGGGTTAGGGGGTATAGGCCCGCTGCATGCTGCCGCCCTCCAGCTCCTTGCCGCAAGCTTTACAACCCTCCACCCAAGGCCTCCCTGACATCCCTAACCCGGCCCCCCCCTGCCTCATCCCTCCCTCCCAGCCGCCCCCCCCCCCCCCCCACCGTGTACTCCCACATGCGGTGACATATGGTGGGCAGTGCGGGCGCCTGCTGCTGCCGGAGCTCCCGCTGCAGCTGCAACACAGCGATGCGGTAGTCGTCAAGCAGCTCTGGGAGGGGGGGGGATAGGAGGGAGGTGAGGGGAGAGAGGAGGAGGAGGTGGCGGGATAGGAGGAGAGGGACGGGTCCAAGTAGGAAGGAGCGGTGTTCAGGAAGCTGCTATGCTTAACCCCTATGCCTCCCCGCGTCACCCCTTGCCCTTCTTCTTTCCTTGCCTTCCCCTGCTGCCCCACCCCACCCAGGCCCCACCCGTGAGCCCCGACGCCAGCGCCCGGCGGTACACGGAGGGCGGCCGCCTGCCGTGCCGCGGGTGTGGCTCCCAGGGCGCGTGCTCCCAGTCCACGAAGGTGCTGACCGCCTTGAAGTGGAAGCCCAGCCGCAGCAGGTCGGACAGCACCTGGCTGCGGAAGAGGAGGAAGAGCGGGGAGGGAGATGGGGCGGAGCTTTTCTTAGACTGTTTTGGCATCCTAAAGCAGATGAGGGGCAACTGGTGGCGTACGCACCGGTCAGATTCACCTATCCAGGTGAGCTCTGGTGAAATGTGTACGGAACATTCTGAAGGGCCGGGCAGCTGCCAGTTGTCTTCGTCCTTTTCCTCCCTACAGCCATGCGCATATAAGGTTTTACTGGGAGTAAAGCAGAACTACCGGACGGGTCGTCGGGTCGGGACTAGGCCAACTGTTGAGCAATCCTGCCTGTCGTTAGTGTCCACGAACAGGTCTCCATGGATGCCTACTAGTGCAAGCAATAGTTCATCTATTATGCCTGATTCATCAAAGGGCACCGGGCCTTGTGCAAGCGCCATTGGTATAGCCCGTAACAGAAGTGCAGGAAGAGGTAGGGATGCTGGCAAATGTTGGGTTACATAATATTTTGCTTACTAGCATGATTAAGCGCTAGCGCCTCTATGCGGTCTCTGAACACAAGAGGAATACGTTGATTGCGAGGCCTTTCCCGGGCAATTTGCAGTGCCGTACCCCTCGGGCTCCGTATGATGGCCGACTAACAGTTAACAAATGGAAAGCTCCAAAATGGTTTCCGAAATACTTCCGCGCCAGCCCTTCGTCTCTGGGAGTACCTTCCCTTCCATCAAGCCATGCGGCATTCGCATTGCAGCGGCAAGGCATATAAGGCATGGCATGAAGCCCAACTACCATTGCATGCCAAATATAGGCCATCTAAGGTTAGCTGATATGCCGATGGCGGCGCAAACCATGAGCATGGACAACAGCGATGTCTGGGAGTGCTGGTGGTGCTATGACGGATGGCATCCAGCCGCTGACAGGTATGCTGCCTTGGCAGCGGAGGATGTCCGCACCTGTCTTACCCGAGTAGCCTGTTTGTTGTGAAGGGAATGCGGGGCATGGTTTCCTGGGTACCGGTACGGCTGTCCTGCATGTGACCCCACGTCCCATCGACAACCCATAACAGCGGCCGCAGGTCCCTCACGGGTGCCCCTACCGCCTCCTTCTCCGCAACCACATCCTCCCAACTCGGTCCCAGCCTCCCATGCGCCCCTCCCGCAAACGGATCTCTGGTGATATGTAACACCCCTCACCGTACTGCCCTCCAAGCCCAGGCTCGAGCAGATCCTGCCGCCCTGGGCCGTCCTGAAGCGCATGGACCCCTCGCGACCCCTCGCTGAGCAGGTGCGATCCTTGATCCTAAACTCCTAGATCCTAAATCCCATAGTGTACGGCATCAGGGATACCGCAATCCCAGCAGCAGGGGCTCCCGTAGCTCCCGGGCTTCCACCAGGAGCTTCACCTGGCGGCCATGGCGTTCCAGCCCTTTCAGAACGACAGCGTGGAGCAAGCTGCGGAAATGCCGCCGTACGCCTTTTTCACCTCCGTGCCTACACGCCCTTCTTCCTGCTGTCTCATCCGCCTATATTGCACTACAGCCACTAGCAACCTTCAACTCACCCACCTTACCCACCCCACCCATTCTCACCCCACCCCATTCGAGCCCCACCTCACTCTAACCCCACCCCACCCCACGTCTTTACGTAATTATGCTTTCTGCATAGTCTTTCAAGAAACGCCTTGACAATGGAACAATTATGCTACAACACTACCCCACCCCGCTCACCAGGTCCGCAACGCCCGCGTGCTCATCCCCACCACGGGTCAGGTGAGCGCGCAAGACATCTGGGCGCCCGCCGACCTGCGGCTGGTGGCGCAGCCGGCGGCAGGCTACAACAACATTGACGTGGAGGCGGCGCGACAGAGGGGCGTGCCGGTCACCATTGCGCCGGGTGAGGGGGACAGAGCCGGGCGAAACCGCATGATAGGGCAAAGCGATAGGGCGATGTGGCGAGGGGGTGAGGCAGGAAGGCCCAACGGTTGGGGGTTAAGGGGCTGTGGGGCTGAGCATTGGGAGGCGTTGGGAGTTGGGAGCTGGGTTGGGGTTGTAGAGGTGCATGTGTTGCGGTGCCGGTGGCAACGCTGGTGGCGGCAATCATGGCGGTGTCAGGTTTGAATGGACTCCATGCATTACCCATAGTCCCATACCCTTGTACCCATACCCATACCCCGCCCACAGGCTACAACTCGCGCAGTGTGGCTGAGGTGGCGCTGATGATGATCCTCATGCTCAGTCGCAAGGTGGACGAGGCGCGGACCGTGTTCGAGCGCCGAGAGCGCATCGGCGGACCCGTGGGTCGCGAGCTGTATGGCAAGACGCTGGGCATTGTGGGCATGGGCAAGATCGGAAAGTGCCTGGCAGAGGCGGCGCAGGGGCTGGGCATGAAGGTACGACAGACAGACGGCGCCTGGGACCTTCTGGATTGAAGCACTGATAGCACGGTACCCCACGCATTTGCCGCTCCTCACGGTGCTGAGGCATTCCTCCCGTTCCGCGTTTCATCCTCCGTTTTGCCACCCCATACCCCACCTTCCCACCCACTTCCCTTCAGGTGATCGGCGTCACCTCCCGCTGCCCCCGCGCCGACCTGGACTCCCTGCTTCGCTCCTCCCACATCGTCTCCCTGCACTGCCCCCTCACACCCGCCACCCGCGGCCTCATCGCCGCCCCCCAGCTCGCCCTCATGCGCCCCGACGCGCTGCTCATCAACTGCGCACGGGGGCCCGTTGTGGACCGAGACGCGTTGTGGGCGGCGTTGCAGGAGGGGCGGCTGGGCGGCGTGGGTTTGGACACGCACTGGGTGGAGCCGGCGCCGCTGGGGGATGAGTTGTACGGCCATCCACGGGTGCTGGCGCTGCCGCATCTGGGTAGTATTTCGGCGGAGGTGTACGAGCGGTTTGCGGAGGTGCTGGCGGAGAACATTGTGCGGGTGCGGGAGGGGCGGGAGCTGCTGCACCGGCTGTGTTAGGAAGGAAGGGGGAGGGAGGGGGAGGAGCAGGGGGGCTTGAGGGGCGTTGGGTGGGCTTGTACATGCATGTGACATTCGCGAATTGTGTCCGGGGGATGGGGGGGGGCGTATTGTGTGACATGGGAGCATTGCAAGCATGACTAGACTGGGAGGTCTGTGTCAGTGCGGTCTCAGTACGACACCGGTAACTGGTTGGCGATTGGCAGCAATCCGCCACGCGCACCCGCCATGCGTGATACAGGGACACTGTGGTAAGTGGCCGTGAATGTTGCTGAGTGGTTTGAGTACACTTGCAGTTGTGCGGCTGGCTGATAAGGATTAGACGTGGCGACGCTTGGGTAGGTGCGCAGCGCGGTTGGATGTGCGTCGCAGTCAGGGAGGGTTACAAGGCGGTCAGCTCCTGGGCTGGCGTGGAGTGGCAACAAGCTCAGTCGTAACCGTTGGAAGAACGCGTCCTGGCAAACGCGCAATCGCCTTTCTGTCACCAAGCAGCGTGCCCCGCATTCCGTTCTAAGAGGTCATTTCAGGGCCAGGTCCGCTCATTGCTTCACAGCAGCCTCAACTCCCAAAGCTCCAGTTGGGGGCTCCGCTCATACTGCAACACCTGTCGTACGGCAACACATAGGCGTACAGCACTCGCCAGATGACAGCAGACCGGGATTACATCGACAACCTGCTTATATAGTAGTACAGCTTGGCTCCAAGTATCCTTACCAAATAACTATGTGGCTAGCGCTTCTGCAGGGGGGTTCCGCCGGACCATGCCCTTTGCAGCCCATGTCTGGCCTACAGGCTCACCCCATTCCATGGACACCCCTACCCCCTATGTTTCGGTATGGTCTTTCATCCCCTGACCCCTAACCCCACCTGAGGCACCGCAGACACATCCAGCCGCCTGCCCCGGAACAGCGGCCGCCGCCCAGCCGCCTCCTCCCATGATGCCACACCAGGACAGGAAGGGAGGTCCACGGGCGCGTGCTTCCGTACAGTGTCTTCGCCGCCATCGTCGCCCGGCTTCACGCCTCCGGACCCGTACGACAATCTCGTCGCGGCCTCTGCGGTGGCCACAGCCGCGCCCTCCGGAACCACGTAGCGCATGAAGTCCTCAAAGGCGGAGGCCCTGACCGACATGTCACGTAGCGTGAAGTTGAAGCGCTTCTCCAGAGCTACGATAAGCCTTCCATCACCGCCACCGCCGCCACTGCTGCAGCGGCGGCGGACAGTAGCACCGTCTTCAACCTCGGCCGCTGCGGAGGAGGAAGCGCCTGCCGTATTACTCTCACCGCCGCCGCCACCGCCGCCGCTACCGCCAACGGAGGCATTGTTAAGGCCCAGCGGCAACGCTGCCGCCGTCCCTGCTGCCGCTGCCCTCCTCCGAGCAGAGGCCCGGTACGACAGAAGTGCGGCAGCGCACTTGACGAAGGCCTCCGTCAGCGCTGTGTCGTACACCGTGTCGGCGGCAAGCAGGCAAACGTCGTCGGCGTCAACCAGCGCCTGTACGACAGACGCAAGTCCCGCGTTGTGTACTACTTGTAATGTTGCCGCTGCCGCCGCGGCTGCGCCCGCTTCCCTCAGGCTGCTCAAGCGTTCAGCGCCCGCATCTGCCATGGCTGTAGATCCCCCTGTTGCGACGCATACCGGGTTTGCCACCGCCTCCGCCGCTCCCGCCGCTGCCTCTGTTGCCATGTATGGTGACCCTTTGCCGCCGCCTCCGCCACATCCACCTCCGCTGCTGCTGCTGACACCCTCCGCGGCCAGCAGGGCTGCAATTATAGCCTCCGCGCTAACACCACCGCCTCCGCCATCGCCTCCGCCACCGCTCTCGAACGTCAGGAAGTCAAACCAGTCCAGCCGACAAATGTCTACTCGCACGCTCTCCCTGCTGCTGCCCTCCCTACCCTCCTCCCTCTCCCTCCGCAGCAGCCCAGTCGTAATAAGACCCCCGTTAGCGACTAGGTTTGTCGCCGCTAGCTGTAGCGCCCCCTCATGCACGTCCGTGAGCACAACTCGGGCTGCAGCAACAGCATGCGCCGACACGCTACCATCACCTGCTACTGCTGCTGCTCCCGCTGCCCTTCCAGTGGCCGCATTCCCGCCTGCTGCTGCTGCTGCCACCCCAACCAAGCCCACCCCGCAGCCCAGCTCTAGGATCAGGGTGCCAGGGTTGATGGAGGAATCGGCAGCGGCAGTGGCCCCGGCAGCAGTAGTACAGCCTGGGCCCAGCTGGTGCGGTGGACGCAGGGGCCGCTGGGAGAGGAGCCAGTCGCACAGCAGGCATGCACCTCGCCATACCTGCGGATACGGAGCATGAGGGCGGGCGAGAGGGGGGTAAAGAGGAACGAACTACCTGACCGTGTGATATGGCGTCATCATGGCGAGAGGGGAAGGGGGTAGGGTTCATAGGAAGAGTGTCAGATGGGGGCAGGGTAGATAGCAGGAGCCAGGAGAAGGGAGTTTACGTGACTGGTTCCAAGGCAATCCAAGGCAAGCGTCAGGCTTTGATGGATATCAATCTCTCTACTAGCCGGCCCTGCACGCGGCAGGAGGTGAAGGTACCTGCAATCCCACATCAGCGATGGGCGTTGCCCGGCTGTTGTGCCGGATAGAGATGAAGCGTCGTGGCTGCTTAGCTTTCGGGCGCCTTGGGACGCGCAAGTCACCGCAGCGGTCGACAATAAGCTTGCGTTGCTTCGCGACGGGCTGTTGGCTGCTGCTGTCGCTTTCGCTGTCGCTAGATTGACGGCTTGAGTTCAGGTCTGGATCCGAGCGTTCTTCAGTGCTCGTATCTATCAAGTAAAAGCGCGTGACAGCGGTGCACTGTTTGTCGTCTTGTTCGGTACCGAGTGCAGCAGTTGAGTGTATCTCGCTAAGAACAACGGGCTCAGAGTTGATTGCCATGACTAGGCATAGATAGATGTTGGAGTGTGAGAGGATTAAATAGGCCCGATTGCTACAAAAGACCCCGATTGTAAACTTAGTCATCATTGTAGTACACCTTAATCGCAGTCATTCCCGCTTGGCAAAAGGATATGGACAGGAACAGGCCTACGCCGACTCCCGATTCCAGAACTTGGAATTCGTCCCCAGACCAGCCGCATGCTTAAGTGCACCCCTCCCTCCCCCAACTTTGCCCGTGTCGTCCCATTGCCGTACACCGCTTCCGCTCCCAAGCTGCCCTAGGACTCACACACAACATTCCCGTCGTCATCAGCCACGACACCCCCTTACCAGCCACAAGTGCATCTCTCCTCGGTCGACAGCTAAGGCCAATACAGTTACACGGCACAGTTGCTACCAGGCTACTACAAACCAACTCCCCGAACGGTAACGTCCTAAACAAACAAGGTTCGTCTGCAACACCGCCAGAGCTGCTGATCCATCCTCTTGCCCTTTTTCTCCCCGTACCTCCTCTCTCTCGCCTTCCTCAGAGCTGGCTCCTGAACGCCACTCGACAACAAGCGGCCCCAGTATGCTTCCTGCCATTTTAACCACAACAACTCAACAACATGTTTATGCAGCTGTGGCTGCTGCCATTCCGCATGCTTCCCGCCCTAGAGGGCTAGGGGCTGTACGACAGGGGCACTCCCCGGCTCGCCACGCACTCCAGCTTGTGTCCGCCCTCCCGCCAGTGCTGCTTCTGACACTCCACGCTGCAGTAGTGTACGGCACGGCAGCCGGCGCACCTGCTGAGCCTCAGCGCCCCCTCGCATGAGCCGCCGTAGTTCCCGCACCTCGGGTTGCCGCACATCCGCAGCGCACCACGCACCAGCGGCAGCACTACCGGCGGCGGCAGCTCCGAAGCTGCTGCTGCCGTACATGCCCCGCCGCCTCCGCTGCTGTGGATGACACCTGCTTGCTCTGCCACCGCCGCCTCCACCTCCGCCAGCACACGTGTGCTAAGGCCCACGCTGCCGACCGCCTCACCCTCACCCCCGCTTTCACCTTCATTACCTCTGCGCAGGCGCTGCACCACCCAGTCCAGCAGCGCACCCCCATCTCCTGCGGCCGCCGCCCGCCACATCGCCCGCAGCCCACGTGCCTCCGCCGTACCCCAGCCCGCGAGCCCCTCCAGCAGCATCGCACCGGCGCCGTTCAACGCGGCGCCAGCAGCCGCCGTCACACCTGCCGCCTCCGCCGGCCAGCCCAGCAGGGCCAATGCATACGCCCGCAGCGACACCGCCTGCGCTCCAGAACCCTCCAGCGTTCCGTCGTCGTCAAGGACCTTGCTTTCCTCATGCCGTACCTCCTGCAGCATTTCTGCCAGCAGACGCCAGGCAATATCCATAGCAACCTGAGCAATTCCAATGCACCGCTCCCAGACCCCCGCCTCTGTCGTCGACGTCACAACGGCTGGCGCCGTTGCCCCCTCCGTTGCTGCCACCGACGGCCCGGAGGCTGAGGCCACCGAAGGCACACTTGCCGCCATCCTCATGCGGCCCAGCATCGCCCCCAGCGCCGCCAGCAGCCGATGTGGTTGCGCCGCCAGCAGCGCTGCTGCCGGCACCTCACCATAGAGCGCCGTCAGGGCTTCCAGACCGGCGAAAGTGAGCGCAAGCGCACTCCTGACCTCTTCCATACTCTCACGTTTTCCTGGCACATCCTTCACCAGTTGCAGCAGCAGCGGCGCCGCCAACACACATGCCGCCCGGGTCACCAGTCTCAGCGCCTCTGTCAGGCCGGCGGCGGAGTCTTGCAGGTGGGGAGAGGCGCGCTTCCACACGGCCAGTAAGCCCCGCTCGGGGTTCAGGGCAAAGTGTAGCTGGACTGCCAGTTCCCGCGCTACTGGGTGTGAGCATGTCTGGGTATACGGAGGCAACGGCATAGTCTGCCCCGCCGCCCTTGCGGGTGCACCTGGCACCGCTGGTGGAGCCGCTGCTGGCTCCCAGCGGCGGCACTCCAGCTCAACCGCCTCTCGCAGCGCCAGTTTGCTGACCGTAATGAAGAACCCGAGCTCCCGCTTGGTGACCCATGGTTCACACGCGGCGTCATTGGCTTGCTGGTGCTGCTGGCTCCTTCCGCCTGCGCCCTCCGCCTTGGAGGGCAGGCCTTGGCCCACGCCCCGGCTACCGCTGCTGCCGCTACCTCCCTTGCCCTCTGCCACGCCCAGCTGCTGTTCCCAAGTGTTGAGCAGCATTTCAGCCATCAACGGGCGCAGCGTCACGTGCATGGACCAGAGCATAGAAGTGAAGGGCGCATGTGCAACAGGGGCTGAGGTGGATAGGTCAATGGAGCCGGTGGGTGCGGCAGCGGCTGCCACAACAGGACCTCGACCACCACCACCACCACCAGCAGCGGCCGTCGCAGCGGGAGCAGTAGCGGCAAGCGTTACACGTGCAGTGCATCGCAGCCGGGCGTCAAAGGAGCGTAGCAGGCGTGCCTGACCCAGGTGTAGCGCCAGGCTGCGAAGTGTGTCGGCTGGCAGCTCAATTTCTGCGAACAGGAAAGCACAGGTTTGAGGCTAGAAGAGTGAGCAGAATGTGGATGTACAGATGGGCATATACGGCGGCCCTACATCTGCGAATATGATAAGAAAGCGAGGGGAGTTAAGGAAGTTACACTTGGACGTACACGCCTCGGGGCTTGTGGGGGTGTGAGTGATGATTTGCCAGCATGATTTGTCGCAGTCCACGTGTTCACTACCTTCCACCCGTCCAAACGCACCCAACTGCCGCACAACCGCCGCACCTACCGGCCAGCAGCTTCATCTGGGCGAGAATGCAATCGGGCATCACCCGCAGCTGCCCCATGCCTGCCCCGTCCCGAGGCCAGCCCCGCTGTTCCACCATGTTCACAATCTCCAGGGCCCAGGCACACGCCTTCTGGGCTTCAACCACCATTCCCACGTTGGAGGGCTCCTCGTAAGAGCCCGGGGGCATGGCTACCAGCGCTTCCAAGATGCTTGCCACGCTGCACAACAACCGTCCCGGCCTCGCCCCCGCTGACGCCATGTCGTACTGCTCCTTCACACCGCGGCCGCACGCCAGGCCGTACAACACCCGCAGCAGCCGCAGTGCCAGCCGAACACGCTCAGGCGGGCTGGGCACCGAAGGACGGAGCTGCGGTGACTCGCCTATCTCAACCCAGGGCTTGAATGCGAGCTCGGCAAACAGCGCATGCATGCATTCCGGGCGTAAGGCGTCTCGTTCGTTGGGCATCATCTCATTGATGGCCCGTCCCAGCTGGCGAATGCCGTTTAGATGCGTCCAGGAGTGTGTGCTGTCGCTGCTGCCGCCTGCATCCGCCACCACCCTCTCCAGCAGCCCGCGTTGCAGCCGCACCACCTCGGGTGCCGCCAGGGCATCCAGCAAAGCCTCCTTGTCGTCTCCGCCTCGGATTGATCCCAGCACATTTCGGCCAACAAGCGTCCTTAGGACCGCGATTGTTGTGATTATTGCATCGTTCAGGCCCTTTCCAGCGTTTCTGGGGCCGCCTGTGGGCTTCAACTGCACTCGAGGCGGGGCAGTGAGGACCGCGCCGCATACCGCCGCCAGTAGGCCGCTGTGCTGCAACATGCAAGCTAGTTGCTGCAGCCGTTGCTGCTGTGGCGAGCACGTTAATGCTGGGCTGGCGTTAGATCCGGACGCTCCCGACGTTGGCAATCTTCTATGTAAAGAGTCCAGATGGCTTATTAATTGCGCCCCCGATAAGATTGCACCGCAAGCGCCCTGACACAGCTTCAGCTGTGTAGCCGCCCGCTCCTTTGAGCCCAATGAGCATCCAGAGGACGATGGCCGCTGCCCGCTTGCGCCTGATGGTGGCGCCTGCTGGGGCCCTCCCACTGCCGCCCCTGGTGCCGCAAACAGCGGCCAGACCTCCAACTGAACGAACCGTACGGCAGCAGCCATGGCGCGTCCGAGAGTGACGTCACAAAGCTGCTCGTACAGCTGGGCACGGTGGCTAGTAATGGTAGACCTTACGTTTGTTGCGGCTTCACTAGCGTACATTTCGAAGCCCAGCGTTGCACATGTAGTCATCACGTGCATTAGTTCCAAGGCGAGGAGCACGTAGCGGGTTACGTGCATAAGCTGTGCGGCGCTGCCAGCGGGCCCCGCCGGTGGGATCTGATGAGGGCCGGGAGCTGATGAGGAAGCAGAGGAGGGTGACGTGCATGGTGCCGCTGCGGATGTCCCTTCCTCGTCTCCAGGGCCATTGCATGTTCCTGTTACCTGGAACAGCTCGGCAATCAGCGCCGCCGCCCGTGGCACAATGCGCAGCTCGACAACAGCTTGGATTGCTGGGGTTGACTGTTCCACGGAATCCTTGCCCCCGAGCGCAGACTGTGCACAGACCGTCAACGCGTTCGTTGTTCCGTTGTGCAAAGGTACGATGGCGCTAGGCAGCTGCAGGTAGCTTGGACTGTCATAGATCGCCTCGCCTGGCTGCAGCCGCGGCGGTTGCACTTGTTGGGAGGACAATGGACGTCGACGACCCAAGCGGGCGTTACGAAACTCGGAGATGCTGGTTTGGTCCAAGGCGCTTGAAATGCGCTGGAGCGAGGTGCACACGTCTACATTTGTAGAGAACATCCTCCTATGTCAGGATGCTTGGCAAGTGGGGAATTAATAAACGGAGAACCCAATGCTTTACAGATGCTGGCCTTTGTGGTAAGCGCTTTCTTGTAGCGGACAACTTAGGATACCATGTTGATGTGGGCTACGGCTTGCAAGACCGCTACAGAGCTGTGTTCGCGAAGGTTACGATGCGCCTATACGAGTGTTATCCACTGTGGCTGTTCGTCTTCTTCAGTCAACTGTAACGCCCGAGGCAACGCCTGGCAGTGGTCTTGCGTGCGAGGTGTCGGCGCTAATGCTATACATGGGTATATTATTCGCAGCCTCAGTCGCTCAAGCGAGCTGACACCTTCGCGCAGCTTCCTTGTCGTACCAGGGTCACCGGAAAAACGGTATCCAAAATACCACCATTGAGCACATGCAGCCGCTGGGCAGTTTGCATTGCATAAATGCAGGCAGGTCAAAGGCGGATCCTGGCTAAAGTCGCAAAAAGGCTAATTGTACTGCATTGCAGCAAGCAAAGCGCAGCTCCTCCCATGACAACAGGTAGCTATTGGCAAACGCTGCAACAGGAAGTTAACATGAGGCATAGCTACGGCGGCTGCGGAAGATCTAAGCTTTAGCATCGACGTCACCGACATGCGCTCAACGAGTGCAGTCTCTATCCCGACCACACAACAATGACAACAATCGGTCAACACGTGGCTGCGAAGTATATATCCAGTCGCAACAGTACCTTGCATGCGTAAGACCTGCGCTTGAGCACGGACGCCATGCCAACAAAAAAATGCAACTAAGCGACAATACAGAAGAGCAACGGCAAAAAACAATAAGATGCAGACAAAGAAAGGTAAGCGTACAACAATCCCCAAGGAATTGCAACAACAGGGCACTTATAGCAAGGGGAATGGGGGAATGGTGCTACAAAAGGTTGGAGGCAACGTATTTCAAGAGCAAACGTGTATCCCTTGATGCATCGAAGGCGTTTGCAAGGTAGCACCTTGTACGCATGCATGTAAGGGGGGATGGGGGTATGGGGGAAGGGGCACCAGCCCCTTCCCCCACCAAGATGCATACGGTGCCAGGGGAGACAAGCGCTCCACAGACGGCTGCGACACTCCACGCAGCCTCAGTCGCTCAAGCGAGCTGACACCTTCGCGCAGCTTCCTTGTCGTACCAGGGGCACCGGAAAAAAACGGTATGCAAAGCAGCAGCAATGAGCAAATGCAGCTGCTGGGTGGTTTGAATACTAAGAATGCAGGCAGAGCAAATGCCGATCCTGGCTAAAATCGCAAGAAGGCTTAGTGTACCGCATTGCGGCTAGCAAGCAGCAGCTCCACTCACGACAACAAGTAGCGATAAGCAAAAGCTGCAACAGGAAGTTAACATAAGGCATAGCTACGGCAGCTATCGAAGACCTAAGCTTTAGCATCGACGCCATCGACATGCGCTCAACAAGCGCAGTCCCTTTCCCTATCAGCATCCAGGCTGCATGCGAGGAACCAGTTGCAACGGTACCTAAAATAACACCTGCATTTGAGCATGGACTCCAAGCCATCAAAAATTTGCAACTAAACGACAATCCAGAGGAACAACGATAAGAAGCCATAAGATGCAGACAAGAAAAGCTAAGCGTACAACATCTCCAAGGAATTGCAACAAGAGGTCACTTACAGTGAGGAAACCGGGGCATGGAAGGAGAAGGTGCAACAACAGGTCAGAGGCAACGAATAAAAAGCGCAAACGTTCTTCCCTTAATGCACCGGAGGAGTTTGAAAGGTATTGCCTTTTGCGCATGCATGTAAGGGGGATGGGGGTACCACCACCAGCCCCTTCCCCCACCAAAATGCATACGGTGCCAAAGGAGACAAGAGCTCCACAGACGGCTGCGACACTCCACGCTAGTTAACTCCAAATTACAAAAGACCACATACAACGCTCAGATCCCCGGTAAGTCACCACAAAGCGTACATCGCTGCTGCTCGAGGCAAGGTTTACTACTCCTCTTCACTTTGGTTGTAATGAACATAAATACTAAGTGGGAGTTTCAAATCTCTTTCACGGCAAGCTCGCTCCAGGTTCCCCTTCGCACCCATCACCAGTCGTAGCCACCATCCACCGTCAGGCCCCTCTTAACCGCTCCGCATGCTCGAGCTGCTGCACCGCTGCATGCGCGCGGACCAGATCGGCCACCTTATCGGTCGCAGCTCGCGCTGCCTTCTCTAACGGTCCCTCTACAGGCCCCTGGGGCAACCTCCGAGCCAGCAGCGGCGACGCCTCCATGAAGTGCAGTGCGCTCTGCGCCACATTGACTGCCACATCCGCCAAGTCTGCGTTTCTAGCAGCCCTGCTGGAGAACTCCATGCGTCCAGGGCCACGCAGGCCACCATCCCCTGGTAACGAAGCCGCCTCCGACGCAGCGGACCTCAGCCCGGCAGTGGCGGCTGCTGCGGCAGCTGCGCCTGCAGCCGCTGCCTGCCTCCGGCTCTTGCGCCTGGGTTCAGGGATCAGCGGGCTGGCAAGGTCGGGCTTGTCGGCTGCTGCCGCGGTGACGGAGGCTAGCAGGTCTAGCGCGCTCTGGACGAAGGAGTCCACATCCACCTGCTTGAACAGCTCCCTTGTAAGGCCGGTGGAGCGTCTTAGGGTCTGCAAGGGGGCGCATGGGGCACGCATGGCTCGCTTTGGCGGTTGGGAAGCGGCCCATTCGTATTTGTATCTTGCTAAGTGCACAGCTTATGGCCACTGCCGCGCATGTATCAAGCACATCCCTTCTTGCATGTGCGAAGGCTGTTCAGGCTTCCCCTAATGCCACCAGCATCCTAGCAGCATCCTAGCGGCATCCCAGCAGCATCCTAGCAAGCAACCAGGAACCGACACCCAGCTAGGTACCGGTAGGCGCACCCTCCGCATGTACTGCAGCATGTTGCTCCGAAGCCAGGCGCGCACGCGCTGGCGCACCCCCAGCTGCCCCAGCGCCAGCACCGTGGCGTTTTTGCGCATGGCGGCCAGGAAGATATCCTTGTTGGGGTACCTGCGAACGGTACGGCAGCATTGAAGTGGGATCGTACAGGACCCGCAGATTCTGTCACGGCACAGGAAGGCACAGGTGAACACAACCGCCGCCAGAACAAGCCGACAAACGTTTACTGGAAAGATATGCGAAGGAACACTCTCCTCCAGCATTTCGCCAGCAACCATGCACGCGTCCAACAGCCCACGCAATGATGCGCCTATTAGTTTCCCGGTTTAGCCACGGCTGCTGGCTTCTCCCGCCCCTCAACCCACGTGACGTTTATGGGGCCACCCGGGTACAGCGTGACATCCATAGCCAGCCCCAACCGCAGCAACAGCGGGCATTGCGGGCACTGGAAGAGCTCGGGAGCGTCCGCGGGGCCCCGATAGAAGGCGGGCAGCTGGATGGGGGGGCATGGTATGTGACGCGGTACGGCACCGGTGTCACGCAGTACGGCGAATTGGTGCGGCATGACGGATTGGTGCAGTACGGCGAGCATGGGACGAGGGAGTTAGGGAAGGGGGTTACGTTTGCCAATTTGCTGTGCGTGGGGAACTGCGGATGAGAAGGGAACAGGGGCATTACTAAGCTGAAGCCATGCAACGGACATTGAATCCTTAGCTCCCGTTTCCCTCCTCCTCTTCCTCCTGACCCTCACCAGCAGGTACTGCTTGGAGGGGCTGAGGCAGGCCAGCCGCGTGAAGCCCTGCGTCCAGGTACCGTCCCCCAGCCCCTGCAGCTCTGGGCGCAGCACGCAGTTGCCGGTGCTCTGGGACAGAAAAAAGGAGGGCGCCACGAACTCCTCCCGCAGTGCGTCGGGGGTGCGGGGCACGAACACGAAGGGGCGCTGCTGACACCTGCAGAGGGGTGGCGGCGGAGGAGGTTGGGTGCCCGCCTCAGCGCCTCAGCGGCGGATTGTAATGGATGTGTTACGACTTAGGAGTGGTTTGCTGGCCTGCTCCGGGCACACTGGGAGCTTGGTTGCGCCGCTTCAAACCCAGCCAGGTCAGATACCTAAATTACCTATGCATCCATGCGCCATGTGCCATGCATGGTACTTGCAGGACTGCAGGGCTGTAAGCGTTGCAGTGAGTGCCATTCGCCCCAAGTCCCCAGGGCCGGCCCCCCCCCCCTTATCTTAACCCCTTACAAGCGCTGTGGCCCGTCCCCTTACAAGCGCTGCGCCCTGCCCCCCGTGAAGGGCACGTCGCCCCGGCCCAGGTCCTGTTGCACGATGCGGTAGGCCTGCAGCAGCCGCTCGCTGAGGCGGTCCACGGGGCGGGGGTGGTTGAGCAACACGGAGGCGATGGCGTCCTGCGGAGTGCATGGGGGCGGCGGCGGGGTTGCGGATGCGGGGATGATGGTCCGAACTTTGGAATCCGGGTGATGGTGGTAGTAGTGGTGGTGGTGACAATGTGGGGTGCTAAGGTGCATGCTACCGGTACGCGACGTCAGACACCCTCACCCGAATCGGCCGGGTCGATTGAAGCGGGCCGACCGGCACAGCTCCTCCACGTGCACCCACACCCGCACCCGGAACCGCACCCGGAACTGCACCCGGAACTGCACCCGGAACCGCGCTGCCAGCTCCGGCCCCCACAACCGGGCCTGCGGCTCCAGGCAGTACGGCTGGCCGCCCGCCTAAACCACCAGTGCTGAACGCGGGCGTGATGGAGGTGCCTCCCGAGGTGCCTGCCACTCCCGTGGATGCGCCCGCAGCGGCACCTGGCGTGATGCCTGTGGGACCGGCGCCGCCAGTGCTGGCAATGCCGCCGCCGCCACCTGCTCCACTGGTGCCGCTGGTGGCTTGCTGCAGTCGGCGACCTGCCGAAGCGCCGCCAGACGCCTGCGGTCCGCTCCCTGCTGCTAGATCGCTGGCTGCTGCAGCAGGGGTTCCGCTGCTCGTGCTTGGCTGGTTCACGGTGCCAGTAGCAGCGGCAGCAGTGGCACCGGACATGGTTACTGCTTGGCCACCTGCCTGCTGGGCGGCTGGAAATTGGAAGCTGCGCGTGGTGCCATGGAGCCAGTTCTGGAGCGCGTCGGACATTGTGTGGCCCAGGGCGCCTGCTAGAGAGGCGGCCGGGTCCATGTGGGTCGACGTCTGGGGTTTGCTGGCGGTGCCGCTGCTTCGAAAGGGTGACCCATGGGTCGTGCTGTCTGCGTTGCGGGCACTGAAGGAGTCATTGATGTCGTCGTGGGCTTCGGCTTGGTTTTTGTGGCCACCGCTGCCGACATCGGCGCCGTCTCCTGAGCCCATAGCGCTCGTCCATGTGGACGAAGGAGCTTGGGGTGATCCCTCCAACATCGCACTCACCGCAGCCAGCTCCGAATCCAGCCATTGCCGTACACCGTTGACCGTAGCAACTAACTTGGTAGTTTCATCCAGGCTGCTGCTGCTGCCATGCCCCTGCCCCCCGCCCCCTGCGCCGTCCGTGCCCTCACGCTTGCTGCCGCCAATGCCCGTGATGGTGGGTGCAACGTGGGCCGCAATGCCGCCAAGGAAGGCAGCAACCGCATCCTCCAGCTGCTGGGCGGACCGCACATTCTCCAAGCTCTCAAGCTCATGCAGGGCGGGCAGGGAGCTTGAAGCCGCCCACATTTGCGGGTCTTTGCTGCCTGCCCCTGTCCGGAAGCCGCCGCTGGGGGCCCCTCCAGCTCTGTCAGAGGCAGCCGTGGGGCCTGAGGCTTCGTCGCCCTCACCTGGTGCAGACATCAGGACATTGTATGTGCTTTCGTGACATGGAAGGTGCTTCACCGTATGGCCGAAAGCAGTTAGCCGCAACGCCACACCACAAGACGTCCCCAGCCCGACGTGAAAACGCCACACCACAAGACGTCCCCAGCCCGACGTGACCCACCCTCTGGGCTTGCGCGCCTGCTGCCCTCCTCGGCCCCGGCCAGGTACCAGGCAGGGAAGGCGGCTGTAAGCGCTGCCAGAGCCTCTGCAGGGCCGGCCTCAGCAGTCAGGCGGGCTAGCCCGGGAACAGCGGTCTTGGATGGGGAGAGGGCAGCCGCAAGCCATGGGGGTACGGGGGCGTCCAAGCTAAGCGCGGCGTATGCGTCGAGGGTTGCTGCAGGGGCTGTGGTAATAATGGCGATGAGGAGCGTGGTTACCAAGCAAAGGGAGGCGGGCATGGGTATGGAGGGGGCTGGTCGTCTAGCGGAGCGGAATAAGTGGCCGTTTGCAGCAGGTCTGTGGGGCCTGTGCGAAGAAACAAAAGCGGTCACGATGTTCTTGCAACAAGGGCTATATTTGTTGGGTGTAGTCAAAACCAAGTTGGGGGAGTGGCTAGGGGCAGCGGGTTGTGTGCTTGCATGCAGCTAAGTGGAGTGCTTGTTGGAAGGGCAGAGGGCCCTATGGGTGCGGGTTCCTGCAATGGCATGCTACCTATTATCATAGCGACGTATCCAGAGCAAATAAACGTGCACATTTTTGCATAGTTACGTGCGTGTGATACGTGCTTGTACTCCTAGCTTAAGGTAGCCAACGCGCCAACTGCTTGCCGCGAGAAACCAGTTAGACCACGTGTTTTCACACTAGCAATCTTTAATCACAGCAGGATATTGCCATGCCAGGGAATGCGTTCGTGTATGGAACCCTGATGGCCGATGAGGTGGTTACGCTGCTCATTAAGCGCGTGCCGGTTTCCAAGCCGGCGGTCATTAAAGGATACACGCGTTATAAGGTCAAGGGGCAAGTCTTCCCTGCGATAGTGCCCGCTACAAATGAAGCGAAGGTGGAAGGCAAGGTAAGGCATGCAAGCGAATGGTCTTAACGGTCACGAAGGCATGTGACATTTTCAGGAATTCTGCAGGTCCTTCTGAACCTGACGGACAAGGAGCTGGAAATTCTGGATGGTGCGTTGCTAATGCAGTTTGTGGACCTTGTTTCAGCGCTAATTGCGACGAATGGGGAGCCCCCACACTTGACCCCAGGGTTGTGCCTGCCTGTGGAATGGCTCTGCAGTCATTGCATCTTATTGCAAACTCGCGACATCTGACAGGGCCTCTATGGGCTAAGCGCTCGTCGCGGCTAGGGTTAGGGTTAGGGTTCTGCAGGAGTTTAAAGGGATTCACGTACAGAATACAGGCTCACTCGCCAACAACTGTTGCTGGGTGACAAGTCGAGCCAACTACCGGTATTGCGACGTCCCGATCAAAGCCCCTTCCTCAACTTTCCTCCATGCAGTGTACGAGAGCGAGGAGTACTACCGAGCAACCGTCTCACCCGAACTTGAGGTGCGCCACTCTGTGCTGCAGGGCACATCGCTGCCCCGCTCATCCGATATAGCGTTAAATTCGAATGTCCTGACAAACCGCGCAGGACGGATCAGCCCTGACGGCGGAGGTGTATGTTTGGAAGGACCAGTACAGGTGGGGGGTCAAAGACCATACCAAACCATAGGAGACCACAAGTTAGGGCAAAACAATGGGGGTAGGAGTTGGCAGGGTGCCACAAGACAATGGGTTGGTTAGCTTGTTGGTACAGGTGGGGGGGGAGGTACCGTGCGCTTTGTTTGTCCTAATGCGGTCCGCAGTCCATGCCTTGCACGACAAATAGCGTGAACAGTTGGGAACTGCAACCCGCCTCCCTCTGCCTGGCCCCTGCCTCTGCATGCCTGCCGTTGGTCCATACATGCAGCCACATGCTGAACCCAGAACCCTGGAGCTATGATGACTGGAGGTCCAAGCACCTCAACGCATGGGTCAGCAGACGTGAGTACGGCTCCTAGTAACGGCACGGCAAACACCCGTGTGTGCATACCTTTACCAGGCATATGCTGCTAGCGGAGGAATGGTCTTTCGAGCAGTTCATGCGTGAGCATCACGCCGATTACGTCAACATGACACGGAAATTTGTGGAGGAAGAGCTGGGCGAGGGCGCTTAGACTCTTGTGAGCGAATTACCAAGCCTGGATGGATCAACTGCTTATTTGCTGGCAGCAGCGTATCACCATACCTCGCGGAGAATTGCGCGAGCCGGCCGTGAGCGTACATGTCATGTCAATGCTGTGTGCTTGCCCCTGTTTGTCCGCACAGTTAATCCAAGCGGCGCGCACCCAGAGGGCGAGATGCAGCAGTAGCGGTTATGAGTGAGCAGCGCGTAGCATAGGCAGGAGAGTTTGCAGGAGGCCGACAGGCGCGACAGCTGTCACAGGGTTTTCACAGGGCGCATGCCGTACTATGGATCACATGTAGGCGGCGCCAACGGCGGCTCTGGAGATATTTCAGACTAATTTTATAGACAGGTCAAAGTATATTGCGAGGTTTTTTACAATTCTAGTTGTACAGTGATAGCGCTTAGCTGCTGACGGCTAGTTGAGGAGCGTGCTTGCTATTCAATCTTTCGTAGCCTGTAGAGCCTTTACAAATAAAGGGGCCTCTGCCCCTGACTGCGCTTTGGAATGGCGCAACATGGCTGCGTCGATATTCCCGCAGCCCAGGTGCGAGAGATGGCGCTGTCGCAAGATTGATTGTGGGCCGCGACGCACGTTTGAGTTTAACGACTTCTACTTTGCGTTGTAAAGCGTGTTACATGTATGATAGCCGACAAGGACACTTGCTGTTGTATGCCGTCGGTTTACCAGGCGGTGTTGGTGCCTACGGAGACGATTCCCGAAACGCCAGTTGTCCGCGGCTATGATTTCGCAAATGGTCGCGACCTGGACGGCATTATGGATGCCATGTTGACGACCGGGTTCCAGGCCACCTCCTTCGGCCAGGCAATCCAGGAGGTTAACCGCATGGTGCGTCGGGAACCAGATGTTCCTCGTCATACCGTTGGGGAGGGATGGCGCTGGGCAATGGGCGGGAACGTTGGAAAGCACGCTGGGGATGAATCCTCCTCGGACTGTTGCACAACCTCCCCCTAACAATTTGCAAGCTACGCATCCTTTTATGTCTCGATTGTGCCCCGCCATTCGGCTTGGCCCTTTGGGTATGCTGGGATGCAACATCAAGCATGGCTGCGACTTCTCATGCGCTTGTCGTCCATTCCCCTGGACAAGGGCTTGGTTGTCGCAGCAACATGTACTCACCTATCTACGGGATAGCAACCAAGTTAGCAGCTGTCTATACAGCGCCGTTGTGTGTTGCGTCCATCTGCTTGTGCATGCCAGCCCTTATCCCATTCTCCACGCTAACTACACCATTGCAGATCAACTGGCGCCTAAGCGATGAGCCGGTGGGTCCCGGCACCGACCCAGATCACGTCGACCCCGAATTCCGCGCCTCGACCCGTGCCATGATTTTCCTGGGCTTCACCTCCAACCTCACCTCCGCGGGCGTTCGGGAACACATTAGGTAGGGAGCAGCGCGGTGACGTGTACAGGGGAGAGAAGCGTATCCCGAATGCCGGGTCATGCATTGTTGGAAGCACCTTTACACGGGATAGCGTACCTGATCAGCAGTTGCAGCTCTGTTTTCCGCTGGGTTTACCGTCGTAACGCATCTAATACCAGTTGGGGTGTCCCAGGCAGTGTCACCTTGACTAGTCACAGATGCTACAACAGCGCATGGTTTTGCAATCCGCTGCGTCAAGTGCTATGTCGCAGTGGTCTATCACCTTGCAACACTATCACTGTACCGCTCAACATCCACCTCCATACGCTGCCATGCATGATTCTAGCCTGCGCCGCATCTTATACCAGTTGGGGAGCTCGAATCCATGGGCACCTGACTTGTCATAGATGCCACAGCCGATGCATGGTTTTGCAATCCGCTGCGTCAAATGCTATGTCGTAATGGTCTATCACCTTGCTACATGATCACTGTACCGCTCAACATTCACCTCAAACGCTGCCATGCATGATTCTAGCCTGCGCCGCATCTTATACCAGTTGGGGAGCTCGAACCCATGGGCACCTGACTTGTCATAGATGCCACAGCCGATGCATGGTTTTGCAATCCGCTGCGTCAAATGCTATGTCGTAATGGTCTATCACCTTGCTACATGATCACTGTACCGCTCAACATTCACCTCAAACGCTGCCATGCATGATTCTAGCCTGCGCCGCATCTTATACCAGTTGGGGAGCTCGAACCCATGGGCACCTGACTTGTCATAGATGCCACAGCCGATGCATGGTTTTGCAATCCGCTGCGTCACAGCCCATGTCGCAACGGTCTATCACCTTGCAACAACCATTTCCATGCCAGATCAGCTGCAAGCGGGTGTGGGTCAACTCAGGGGTTTCCCCTGTGGCTCCTCCTTTGCATCTCCATTACCAAGTACACTTTTCCGATTTGGCCTTGTAACCGTTTCCCTGGCCCTGCTTCGCACACTTGTTTCTCCCTTCAGGTACCTTGTCCAGAACCGCATGGTCGATGTGTTGGTGACCACCGCGGGAGGCATTGAGGAGGACTTCATCAAGTGCATGGGGCACACCTACCTGGGCGACTTCCAGCTTAAAGGTGTGAGGCTGAGTCATGCAGAATCAGGGAGCTTGCCTGCCCTGCTGTCCCGATTAGCGACTGCATGCGGTTGTGGCCGCTCGTGCAGCACATGCAGCAATCAGTAGTGTGCCCAGAAGCGGGATGGCTGGTCGGGTCGGGGCCATTGCATGAGATGCATGCATGCTGGAATGGGACCACAGAAGCAGGAGTGCTTGACTAAGCGGAGCCCCTACGGGCTGTGTTCGATGTGCTTCTTTTTTGAACCAGGTGCCGAGCTGCGGATGAAGGGCCTCAACCGCATTGGCAACATGCTTGTACCCAACTCCAACTACTGCAAGTTTGAGGACTGGATCATCCCCATCCTTGACGCAATGCTCAAGGTATGGATCCTTGTTGAAAAGCCGCCAGGGGTGCACTGTATTATGTTGCGGCTTGGTCCAGAGCTTCTATTGCTAGGATGTGAGATTGTGGTGGCTTGGTAAGGTTGGTATACAAGGCTGGGTTCCCCGCCCGCACGCGTAGCGGTTTACATGCAGCGCTTTGCTGATACGTTTTCCTGTCATGCCTTTTGCTACGCGCCCTCAGGAGCAACAAGAGCAAGGGGTGAACTGGACACCGTCGAAGCTGATTGATCGGTAAGGGGTGGTTGGTGGGCGATGAGGGGTGGCCAATGACGCAATGAGGGGTCAACGCTCCTTAATGATGTTGTTCCGGCACGATAACTATCAGCATCTCGAAGGCGCACTTGATGACATTGCCAATCCGCATCACTGACATGTGCCCTGTAGTTTCACCCAAGTTGTAGCTTAAACGACAACACCCTAGCCTATACAACCATGCTCCTTGCTTACCTTGCTTTCTGGCGCAGGCTGGGCAAGGAGATCAACCACCCCGACTCGATCTACTACTGGGCGCACAAGAACGGCATTCCCGTGTTCTGCCCCGCCATCACGGACGGCTCCATAGGCGACATGCTCTTCTTCCACTCGTACAAGAGCCCGGGGCTACGGTGAGGGGGGGGGTATACAACTATGCAGGCTTCATTAAAGGCATGAATGTGCGACGCGGACTTCAGTGAACGTGTGTCCGTGTATTTGGGCATCATGGGTTTGATACCCGGTGCCACTGATTGGCATGCCGTGGCTAGCATGTGGTCGGCTTTCGAGCCCTAACTAACTTGGGAGTTGCCATCCTGGCTAATGCAGGGTCGACGTGGTGGAAGACATCCGGCGAATCAACGACCTGGCCATGCGGGCAACGCCGCGCAAGACTGGCATGATCATCCTGGGAGGAGGTAAGGATAGCTTGCGTGGCTCGCTTTGTAGCCTAGTGCAAGGTCTTGCCAGCCCATCAACTTGACACCACCCCTTACTCACAGCTGCCTTGATCGCTAACCCTGACGTGCAATCCCGTCCGCGCTCAATGTCTTTTTGCCCAGGCGTCCCCAAGCACCACATCTGCAACGCCAACCTGATGCGCAACGGCGCCGACTTCGCCGTCTACCTCAATACGGCGCAGGAGTTTGACGGCAGCGACAGCGGCGCGCGACCCGACGAGGCGGTGTCGTGGGGCAAGATCCGCATCGACGCCAAGCCGGTCAAGGTATGCAGGAAGGGGGAGGATGCTGCGGGTGGAATGGGTGTGCGGGCGGTGTTGGAAGGCTGGATGTGTCTTGGATATGATTGGGCCGTTATTGCATGTGGCTTCGGTTGCACGCGTGCGGTTGTGTGCGGGGGCACAGGGTCGGAAATCTCGTCTTTTAGGTCGCATTTGCCCTGAAACCGAAGTTGCCCTTCTTTTCGTCGATCCGCATGCAGGTTTGCGGCGATGCGACCATCCTGTTCCCTCTCCTCATCTCCCAGACGTTTGCGCGGCACTGGCGGCCCCTAGAGCCGTCGCAAAAGAAGGAGGAGCCCTCGAGCGGCAGTGACGGCGTGTTCAAGGCGACGTTTGACTGAGTTCTTGGTAGCGGGGTTAGCTTAGGTACCTGCCCTAGCTGAATTGGGCTGGAAGAAATTGGGTTGGAAAAACAGGTGAAGCAGGATGGTGTGGTGAGGTATGTAGCTGATAGCAATGTTCAGGAGGACAGGCATGCATTGGATGTACAGGGTGTCTATCCATCTCTCAATAATGGCGCAATTGCATTGACGGCTTGCCTACAACGAACGTGGTCATTATTCGAATCCTGGTGTTTAGCGTCTGTGGAACTGGGGTGCAGAGGAAATGGCTATGGCTGCGTGCGTGTTGAAACGTGCGCCACGCAGCCAATGATGCGTACAGAAGGATTACACTGTACGCGGATTCACAGCTCGGAATGTACCCGATGTCTGTATGCGCTCTTGCCGCGAAGCGTTTGTTGTGCGCGGGGTTTGGCATAGGGCTGCTTGGGCAGGCGTGGCAAAACCGCCTGAAGGTTTCCATGGACTACGGATGGAGCAAATACGGCTTGCAAAAGGCATGCAGCTTCAGTTGACCCCATGTCAAGGTTTAGGCTCCTGTAATCGAGACGCCTAACGCCTTACCTCTGTGCTGCACTTTTGGGAAGGTTGCCCGCTACACGGAGCTAAAGTACCGGTACCATGCTAATGTAAGTGCTTTAGTGTGGCAAGAGCCGTGCATGCCGCCTGCACGGTCCTTTTGGGGTAAAACCCCAGGCTGACCGGGCACGGCCCCTATCATCAACTGCGGGCAGCACCATTTCTGCCGAGGACGTTTTGGCCTGTCAGGTGTCCTGCTGTCCTTGACGGGGCTGACCTACGGCGATCGCTGGTGTTGCCCTGCAGGTGTGCCCGATAAATCGCTGGCGACGCACTATGCTATTCAGTGCACCGGTGTGCTTCCCCCAACTAGCCTTTCCAGCATCACTTTTGGCTTTTGGTTTGGTCGTAGCCGTGGTACGGCAGGCGTCCGTGCATGGATGTTGCCATTGTTTTATGACGACTCCAACTCTTGCAAGTCGCCCTGCAATTTGTAGCCGCCTGCAGCAGACAAGAGGTTTAGGTGTAGTTGTCTTGTTGCTAGTTGAATTTGGAAACCTCGCGAAGACCATGACGGCGCCCGTAGGCACTAAGCCCCCGAAGGCAAAAAAGCCAAGGAAGGCCAAGATTTTGCTTGAAGCTGTTCCTGATGATGGACACCCCGGTAACTCCAAATTCGCTCGGGCGTTGGGCAGCGTCGATTACCAAACTCGAGAAAAGGGACTGGCCGCGCTTGCGCGCTGGCTAGTACGCAGAACAGACTTGCGGGAGTCTGACATGATGAAGATCTGGAAGGGGCTATTCTACTGCTTTTGGCACTCAGACAAGGCGCCCGTGCAGGTATGGCCGCCGGTATTTCAAGTTGCTGAAATCCTTTTGTTAAAATTGGATAACGTATAAATGATTATCAATTAGGGAAATGTTTTTGCGAACCGCAGTTGGAGCTGGCCGAGCGCCTGGCGGCCATGTTGACCCAGCTGTCAGAGCAGGTAGGGCTGCTTGCTCATGCTAGTCCATGCTATCAGTTATTTTTGCTGAAGTTTGTCCTCAACTAGAAAAATCAGAAGGCCTCTGCTGCTTAGTAAGGAAAGGGTTGTTGCAACAACTTAGGGCCTGGCGGAGAATATGTTTGCACCTAATGCCGCTAGGGATGTGTCCATGCTCCTTGCGGTTCCTTGGTTGGCACGTTTGGCGGAGCAATCACCTTCTGCAGGCCGGCGGAGATTCCTGCCGTGCCGCGGCTTGCCTTCTCTGCCCACCCAGACAGAGCAGGGTACTCACGTGCACGCCCGTGCTGTCCCTCAACGCAGTCCGCCTACATGTTCTTCGCGGCTTTCCTGGCCACCATGCGCCGCGAGTGGTTTGGGATTGACCGCCTGCGCCTGGACAAGTTCCTGATGCTCATCCGCAAATTCGTAAACCGCATGCTAGCATGCCTCCAGGCAGCTAACTGGTACGTGCTACCAGTTCACGACCTGTCCTCGGCTCCACTAACGCTGGTCCTACCTGGTGCCGGTCCTGCATGCGACCCGCCTCGCCGCCTGTTTGTCGCCATGCCATGTGAGCGTGCACTTGCTCGCCTGCTGCTTGTCCTCTCGTCCGTTGCGCCCGCCTGCACTCCAGGGCCAAGACGTTCTTATCTTACGTGCCCTGCATTCGACCTCCTTCCCTCTACCTCCTTCCCAGGCGCTCGGACCTGGTGCAGCGCTACTCGGACTACCTCCGGGACCACGTGGTGAACCCCAAAGACACGCTGTCGGCTGCTGGACTGGCCTACCACTTAGGGGACGTGCTGCTTGCGGAGCTGCGGGTCGTTGCAGGGGACAAGCCGGTGCCGGGCGCTACGTTGGCCGCGATGCTCACGCCGTTCTGCTTGGCGTTGCAGACCGGGGAACAGGCAGTCTTGAACCGGATTGGGTGAGTGGGAAAGGAGATGAGGATGAGATTCGGGATGGCATGAGGAGGGCTGGTTGGCTGGGCCCATGGTTTGGGCCATGCGGCCACCAGTTGTCATGTCTTCTGGCCTCTCTCCTGATCACCTCCCATCACCTCGACCTGACCCCCTGCTGCCCTTCAATCCTGTTCCTTTCCACCCCGTTAGGGAGGGCGTGTTTGACACGCTGTTGTCAGAGCTCGCCAACCCCTCGGACGACTCGCCCTATCTGCAGCAGCTTGACGTTGCGGCGCTGGCGGCGCAGCTCTTTGAGCTGGGTGCTGCGCCCAGCACCCGCGCACGCAACCGGCAGGTGCTGTACGACCTCTCGAACTCGCTGGAGCGCATGCAGCGGAAGCGGCAACGGCTTGACACTGGTGGGAGTATGTGGGCGTATTGAAAAGACGGAGCGTGATGGGAACCGTAGCTGGTTGTTGTGGATTCTGACCAATTGCCCTGTTAACACTGGCAAGGCTAAAACCTCCGGGGCCTTTCCGTCCTTCTTCCTGCCCTCTCAGGCGCTCAGGCGGGACCCTCAACCGAGGCGAAGCCTGCGGGCAAGGCTGCGAAGAAGCAGCAGAAGCAGCGGGTAGCAGCACCGGATGCGGAGGAGGCTGTGCCAGCAGCGCAGCCAGAGGAAAAGGCTGAGCCGTCAGCAGCAGCTAAGCGGGCCAAACGCAAGGCGTCCAACGCTGACGCGTCGGAACCCAACGGCGTGCAGCCAGACGTCCAGGGCGCCCAAGGGGCCGTAGAGAAGGAGGAGCAGCCCCAACCAAAAGAGCAGACGACTGGCAAGAAGAAGAAGCGGCTCCAGGCGGAAGCGGGCGGCGACGCGGGCGAGACGCCAGCAGCAGCAGCGCCGACGACGGTGTCTACAGCTGCCGGCGTAAAAGCGGCCGGCACCCCCAGCGCAGCGGCGAAAGCATCAACCCGGGAGCCCACTTCTGGGCAAAAGGCAGCGTTGCGCGCGGCTGTGGCCAAGGTCGGGCAGACGCCTGTTGGCAAGCCGCCTAAGGCGAAGGAGGCCGCGGAGGAGGCCAAGCAGCAGGAGCAGGGCGACGCTGAGGCGACCGCACCCACGCTCACGCCGGCGTCCACGCCGACGGCTGTGAAAGCGTCTGCGCTGGGCAAGCGGGCAGCACCTGGCAGCATCCTGAAGAAGGCTACTGGGACGAAGTCAAAGCCGCTGGCCAACGGGACGGCGACTAAGGCGGCGGCGCAGGTGCGTATGACAGCTCCTGGGCAGGTTGCTACTGCCCTTTCTAAGCTGATGTCATTTTATGACGCATTTAGCAGCCTGTGCAAGAACGATGACAACATTTTGGTCTTACTGCATGCAATGCCTCGCTGATGCCGCAGGCTGAGGGCGACGGTGCGAACGGGCACGCGCCGCAGACCGCAAAGAAGAACCGCGTTGTGATCAACCTCAAGAAGAACCTCTACTTTGAGCACGGTGGCCCGGTCCCCGACCCGGACGTCCGCACGCCGCCCCCTGCACGAGCCAAGGTGGGTCGTGCCTTCGCATGATACCCCATGCTCCGAGCAAACTTTGGCTATTCTCAAGGTTGCTTAACTGCCTTCATGGATGTGGTGGTTCTTTATAGAGGCTTTTGCACTTTCCGCCTGACCTTTGTTGTATGAGCAGGTCAAAGCAGGTCATTGCTAACATATCCCTGGCCCTATCTCCATTGCAGGGCGGCATCTTGAAGAAGTCCGCTAAGACGTGCCCGCCCAAGATGGCGTCGTCAGCGGCGGCTTCCGGAGCCCAGCGGCAACAGCAGGCGGGCGGCCGGGTGCTGCCAAAGAAGGCGCGTCGCGCCAGCGCCGCCCTCTTCTTCTAAGCGTGCATCGTTGCTACATGGGGGATCAACTGGCTGAGGGCGCCGTGCTGTCGCGCAAATAGCATAGCCGGAGCGCGAGTTGGAATAAGAGAGCATGTGGTAGCCGTTGCGCCCGGTGTTGTGGCCAGGGGATGGTAGTACGGATGTCGCAGCACGTGCGATGTGGATGTGTTTTGCACGATGGTCACTGTTTGCAGGGGCCCCGCCTTCTGACATCAGCTGTCATCGGACGGTGAGGTACGCATTGTGATGGGTGGTGGTGAACAGGCAAAGGAACAGTATTACCTCCTTGGGGTTGGCTGCCATGCCAGGCAAAGGCGGTCTTGTAGCGAGGGACCTATGCATCCGGTAGGGCATAGCTGGTATGGGTGCTACGGAAATGGACGGTGTCCTTTGGGAATTGCTTTCGGTGGTCTGAACACAGCAATTCCTCGTGAATTGCTGTTGGCGATCCGGGTCGTGTAAGGTGCGCCATACGTCTTCTGGTACCATCAAACTGGCCCTTGCATATGGAACTGAGCATTCACGTCGTGCACGTGACGACTAGACTGGCATGGAAATGCCGCATTACGGCGTCGCTCAGCCAAAGATGATATGACCGACGTCTTTAGCCCGTTTCCATGCTAAGGAAGCCATGGATGGCAGCAGCTGGCTGGCTTAGAGCACTACTTTCTGGCGCTGCACCACGTGGCCGGCTGTTCCCAACTGCGCAACTCCCACCAAGCCATGGGAACAGCTTCCGTTTTCATGAAAATGCAAAAGCGTTGAACCGTCAACAAGAAGTAGGATCATGTTTACTAGCAGTCCATGTACCCCAGACCCATGGACCAACAACAATTACCGGTACTAAGGCAGCATTGCCGATAGACCGTCGCTGAAGTAAGGTTACAAATATTGTTGCCCTTAACTGCCGAGTTCTGGGCTTCTGGGTAAAGCCGCAGATTGGACACCATGCAATTTGGTTTTGCCGTATACGATGTTGTCCGCACGTATACGATTGGTGCGTGACAACCCTATACAACAGCCTCGATCTCATCGCCTAGGCCTCGTTAAAAGGTTGCTTATTCGAGGCAGACGTGACAGGAGTTGCGGACCAGCTGGCGTAATTTAACTTCCATAAAATTGCGCTTCCTTCTTTCACTTGTTGCTCGCGTTCGTCCAGTTTGATTAGCACCAACACCTATTAATTTCGCTTTATTACGAGCAAACATGTCAGCCGACACCGTCCATGCGGACTATGCGTCTGTCTCCAAGCTGGCCAAGTACCCGTTTGAGCCATACTGGCCCGAAAAGAAGCTGAAGATCTGTGTGACTGGTGCTGGTGGTTTCATTGCTAGCCATCTGGCGAAGCGCCTTAAGTCAGAAGGCCATTACATTGTGGCTTGCGACTGGAAGCGCAACGAGCACTTTGCGGTGAGTTGGACGTTTATGAAGGCTTAGCATGGGGATGTGGGTAGCAGAGGTCAAAAGTCCTTCAGGTTGATCCGAGCGAATGCTTAGTACACGCGCCCTGCGAGCTATCAACTGATAGCATATTGTTTCTACAGTTGGTATGTCTTTGGTATATCAGATCAACTTCACGGCGTCGTAGAAGAAGTGTTCTTAGTTTTGGTCCCTTGGCATAGCGGCGGTCCTGGAACAACCGAGTAGTAGAGCTCGATGCTGAAGCATCTAAGCTTACCAAGAGGCTTCCGTCAAACTTGATTGACTGCCCTTTGAACGCGTCTTTCCTGTGGGTGGGCTGCTGGGCTGTTTAGCAGGGTATTTGAACAGCTGCGGGTCAGCCTTTGTCCTGTCTGCACCTGCCTGGGCTGAAGGCAGTTGTCAATACCGTGGGGCTTCCTTTGGGACTACGTTGTTCTCTGCCCCAAACATAGCGCCTTACTATTTGCTGCGCAACCCTTGCCCTCTGGCTGTGTTTCCCGTAGTAACCCCTGCACACCCCGTCTTGCCTTGCAGGAGGAGGAGTTCTGCCACGAGTTCCACCTGGTAGACCTCCGCGTGTATGCCAACTGCAAGAAGGTGTGCGAGGGATGCGAGCACGTGTTCAACCTTGCCGCGGATATGGGCGGCATGGGCTTCATCCAGTCCAACCACTCCGTCATCATGTACAACAACACCATGGTGTCGTTCAACGTGCTGGAGGCTGCCCGCAACTGCGGCGTCAAGCGGTGAGAGGAGGCGGCACTCCGGCAGTGGGGAGGTTACTGCCCAAATGGCGAGGGGATCTGGACAGCGCCTGTGGTTAGGGTTGGCGACCCTGTGTGCACTTCCCATCTTTAAAAGCGGCAAGCGCTGCCAACGCCAGCGTATCCATACTGACTCAATGCAACGCGTTGTCCAAGCCTTTTCTCCCAACCTGATATCTGAACCCCTTCTCGCCCTGCAGCTTCTTCTACGCCTCGTCCGCCTGCATCTACCCCGAGTTCAAGCAGCTTGACACCACCGTGGAGGGTGGCGGCCTGAAGGAGGGCGATGCATGGCCCGCGCAGGTGAGGATTGCGGAGTGCACGGCTGGGATCAGGGCCGCAGGCATGAACTAGCCGGGGAAGTACGGTTCAGCACGGCCGCATGCGATGCGATGAGAGGCATGGGCAAGAGGAAGAATGGTTGCAACTGATGCCATGCATAAACGTGAGGATGGCATACCCTGTGTTTGGTTCCGCCGTACACGGTTTCGTGTCTGCTGGCGGGACAGCGGTCCAAGTTGCGCATGCACTTGCGCTGGGGCTACTCAGTATGCCTTGAGCCCTGTCCAGTCGTTAGTAATACAACGTATTCTTGTGCGCCTGCACGATGTGCTCTTCCTCTTGTCCAGCCCCAAGACGCGTACGGCCTTGAGAAGCTGGTGACGGAGGAGATCTGCAAGCACTACCAGAAGGACTTTGGCATTGAGTGCCGTGTGGCACGCTTCCACAACATCTACGGGCCACACGGGACGTGGAAGGGTGGCCGCGAGAAGGCGCCTGCCGCCTTCTGCCGCAAGGTGGGTTACCTTCACTGTTGTAATCCCTGCGGTCCAGAACCCTTCGTTTGCATTTGTGGGCGTTCAGGTTACTTGTGTGACCCATGGTCGTCGCACGTATAGCGCATATGCTAGTCAACGTTTTTCCATCGCGCGCCCAAGCGCACACCAGGCGCATGCGTCGCCACACCTCTCCTCCCTGCTCCATCCTAATCGCTTCTTCCCTCTCCATCTTCCTGCCCACCCGTTTCTTCCGCAGGTGCTCACCTCGGCCTCCGAGATCGAGATGTGGGGCGACGGCAAGCAGACCCGCAGCTTCACCTTCATCGACGACTGCGTGGAGGGCATCCTGCGCATCACCAAGTCGGACTTCACGGAGCCCCTCAACCTGGGCTCCACCGAGATGGTGTCCATGAACGAGATGATGGAGCTGGCCATGTCGTTCGAGGAGAAGAACCTGCCCATCAAGCACATCCCCGGCCCCGAGGGTGTGCGCGGCCGCAACTCGGACAACAAGCTCATCCTGGAGAAGCTGGGCTGGGAGCCCACCGTGACGCTGAAGGACGGCCTCAGGTGGGCTTGCGAGGCTGGCGAATGGGCGCGGTTGCGTGGGAGGAGGGGGGGTCAAAGGAGGTTGGGTTGCGGTCGGAATGAAAATTACCTTATGATAGGCGGCCCGGCGCCGTCGCTTAGAAGCTCCACCCAGGTAGCAAAACAGCTATTAACATCCATGTGCGTGTGTGTATCTCGCGCACAGGCGGACGTACTTCTGGATCAAGCAGCAGCTGGAGAAGGAGAAGGAGCAGGGTGTGGACGCCAGCAAGTACAGCCACAGCACCATCGTGCAGACCAGCGCGCCAGTGGAGCTCGGCTCGCTGCGGAAGGCGGACGGCGAGGAGGGCTTCTAAGCGCGCTGCGTGTCCCGCAGCTTGTTGGCGGGCCGTGTTACGCCATGTTGGACTGGCGGCTGTGTCTGTGGTCACTGTAGATAACGGGTGGTGCTGGTGGTTTGGGAGGCATTGGCAGAGGATTCGATGCATGGAGGGTGGCATCTCTTTTGTGCCTGTGACCTCTTCAGGATTAAGGAATTGTGAACTGCTGGTATCAAGTTTGCCAAGGCGTCCGGAGTCGTTTAACCTTTCCCAACGGGTAATGCTGTGGAACAATTAACCGGGATACTTGCAACATTAGGAGGCGGCCCCCGCGAATGGGCCAGGACTTGTACATGCTGATATTACATAACGTCAGAAGCGGTTAGGTTTATGCACGCCCATGCTCATGCATGCTGGATGCGGCACTTTATGTAAGCAGTGTTTGCGTAGTACCCGGATGATGGCCACTTCTCGCATGTTCAGCACCTTCACGTTTACAAACCATAGCTGCTGGATCCGAAACCAGTAGGTAAGTCTGACGACTTGCCCCAAACGGCACATCTTTAGATGTTGCGCTAACCTCACTGCATGACGCATATGGGGTGCCATCGTGGAAACAAAGCCTGAGGCTGTCCCCATGTCCGCTATTGTCAGAGTCCAGTCCTGGAGACACCAATTCGCCAATCGTGCTAGTGGCAGTTGCAGTTGCCATGACCGCCTAGCCTACCTTGTGGAAAGACAGTGCAGTCCGGCGTCGGCGAAACCCACCATGTTCCCTTTGCACCTCCCGTACATTAGCCGCCCTCCTCGAACCTTACGAAGTAACTACGTCAGTATCTCTTGCAAGCTGCTGCACATCCTGGATAATACAATCACATGAAATACTACGCAGCCTACCAGCCTGAGCCCATCCTCCCTACTACAAAGCAAGAATGCGTCCAAGAGTCGCGGTTAACAGGCTCGCATGAGAATGTACACATAACATCATCTACAATGCTAATTACAGCTCAGCTCGTAATTACGAGTCCAAGTTGCAGACCACCAAGCGGGGTACAACCGTACGGCAGCCCTGGTGTACGGCACCCGCCGTCGTCACTCGTCGTCCTCGTCCTTGGGCGCGTACTTGAGCGTTTGCTCCTTCATGCGCTGCACATACTCCTTGGGGCTGCGCTTGTTGAGGTGGTAAGCCTGCGGCAGCAGCAAGGGTTGGGTTACCGGTGTAGCCGAGCTTCAGCACCGTTCCAACGTCCCACGAGCCAGGCATGCGCCGAATCAACCAGGGCCTCTGCCCCGTGCATTGAAGCGATGTGGGTTACGGTAATACCAAGTGTCGCCAGTGTTAGCCGGTACCCGTATTCACATCTCATGTTCCCGTTCTGTAGTGCTCCTTGGCTACTCACCGCATCGTTTGCGATGCTGCCGAAATTGGGGTTGCTCAGAAGCTCCTGTTGAGGCAATCAGGGATGGAGGGGAGTGTCAGGTGCGGGGCACTAGGGCCACAGGGTATACAGACATCATAGCATCCGCAACCCCGTTACATTAAGCGCTGTTCCGCCAGCCATCAGTGTACAGCATGACACGGCATACAGCAGTGGCACAACCACAATCAAACAGGAGGCACACCCGCAACAGCAGTAGCACCAGCCGCCAGTCCCGCACCTGAACCGCAACCAGAATCGTCTTGACCGTGAAGTTGGGCCGCCAGCCGGATACCTCTGCACGCAACAGGAGGACCCCTCCACAATTACTGGTCGTCCTCACCCGACCCAAATGGGGCAGGTTGAGTACAGCAGCGTGGCAGCGTAATTCCATCATGACCCAAATCGCAGAAGCAAATAAACACACCGACCCAGATCACATAAGAAGCGCCCTAGCAGCGCTCATGACGTCGGCGGTTAGCCCTTGTAGGCCCCACATGCGCAGCGAAATGGGTCACATGCCACGCACGCAAGCAGCAGCAGCAGGCGCTCGTCTCCTTACCTCCCAGGTGCCCGGGGACAACCTCCTTGAGGATGGACAAGCAGACGCCTGGGGCCGGGGGCGGAGTTTGGGGACGTTAGGGGCATGGTGGAGGGCTGGGGGGCCTGGCATGTGCTGGATCTGCATGACAAGCCTGCTGCGCTTACCTCCGTTCTCGAACACGTTAACGTGCAGGAAGCCCCGCGGCATGAAGACCAGCGGCGGCTTGTGCGGGTGCTCGGGAGAGAAGCGGATGGTGCAGGGGAATAGCCCTGCGAAGGCGAGGCACGCAAAGTGCAAACGCGGTGATCATTGAAGCGAGCCGTGGACTGACACGTACCGGCACCTAAGATGCCGTAGGAAACGAAAGCGGCGTTACTACGGGTATGCTCGCTAGTATTGGTGTACGGCTAGGTCCGCCGGAAAATCTTAGCACTGACTGCCTTATTGGCGAAAGATGCTATGTGACGGTTCGGTTTGCTAGTAAGTGCTGGCTCACCTCCTTCGCAGAAGGTGCCCTTAATGCCTGGGATCTTGCACTCCCATTGGAACATGTCGGTGCTGCCGTCGGGTTTCGTCGTAGGCTTCGCAACCATGCCTGGCTGGGGAGGAGTAGTGAGGTGGGAAAAGCATGTAGAGCGGGTACGGGTGAAGTCCTACAGTATTCTAGGCGTGACGGTTTACATACTGACCCGCGGGTCGCCTGCAACTGTGTACATTGCGTCATGTTGGCATGGGCAAGTAAGATGGAAGCTGGAGATATGAGCAGAATGGATCTCCTGGCAGAGCGATTCTACAAATGCACGCGTCTACTACTTAATGTTACTATCGTGGCAGGACTGCAGCGCTGCTCGAGCTTTGCAGACCGAGTTCTGCACGCAACGCTGCGCGCAAGAACCACAGAAGAACAGTGACAGTGCAGTGTAATCACGATGTGTAACAATAGCCTATTGCGACATAAAAAGACAGACGCTGAAGGGATGGCCCCTGGATGGCCTTACATAAGGTGTCGCAAAAGCTAGTAGGTAACGCATATCCCTCCATCAAAACCTTGCCTTTCTCTCCTAAAAGTGGTAAAGTACAGATAAAGCTGCAGACATTTATCGACAAGCCCGCCAATCCCCCTTACCGGATGGTCCTTGCGCCACATCTTGCGCTCCTCCGCAAGCCGCGCCAGTGCTGCCATCTGATCTTCTCACCCTCAGACCAATATACCTAACGGTGATCACGAACTTGTGACGATTCTCGAGGCGTTACAGTTCGAGTTCAATAGCTGCTGAAACCGTCCCAATTAATGCACAAAGCTTTTGTTTCCAGAAGTTGACAGAAGTAAAGGAGCTTAAAAGCGTTATGCTTTTGCCATGGGAATCTAGCTAGTACGATCTGGTCCTGGTACGGAAGCGTGACGCGCATGCCTTTTTGAGTGCTTACCTCAAAATGCAGGTAAAGGTAGCTATAGTCTCTTTACTCAGGAACGTGCAACTGCTGCAGCGCACCGAAGCTTAGTAAGGCGGTTGACATCCTGCTCACAGTTACTGTGTTGCGATTAGGATCCTATGTAGGGTAGCGGCGTTCTGATCCTTGTGCGTAGCGTAACGCATACCGACGGCTGTGTGGGCCTCTCCATGATAACAGCTGTTGAATGTGCTCGTTGCGGGAAGACGACCACGGAAGACGACGCACGGTGGTCTTTGTTTGTATATGCGAAATGGGTGCTGTACTCCGTTTCATGTCATCGGGGGACTGCTTGGATGAGCATCGATCGCGTGAGTCGTGATTAAGCTTTAATGGCCCCTTACAAATGTAAGCGTTCCGATCTTCCGATCAGAAGCACCTACAAGATAATGACAGTGATGCTGACGCACACATTAGGCTATTTTAAGTTTCCATCCCGAGGTTCAGCTACCGGCGCTCGCCACACCACAACAATCGGCAGCGTCCAAGTCGAGGTCGGTGCACCTGTCAGCAGCTAACAGAGACGTGGCTAAAGTACAAGCCCTTCTGGGCGCTATAAGTCATTGCCCAGCGTCAATAATAACACAATTGCGGTTGCGCTCGTTGGCCGGTCCACAAACAGTCAAGTCAAAGCGTGCTTTCAGGGTGTTTAGGCACGCGGACGTGCCCTCAGGCGCATGCGTCACAAGGAGGTCATACGGAGCGACGCGCAAACAGCCGTAACCCAGAAAGCCATGCAAAGGCAATGCTACAGGCAGTAAACAATTCCATTGCGCGAGAATGTACGGAATTAAGCCAGGTAAGGATTACCAAACTAGTTAGTATACTGTAATACATAAGTAGCCGCTAGCGGGCAAGGAGGCCCCGCTTGCGGATTCTTTGGAGGCCCAGCGGATAGCCGCTGCCTGCAGGTCAGAATCCCACTGCCAACTGAAGTAACCCTCCGTCCAAAAAGGATGCATGGCACTCCTTATGCATACGTGCATGGGTATAAGCAACGTTCCGTCAGGCAGCACTTCCAGCCAAGGTCAACATCTTCCATGAATGCATGCAGTTCGGTAAAACGTACGTCGGTGTGTCTGCTGGACGACAGTCGCCCAGCAGCATGCAAAGCCGCTATGGCCGCAACATGAATCATAAATCGTACAGGCAACGGCGCCACAGCCCCATCCTGCCAACAACCGCACAAACCATGGCAAAATCGGCCCAGGAGACCTACATTAACACGCGCATCCCTTTCCCTGCGCGTGAACTGCTGGGGTCCCCAGTGTGGAACTTGGCGCACCTCTTCACCTCATCTCCTTTACCCCTCTCATTCCCCACATCCTGCTAACGTCTGGCAACCACGAGCCTGCAACGCCCAACAAGCCTCACGCCCATCGCTCTGGCCGCTTGCTCTGAACCCTGGTTGGTCTGAGGTCACTCGCTCCACGTGACGCCGCGTAACCGGCAAGTCCCTGCTCCCCTCGGCGGTTCTCATCCTCTGAAAGGTGGTGGCTAGCGGGGTGTAGGCCTCGACGACTGACGGCGATGATGGTTTCAGCGCCGAAGGACGCTGGCCGCATGGCTGCTGCTGGGCCCACATCCATACCTGAGCTGTTGGCGGCCCTCAGCGAGGCGTCTGCGGCATCAACCGCCGTACTGTTGCTGCTGCGGTTGTTGTGTTCCCAACCACGAGATAGGCCGCGTTTGAACGATCGTCCAGGGCCAGCCGGGCTGCTGTTTGCCACCGTCGTACTTTTCGTTGCTGGGTCTACATCATCACTATTACCATCACCACCAGCAGCAGCAGGCGTCAGGGGCTCCAGGTAAGATAGCGTGTGCGGAAACATGCTGACAGCGACAGGTTGGCAGTCCCCAGCGTGGCTGTCGCGGGCTAGATCCATGGCCTCTGCTGCATGGAGCTTTGCGGGATCGTCACGCCCCTTGCCCTCGCTTTCCGCTGACCCCAGCGGACGCTGATCACCCCACGCGGACATCACAGGAGGCGGCGGCGGCTTCGGCAACGGGGACATGGCTGCTGTTGTCGTAGGGCTGCTGACCCGGCAGTCCATTCGACTCGAAACTACAACCACGGCACCCGTTCCGGCAGCCGCCACATTATCGTAGCTGCTGCTCACGACTGCGCCACGGCGTGTGATGGAAGAGAGTTTCTTAGTCAGTCGCCTCGACATGGTCTTGGCTAGGTCTCGTCCACCTGCAGCAAAACCACCATCCGTACTAGCCGGCTTCGTCGCAGCCGTACAACTGCCATCGCCGACGCCGCTGCCAACATTCGCGGGGCTGGTGCCATTGCGTGGAAGTAGTTTCTGATGTCCGCCGCCACCGCCGCCAACCGCTATTATCTCCGCCGCAGCCTCCTCCTTTGTGGCATCCAAGCTTCCCCTACCCGCTAGCTTCCGGGATGCTTCCGACGCGCTCATCCTCCACTCCGTTGCTTTGTTCGTGTCTACGGGACACACGCCGGCGAGGCCAGGGTTTACGTCTTGCGTCCGGGCCTTGGCCGCATGTACCTCCTTGCACGACGGGCTACCGCTTCTGGAACCACCGGATTCGCCTGCACCCCCACCACTGCCACCACCACTGCCAGCACCTCCGCTGCTAGGGACGTCGCCATCTCCGCCCGGTGCCGTTACACTTGAAGTGCTGCATGTATTGTCAGTTGCAGGTGATGTGCCTCGAGTACCTGCCCCGGTCATTGCTGCTGCTGCTGCTGCTGTTGGGCTTTTTGCCGGCGCAGACGACCCATGGGTCGTAAACGTCGTAACGCTAGCCGTTACGCCGCCGCAGACGCGCTCGGCTTGCGTTTGCTGCGGCCGTGACTGCTGCGGCTGCGGTGTTGGTGGCATGGGGCAAACAGTGCTGCTACGTCCTCTCCCCATGGAACCCCAAGACGCCAGTTTGATGGGCGGCAGGATGGACGATGCAGAGGTGAGGTGTTTGCTGCTGCTCTGATGCTTGAGCTTGGTGCTCCTAGGGGGGCTAGAGGACACACGACCGCCGGGCGTTGTTGGAGGCTGCGAGACCTCGTCTACGAGCTCCACAGACCTGTACAGCATCCGACGTAATGATGTTTATAGGATTAGCCGTTTTATCGGTAAAGCTTGCGATTCCAATGGCGTGCGAAGACACATGGCGTACGTTTGCTGCATACGCCTCACCGGTTGAAACATCTGGTGGAAGAGCGCATGCAAAACACAACGCCCGGACCTTACCAGGAGAGTTCAGCTAGTAACACAGCTTTGAAGTTCCTTTAGGAGGAACCCTTCTCACCTGTAAGCGGTTTGAAAATCCGGACTGCTTCCTCGACGGTTGTTACCAGACAATGGCGAATCCGTGGATCCCTGGGGCTCCCACCCTGAAAGAACCTGTGACGAGTGAAGCGGTTGGGGCGGTTAGACCAGCCGCGTTGGGCACGTCATGAATGTACATGCAACACGGCACAGCGTTGCAGTACACATTTCAGTCGTACCCTCGTACGGCGACCTGTTCCCCATCTCTCCTGTTCGCCTTTTCGCTGTTGTCATGAGCTCGTGAGGGTCATGACCCCGTCCTTCTCACCTGAAGACCGACGGCGGTGCCCGGCGAGGATGTCTTGGTCGCAGCCTCCGTGTACCAGTCCGGAAGCGAGGGCAGGCTGAACGGCACCTGGGTGGCGGCGGCAGGTGTCGAGCTGGTAGCCTCGGCAGCCGCTGCTGGGTTGTCGCCCGCACTTGCATCCGATGCATCCTGTTTGGTTGCAGGCAGGCCGTGATTACTCTGATTAGGCTGCCAGGGTCACGCTTGCTAGTGGGTGGTAACCGACCGGCACCGGTACCTCGGACAGCGGCCACCCTCGGCGTTCCACTCCAATGGCAGCATCCCCTGATTACATCTTTACATGTATCTGACCGTACCTCTTTTTGCCCTCCCAGCAAACCTACCTGTAATTCATCTTCGTCTGTGATGGGGCCGATCCGCTGTAGCGGTGCTGCCTTGCTTGCCGGAACAATGATTGGCTTGGCGCTCTCGCCAAATGGGTCGCTAATGTACTTGTACGGCGTTGCAGGATTCAGCACCCGATACAGCGACTGATTAGCCTTGACGCCCGCCAACTGGTAGGGCTTGCGACGCGAGTAGTTCTCAACGACCCGCGGGTCAGTCACGTCCAGGTTCCTCAGGTTGTCCGCCCAATACTTGATCAGCAGCATGGCAACGTCTAAGCACTGGTAGCGGGCCGCGCAGTGCAGCGGTGTGCTGCCGGGCTCGAGCTGGACAAAGTCGAAGCCCACGTCCCAGGTGCGGGCGCTGGGGTCGGCGCCGTGACTTAGGAGGGCGGCTGCGGCCTCAGGGGCGCGAGAGGCAGCTGCGTAATGCAGGGGCGTGTAGCCACAGTCGCTGGGGTAATCCACGAGCCTGGGTGAGGAGGAGTGGGTGAGGTGGAGTGGGTGGTCAATGGCGGGGTGCTGGTTGAGCGGTTGCTGCATGAGTGCACACACTGGGACTTTGGGGTTTGGGCTGGTTTGGTTGGAGGTGCTTCCCAACCGTCTACAGCCACACATAAGGTTTCACGGGGAGGCATGGCATGAAGGCATGCCGGCGCAAACAAAAGGCGAGGAACGCCGTGTGCAACGTGCAAAGCATGGACCACTCTCTTCCCTCCTCCTGAGTCCATGCTCACTGCTGGCTCTTACTTGCACTCCGTAGTACGGACTTTGCCAGTTTGCGCCACGTGCGGGCTAGACAGGATGGCTTGGATGCATTCGGCTTGGTTGGCCCGGGCAGCATGGTGGAGGGCAATCCGCCCCATCAGCCTATCGCCCACCCAAGCATCCGCGCCCTGCAAGCATCCAGCAGGGTGGTTGTTAGGGTTACGGTGGCCTGCACTGAACTAACACTAGCGGCTGTGCACCCTGTGTGCAGTCGACCGGGAGTTCAGGGGAATCGTGTAATGGGAGGAGGGCTTGGCTCACCTGAGTCAACATGTACTCCACAATGCGTACATGTCCGTGCTTGCATGCCACCATCAGCGGTGTAACCCCCGACTCGTCCAGGGCGTTTATGGCATGGGAGATGGCCGGATGCGCTTGTCCTGACGGCGGCTGGTTGTGGACGTCTCCGGCCTCATCCGGCATGGTCCGCCAGACATGCTCGCAAAGGCTGACCAGCACGGCGAGCTGGCCCTCCTCAGCGCAAGCGTGGTAGACTGTGCGCCGCTTAAGCCCTAGACGGTTCTTAATCATTGCTGGGTGTGCCTCCAAGACTCCCACGGCGGCATTGGCATCGCCGACGGCAATGGCATCAAACAAAGGTGTCGACGACGGGGCTATGCAGTTACCCATCCTTTTTAGTAAGGTTAAAAGCGTCTGCAACCAACTAGAATGTTGTCCAACGAATATCGTGTGTCGCCGTCGCCGGTTCAGTGGCTCAGAGCGCAACGCAGCGTACATAAGCAGGGAAAGGCTTCCGTATGTAACATGTAATGTGCATTGAACTTGTCATATATTACGTGCTCGAGCACGCTTGGCGGTAAGGTAAGCTGTTTACGTGGAATGCACTGTAGTCGGAAGGGCTTCAGTCAAGGCCATACCCTAAATGTTTGTGCAGGTCGGTGATTTTCTTCAAGGTGGAAAGCATACTAACGTTCTGAACGCCTTATAAGATGTCATGAAGGGCGCCAACCCTAGTCGTAGCTTGCAATTAAGCTTGCACTTTTCGACCCGTTAGTCAGAGACGTGAAGGCAATACGCCTGGGAGTTTACTGTGCCAGTGCTGCGGAACAATGGGATGCCATGAGCGATACCCTTGGCAGGGCATCTTTCACATACCGTACGGAAAGTCACTTCCACGGCTGTTTGAAGGGGTTGTTGAACATTTCCTGCATTGTTCTCCGCCTCTAATGCTGTTTCACTTGTTGTAGCTGCATAGCACTGGTGTAGAGCGTCATTGCAAGCCTGCAGACGACACCCTCCTGCTTGCGGGGACCGTCTAGCCGATAGGTACTGTACCTACTTTACTGCTGCACTCAGTTACATGTTGGGGATCAACATAGACCATTTTATATATCAGCAACCGCTGCTAAAGATATATGCTGGCTTAACTTCAGGTAGATGTTTCACAAGCGGTCTTTCGTTGCTTCCTTAGGGTGCTCGCATGTTACATACATTTGCCACCTTATAAGATGACTACTGAACTGAAGCACAAGATTACCTGTCCTTGATTTCTTGCACCGACCTGCAAGACTGGCAACAGTCTACCTAGCCACCTGCTTCTTCACCCTTGCGACGCAGCAACTGCTGCTTACGCTTTAACCACAGAAGTTGTTTTCTGTCCTACCTGCTGGAGGCAGCTACGCTTTCCTTCGATTTATTCTTACCGGTACAGCATGCGAGGAACGCGATCGCGACGTCCGAGCACGTTCAACTGCAGTCTCGACTCCATGAACGTATGAAAAATGGCAGGTTAAGATGCCATCGGAAACCTGAGGCGAACAACTTGGCGGTACCTCATATGAGTTGCTCTTACAGAATTCTGGCCGCTGGGAATTGCAAGCCTGCAGACGACACCCTACTGCGAGAACGGAGCAACCGGCAGGCAGTGAGTTTCCCAGGGCTGCCAGATATCGCGCGGAGTCTTTCCTTCTCTATGTACTGATTGACGTGTCTTTGTGCATTACTAATTTCCAATATCAGGTAAGGTATCACCCAGAACACAGAGTGTTCCACATGTGCAGCACACATTTACATGTACACAGGATGAAGAAAGATGGGGGAGCACCTAATACACCGCATAAGCCACAGTGCAGTAGCGACCAGCTCTGTCCCATCTTGGGTCCGCGTTGTTGTTGTCCCCGTCTAGCCATTCTTCTGCGATGTTGTTCTTCGTAAACAGCCATACAATCACATGCGCGTTTGTATCACTCGAATATCATACGAGCGTTGCTGACGCTGCAGCATACTTCGACAAGAGATAGATTGACAGTTGCGAGCCATGTAATCGCACCACAGGGCACATTCCGTAGATCATGCAGGCTGCCGCCAATCTCATACAACTCATATTACCACCACTACCAGCATCCGATGTCTTCCATTGCTGTTCTATCGCTGGATCACGTCATCCACTCACACCGCACGCACGAGCCTCTCACTACCTTTGCCCTGCCTGTCATGTGTGCTTTGCATCCCACTTGAACGTACAATGTATGTGTGCTTTAATGGCTGCCGCCCTTCACCAATACCCATCCGATGAGCAACGCATCCCTCGAATGACTCACTCCAACACGGCTCTCCATCTGCCATCTTACCCTGCTATCCCCTTACCTTTCCTTAACCTAACCGGGCGCAAACCCCACCCCCAGCCTGACACACGGCCAGCGAGGGGTCCCCCGGCAAGACGTCACCCACCTCCTAACGCTCAACCCCTCCTCTCCTCCAACCATCACCACCACCACATCTGCACTCCCTTTCTCACACGCCCTTCCTCCAGCCCTTCACCTCCCTCGCCGCTCTTCGCCTCCTTCCACCCCACCTGCCCCCCACACCCTCTGGCTTGCAAGACCTGCACAAGCCCCATCCATGCCGCTACTCAAATTCAAACTCGCAGCTCATGACAGCCAGCGCGTCGTTGGGCAGCTGCAGGAAGTTGTCCATGAAGAGGTCGCCGGTTCGATCCACGGTGGCAGTGCCCACCAGCACTCCCGCGCCGCCCGAGCTCAGGCGCCGCCCGCTGGCCGACAGGTGTGTCCCGCGGGTGGATTCGGTGGTCAGAACCGTGCGGATCTGATGGGGGTTGGTGGGACGGGACCAGGGATGGGGACATGGGTGGGAATGTGAGGCATGGGAGGGGAGGGGGACGGTAACAGAAAGGCTACGGTACCGTGTGGGGTGGGTAGGGGGCTGGAGGAAGGCGTAGAACTGCTCTCTTTCCCAATAGGCTCTTCTACCCCCGGCCAGTTTTCCTCCACCCGCCAGCTCTCCTAACACACCCGTCAGCATTGAATCACACACCCGTCATCCCATTGCCATCTCCCTACCTTGAGCCCTGGCGGCTGGTACACGGGCCCCGCAGTGAAATAGAAGGCGCACTCGAAGTTGAGGTTGACCTCGCCCGTAGCCTGGTCCAGCACGCCCTGCAACCCGGGCGGGAAAACCCGGCCGACACCCCGATCCGGATTCAGTCAACGCCTGGTCAACGCGCTGTCAACGCTACGTATACCAAACCCTTGTGGGCTGTGGGCCATGATCATTACAACTTCATAAGCTCTAGGCCGAAGGCTACCTGCAGCGCACCCCCTCGGTCCTACAGTAACGCTATAGCCTGCTATACCGGTACCCCGACATGCATCAAAATGCCCCTGCTAGCTTTGTTTCCGACATACCTCTAGAGACACGGGTCGGATGGCAATATTAAGCGGCGGGGGGATGGGCAGCAGCCCCGCCAGCATTGCCGTACGGTACGACATGTCGGGGATGACTAGCACACTGGTATCGAAGTTGAGGTGCAGCTTGCCGGCCCTGCGGAGTTGTGTGGGAGCAGCAGGAGGGCTGTGGGTGCGGTAGCAGGGATGGGGGGCAGGCGACGATGAGGAGTGCGATGTGAGGGGGGACGAGGTGGGTTGGCAAGGGATTACGCGTGTGGGTTGGAGTTGCGTGTGATTAACGAGGGACCTTCCAAGAAAGGGAATGGGGCAGGCACCATGGGACTTTTCTATGACCTCCATGATCTCCAGGCATCAGGCACCATGGGCGCAAGGGGCTGGTCGAAGGGTTAGTGTGATCTCAGCAGGGGAATAACGGAAGCCATTCCATGCGTGCTAGGGGGTGGGGCACGTTGGAGAAGCCATTGGGGCACCATGTAACTGGCCTTTTGGCTTCAACTCCGCACCAACCGCGGAGGTCCTTACCCAAGGTCCGTAACCGTGCCCCAGCCACCTCCACCGATCCCGTTGTAACTGAACCGAGGGTAAAAGCTGACAGCCAGCTCGCAATCCTGACGCGTCTTCAGGCGAACCCGGGTATACTGCGAAGTCGCGGATGCTTGAGCGGCAACCGTCACGCGCCTTTTCGCTACCACTCGTTTTGATGTTGGCGCCCTCTTACACAGTTGGCTAAGTTGTGAGTGATTTGCGAGCATAGACATGGTTGTACAAATTTGCTAGAGCGTCGCTGTCCGTCTGTGGAGCTATGGGATGGGAAATTCAAGTTGTGAACGTGACAGATGCTTTAGAGTTGCACCCCAACTAAGGACAAAGCGCTGACTGTGTTGGGTCAGCGTGATCACCTTAAGGGTCGCGCTCGCGAAATGGGTCAAGCTGGTAACTTGCTCGTACCACTAAATTGCATGGGGGGTCGCTGTTCGGGCACGGTTGATAACACATGTCAAAGAAGTCTATTTCGTAAGTATTTTCTTTGTGAATATAATAGGACCGTCGCAGCCGACACCGGTACACCCATCTTGCATGGCTTGCGTGTTGCAATGACGCTCTCAGCATTCTCGCTCAGAATGAAAGCCCTTCGTGCGAATGCAGCGATGTATCGGTTGCCATCTCCAGCAGGTGCGTGTCGGTTGGACCAGCCATCACAGCAGCCATCAACTGTGACTTCTGCCGATGCAGCCCTCAGCTCATTTCTCCTGCCACGCCGAAGTATCAACCTTTCATGTATACATAACTACTTAACACGGTATTCGTGCCTCTCCCTACCCCATCCCATCACTGCCTCTTTCCAGATGCCGAAGCCCCTTCACCCCACGCATGCCCTTTCCCATTCCTTCCTCAGTGCGAGCTGGGACAGTGCGTCGTTGCGCTTCTTCCTCCTCGCCCCCACCTCCGCCACCGCCGCCTCCCCCGGGCGGCAGCGGTGGTGCAGGCGCGGGGGCAGGCGGCCCCCTGCCCCCTCCTGGAGCCCAGTGGTGGTGGCGGGCGCTGCAGGTCTGCGCGGGAGTGCTGACGACTGCGGGTAAGGACGCGCTACAACCCGGGTATCGCGGTTACCCAAACGCGGGATAGAGCTGCACGCTAGGTGCCATAATAAGGGAGCAGCTGCACGTTCAGCACTGCTACCGCACCCAACGGCTGCCTCAGTGCTGCCGCTGGTGCTGACATGCTGCTGCCATCCCACCGCCACCCCCGCTGCCGTCTCACCGCTCCTCCCGCTGCCGTACCTGCCACAGGTGTTGCCGCTGCCGCGCTGCCTTCCGTGCTCAACACGCAGTGGGGGCTGCAGCGGGCCATGGAGCTTGTCAACACACGCATGCCGGGTGGGGTGGGGCGGGATGGGCGGAGTGGGATGTGAGGGGTGTAGGGCTGGGGCATGTGCCTGGCAGGGCACGTCCGGGTAAGGAGTGTGGAGCATGGCGCCCTCTCTGCACTCCAACCCTCTCAACACCCGCCCCCTGCCCGCCTGCCCGCCCGCCTCCCCCTGCCCCCAGGTCGTGTGGAGGTGGCGGAGGCGCGGCTCAGCTGGACCGGCCCCTGCGAGCTGCAGTGCGTCAAGGTGTACGACAGCCCTCGCGGCGGGCAGATCCTGCTGCACCTCAACAAGGTCTCCACGGCAGCAAGCCTGTGGCAGCTGCTGACCGGTGGGTGGGGGCGGTGGTGGTGTTGGAGCTTGGAGGGTTGGAGGGTTGGGGGCGGGCAGGGTTGGGGGCGGGCGGGCGGAAGGGGTGAGGCTACAGGGGTACGTGTGTTTGCCGTAACAGAGGTTACAACCCATTCTCGGGTTCAAGGCTTCCCGACAGCAACTACGTGCGTATCCTCTTACATGATCTCCTGGCCTATGCTCCCCCGGCCTACGCAGGTAACAGCGGCTTCAATCTGGTGATCTCCAAGCCCTGGATCAACGCCATCTACGACCCACGGGTCTCTGACTTCAAACTCATCACCTTTGCGGAGAAAGTCGGTCTGCTCAATGCGCCACCGCCACCTCCTCGTCGACAATCCTCGCAGCAACAACAACAGCCCGCAGCCGGCAACGGTAGCGGCAACGGCAGCGGCAACAGTCGGTTGGTGCAGGCGTTGGCTCGTGTCAACAGCAAGATGGGGTTCAATGCGGACGTGCGTCTGGGTGGTGTGAACCTAGTGGTGGCGGATGGGATGCTTCTGGTGGCGGAAGAAGTCAGGTGCGGCGAGGGCGGGTGGCGGGAGGTAACCGGGTAGCGTACGCCGCTGTTACGGTGTTGCGTAAATACATGCGCACACCTGGTTACCCATCCACAATGTTTGCCGCTGCTACTACTAGTGCTGGCCTTGCAACTGAGATTGCAACCACATCTGGTCCTGGTGCTCCTGCCGTATGCAGGCAGATCATGGGCCCGGCGGTTCACGTCACGGGTGCATTCGGGGAGAAGGAGCTGCGCGAGTGGGCTTCGGAGCTGGGATTGGATGTGCAGTGGGCGGTGATCAAGCCCGCTGCCGCCTCCGCCTACTCCGCCTCCGCTGCGGACTTGCGGCCGCCGCCGGCGGTGATGCAGCGGCCGGCCGCCTACCGCCCCGGCATGATGCAGGTGCGCACAGCCGCCTGATCTGTTCTTCTTGCGTGACTTGTAAGGTCAAAGGGTTCGTCAGGAAGGACTGGTGTATTGGGAAGGTGCACCGTACGTAGGAAGGAGGAAGGCAGGCAAGGCGCCGAAGCATACCGGTAAACCCTGCTTAAAGCTCAATCCTAACACAGGCAGGAAGACCTCACCTCTTCCCCACACACATGCGGTGTCGCAACGCCCCCCCCACCCCCGCAGGTTCACTCGGAGCACTTCACGGGCGAGGTGCGCCTGTGGCAGGCGGAGGACCACTCGCTGCTGCACCAGCCCGCCACCGCGCAGCTGGACCTCACACCCGCGCTGTCCAGGTACCGCCTACCCTCCGACCCCTTTGCACCTCCATGCAACCATGTTTGCTTGTCGCGCATGTAGCTGTAGCTTACGGGTGGCCGGTTTGCCCCCGTCCTGTAACCCCCACTCCCCGCCCCTTCACCCCTCGCTCCCCCCCCCCCCAATCCCCAGGTTGGGTCTGGGCAGCGCCAACCCGCTGCTGGGTGACGTGGCGCAGGTGGGCGGCGGGGAGCGGCTGCAGGTGGCGTTCAGCCCCGAGGGAGGCCGGCTGCCCTACCAGGCGGCGACTGTGGAGGTGAGAGAGGGGGGAGGGTTGGCGGTTGGGGCGGAGGTGGTGGTGCTGAGATCCGCGTGCGTCCTAGCAGGGAACTCTCTGCAGGGAACCAGTACGGCGGTACCGGTACGCGCAACTCGGGAGCAGCACCACATCTGTCGTGTTCTTCTCGCCTCCCTGCGCTCTTGCACTAATGGGAACTGCCCCTTTCCCCCTCCTAACCCCTCTCCTGCTGCTCCTGCCCCCCCCCCCCCGCCCAGATGGCCCCCACCACCCTGCTCCTGGGCCCCTCCTCCATCGCCGCGGGGCTGCTGGGCGAGCTGGGGCTGCACGGCCTCTCACCCGCCACCGCCATCGCCGCAGCAGGCGCCATCGCTGCTGCCAAGGGCGCTGCGGGCAGGGAGGGCGCCGCCGCCGCCGCCGCCGCTTCCTCCTCCCCCGCATCGCTGCAAGCCGAGGTCTCCCGCATGCGGGTGCACTTCCGGCGGGATGCGGAGCTCCGGACCGAGCGAGTGGACATGCGGATTGGAGCCGCCGCAGGGGCCGCGGGTGCTGCTAGCAGCAGCGGCAGTGATAACGACAACAGCAACAACAACAACAGCGGCAGTGGTGGTGTGCGGGTGGCGCTGTGGGGTTCCGCAGACCTGCAAAAGGACCAGCTAGACTTTACGCTGGGTGTGGCACCCGGGCCGCTGCTGGAGAGGCTGGGGCTGGGCGGTGATGCGGGGCTGCCGGAGGGGCTGCTGCTGCTGGTGCCGCTGCGGGGGCCGGTGTCGGCGCCTCGGTATGATGTGGGCGGCGCGGTGGTGCGGCTGGGGCAGCTGGCGGCGCGACAGAAGGCGACGCAGTGGGCGGAGCGGCAGGAGCAGCGCAGGGAGAACGGAGAGGGTGAGTGACCTGAGGAGTGACTGCTGGGCGGCTGCTGAGTGCTGTGCTACCGTAGTAAGAGTATCCTGTTATCGGTATGCTCTGCCCCTGGTGTGTTAAATAGCTGGCCGCGAGGCCCCCCCCGGTGTGTCTGCTTCAAAATCCTGAATGCCCGCGCATGGGGAAAACTGGACCCGCGTCCCGCCCTGCACTCACGCTCCGCAGGCGGTGTTGCGGCCGGTCTGGGTGCGCTGCTGAGCGCTGTGGCGCCCCCCGGGGAGCTGCTGGCGGGGCTGGAGCGGCAACTGCAGGAGGACCTGGCCAGGATACCGCCGCCACTGGAGGCGTAGGAGGATGCAGGGCTGGGGACGCGGTGCAAGTATTAAGGCTGGGTGCCAGCTGGTTTGGAGCCTCGTGAGGCGTGGCGTGGAAAGAGTGATCAGGTGTCGTGGCATGCAACTATCTGGAAAGGGTACTACCGGTAGCTCCTCTCTGGCATCTGGAACTCTGAAGCAATTGCGAGGCAGTGTATCAGCGTGCGCTTGTGCCGATCAGGCGGGGTAAGGGTTTACACGTACACATGGTTAAGACGTTCAAAGACTCTGAGCTGATGCCCTTGAAAATGGTCTTGTAGAGCCCGGCGGCCGTCTGGTGGCGTGGTGACGGTGCAGGTGTAATCCATAACCCATGACACTCGGGCGCCGACTTACATAGGTGCTCATTGCTCACATGCTCAGTAACCTAACCTCGAACTCCACACTGTGTACAGATAGATGATAAATAAGCCGAGAAGTAGTCTGCATACATCGCCTTTACCCCTTTAGGCACGAGTCAGAGTTAAAACCTAAATCACAGTCAATAAGCTTGTAGGATCATGTAACTTTTAAGTGAGTACGTACAAAGAAGGATCACCTTAGCTCAGGATTTGCCTCAGCTAAGGACTTCTAGGTTGGCTCGCTCAGCCACAAGCAGCCCCCGTGCCTCGCCCTTCCCGCCTCCCGTTCCCTCCCCCCCTTCCCCCGCCACACACCGCCAGACACACCCACCCGACAACGTCACCTTACCCTCCGCCTCCACCTCCAACTGCACCCTCTCCTCCTCCCTCTCCCCTCCACCCTCCCTTCCACCCCCATCCTCCGCCCCATTCCCCTCCAGGCAACACCCAACCAGCTGCACATTCCCAAACGCCCCCACCGCCACGCCCGCGCCCCCATTACCCGAAAACGTGCACCGTTGCGCACACGCACGCGCCCCGTTGCCCTCCACCCTCATGCCCGGCCCAGCCCGCCCAGCTCCCTCACCCTCGCCACCACGCCCATTCCCGCCCGCGTTGCACCCATCCAAGCTAGCGCACCCAGCAGCCTCCACCGCCACCCCGCATGCACCGTTGCTCGCCACCTCGCAGCCCCGCATGACTGCCATGGACCCCACGCCGCCCACCCGCACCCCCGCTGCGATGTTGCCCTGCAGCCTGCAGTGTCGCAGGTCCGCGGTGGCTCCCTCGCCGATCACCAGCCCCTCGCCGCTGTGGCGGGAGAGCTCGCAGCGGATGGCTAGCAGCCGCCCGCCGCGGGTGCCCACCTGCGCGCATGATGCGTCGGAGGCAAGGACCATGATACCGTAAGAAGCGGCAAGGGAAGGCAGGGGTGGATGAGTGGGTGCTGGAATATATGACGTGAGAACGGGCGTGTTGTGCAGAGCGGGTCTTGAGCGCTGTAGGTAAGGAAGTTAGTAAAAACTGATTGGAGGGTTGGGCGCCTGAGGATGCGGCCAAGATAACCGCGTATCAGAGCCGCATATCAGAGCCGCGCACCCACCAGTGCTCCTTGCAAGCTGTCCGTCGCCTTGCACTCCTCCAGGTTCGCCGTGGCGCCCACCGTAACCACCACTGCGGCCTTGCTCCGAAACCCGCTCAGCGATGACCCACGGGCCACCACCGCCGATCCCTTGCCTTCCACCAGCAACCCCACACCGCCGCTGCCGCCTGTGCCCGCCGTACTCTCGGTCGTGGCGGCGGCATGGCCATCCGTGCTGCACCCGCCACTGCTCAGGCGCCGAGTATCACCGTCGTCACCACATTCGCCGTCCCTGCATTCACCTCCTCCCTTAGCCGCCCCAACACCTGTTAGGGTGCAGTTCGACAGCTCCAGCGAAGCACCCGCACGGACCGCAGCACATGCGCCGTCAAAGCGGCTCAAGCAACAGTCAGTGGCGTTGGCGACGGCGTTGTCTCGGCAACACAGCCCATGTCCCGACCCGCCCTCCAGCGTGCAGCCGGTGAGCGTTAGGGTGGCGTCGGAGGCTTGTACGGCAGCCATGGCGGATCCGCTGACGTGGCAGCCGTCGGCGACGATGCTGCAGCCCTTGCCCTTGATCTGCATGTGTTGGAACGCGATGGACATGACGAGAAACAGGTGGTCGCTGTAGAGTGTACCCATGTTTCCTACTGCCATGCGACACCGTCATCAAAGTACGATCTCGCAGATGTTGCAGTTAGTGTCAGGCCTTAACAGATGAGAAACACTGGCCGCACCTGTATTCCAATACCACGGCCAGGGCCCAGTATCATCCGACACCGCGACAGCGTCAGCTCGCCGCCCCCAGCATACGACTGCTTCGTCACCAGAACCGCCGGTCGAGCGGTCGCCGCCGCCGCCGCCGGCCCAGCAACCGGGCTTCCCGCTTGCACAGGAGGCACAGATGCAACCCCTGCAGGTTGCTGTGACGGCGGCGGCGGCGCCGCGGCGGCAGTACCGGCCCCGGTATCCCTCACAATCAGCTCCTGCAGCCGCACCCCCTTGGCCACCACCACCAGCTGCTGCTCGGGCAGCAGCTCCAGCTGCCCGTTGACCAGCCACAACCCCGTGGCGCTGACCTGCAGGACAGCAGAGAAGGCACGCGCATGCGGGCAGAAAACATGGATGTCGGGGTACCAACTCAAGGGAACAGCATGGCACTAGTAGCTGGCACTACCGCTCCACCAACCAGATGCCTCCAGCGGCTACAGCGAGCTACTCCCGCAGCGTTCACGATATGTCCCCGTTACGGCGACCAGCCCCGCCCCGCCCCAGCGCCCCTCACCTTCATGGCGGGTGCAGCCAGGGGGCCGGAGAAGGTCCTCCCCTGCAGGTCGATGGTGACACCAGGCCCCGCTCGGTCTATGCACTCCGCGAGCTCCTGCAGCCGCCCCGAGGCCAGCGGCACCACGCTGCGGGGCGCCGGGGAGCTGGGAGCGGAGGTGGAGGCGCCGGCGGGGGCGGTGGGCGCGGAGGAGGAGGAAGGAGAGGCGGCCGAGCGGGATGCGACATGGCTGGCGGCTGCGGCGGCGATGGATAGAGCCTCACGAGGGGCGCCCTGGATGGGAGGCGGGGAAGCGAAGAGGACGAAGGGATGTAGGTAGTGGTTGTTAACGCAAGGCGGTATAGGGCTTTACATCCGCATCAGCTGCATTGGCGGTGTGCATTTTGTAGCCAGCAAGGACAGAGCAGCTTACCTTTCGGAACGCGGCGCTCTTGACACGCAAGCCCCCCACGCCCACAGGCGGCGGGGGAGGCGGCGGCAGCGGAGGCGGCGCCTTCCGCGTTGTGGGCCCCTCACACGTCGATGATGCCTGACCCAAACGCGCCTGGCCCATGGGTCCAAAGGGCTGCTGCTTGCGTGATGGCGACCTGCCGCTGCTGCTAGCCATGGGTGAGGAGGCGGGGGAGGTATGGCTGGAGGGGCCCTGGGTGGACGCTGCGCAGGTAGAGGTGGCCGAGGTGGAGCCCACACGCACCAGACCAACAGCAGCGCCGAAACCAGCACTGCCGCTTGCAAGCGACAGCGCGGGCGATGTTGCCACTGCCGCCGCCGCAACCGCTGCTGCTGCTGGTGTGTAAGAGTCGACGTCGAGTTCGGATGGGCCGTTGCTGGGGAGCATTGCTACATCCAACGGAGCGGGTACTGCCCTTGGCTGCTCCCCGCAAGGTTCGTGAAGGCTGCCCTCGACCTTGTCTTGGCCAGCGTCGCCAGCATCGGCATTCACGGCATCGCCGCGATCCTCATCCGGACGAGAACTAATGATTGGGGTCTCCAGAGTGTCAGCAGCAGCAGCAGCCGGCGGAGCTGTGGGTGAGGTGGGAGCCGCATGCGGCAGGCTGGCAGCTACTGCTACTGCTGCCGCTCCGCTGTCTTCTGTTGAGAGGCTGAGAGCTTCCACGGCTGCTGCTGCTGCCTCCGTAATGTCTGCCAGGGGCATAACCTCCTGATGGTTCGCCGTGTCCTTCACCGGCTGCTGGGGGGTCATGGACGGAGGGTTGCCTGTACTAGCCTGTACGCCAGCTGGATCAGTAGGCGTCTCCAACACACCTGGCGCTGCTGCCGACGTCTCCAGAGCACCGGGCTTCCCGTCAACTTTACCATCGGCACCGCATCCATGCGGTTGCGCCTGCACGTTCACAATCCCATCCTGCGGCGCGTCAGCCTCCACAGCGGCCAGCGGCGTAACCCGCGTCACGGCAGCTGCTGCTGTCAGGATGCTGGTCGATGCCGCTCGCGATGCCCTCGCACCAGCTTGCTGCTGCTTTCGTCGGGGCGTCTGCCGTGCTGACTGCGGCAGCTCCCGCTGTGGCCGAGTGGGCGACAGCACAGGCGACTGAACCACCACCGAACCCTGCCCCGCCGCCGCAGGCGGTGACCCTAGCGTATCCACCACCGCAGCCGCTGCTGCTGCCCCTCGATTCTGCGGCTGCTGCCCGGATGCTGTAGAGGCGGGCGACTGCGCTCCGCTACCCGTCCCATTGCTTACGGCAGCACCGGCAGAGCCGTTGGCTGTGGCTGCGGGTGTGCGGTGCAGCAGCTGCAGTCGGTGGCGGCGGAGGCGGCGCGAGGCGGCGGCGGTGGAGGAGAGGAAGGGCAGGTCCTCGTCGTCGTTGATGACGGCGCGGATGGTGGCGGCGGTGGTGGCGGCCAGCTCGTTGAGGTCCTCTCCCAGCTCCGCAACACCCTGTGAGTGCATGCATACATGTGGAGGGCAGGCAAGGGTGTACGCGGCGAAGGGGGGGCGTGGCGGGTGCGGAGAGTTTAGGGATGAGAGCATGGAGCTGTCCACCTTTTGCGGGGGCTGAATATCGTGCCGTACTGTGTCATGTTGCTATGGATTCTTCATAATTACTTGAGGGTTGGTAGAATACTGTGGATTTATGGTAGGCAGCGCACCTGGGCGACGTTATCGAACAGGCGCATGGCTCCCTGCAGGAAGCTGCCGAACAAGCCCTCAAAGGGCAGGAAGGACTCGGGGGGCGACTCGGAAGGGGGCCGGGGCGCCGGGGCAGCGGAGGCAGGAGGTGCAGAGGCCGAGGGAGGCGAGGCTGAGCGCTGGCTGGGCGGAGCGCCCTTGGCGTCTGCAGCCGCGTTGGCTCTGCGCACCGATGAGTGAAAGGGGATAGCTCTTCTTCACGCTCCAAGCGCAAGGAGTACGAGAAACAGACCGATCAAAGCTCTATAGCGCAAAACAAACCCACGCGATTTCCCGTCCCCACCACGTACCCGCCGCCGACCCGTTGCAGTCCATTGGTCACATCGCGCAGCAGCGGCGACAGCGGCCGCTGCACCTGCGCATTGGCGCGCAGCACCGCCGGGTCCGCTGCACGCAGCAGCGCCCGGCCGCTGCCGCCGCGACCCACGGGTCCGTCTGCTGCCTCCGCCTCCACCATCACTGCGTCCTGCTCGAACATACCGGGCTCCCCTGCCGGCGCCCCTGTTCCCGCTATGGCACTACCGACAGCAGCAACAGCGCAGTCAGGGGCAGTCGCAGGGACTTCAGGGGCATTCCCAGATGCCGCTGCTGCTGTTGTTGCCTGGCTAGGGTCTGTGTGAGAGGGCACTGCTATGTGCTGCATGGCGGCGGGTGGCGCCGCATGAGCCAGCGGACTGCTGCGGTGTTGCTGCTGCTGCAGCTCGGTGGGGTCTAGCAGCCGTGACCGCACCCTGGGGATGGGGCTGCTGCTGCCGGCCGCTGTGATAGAGGGGGAGCGGGACGCAACAGGACTGCCTTGTCGCTGCTGCTGCTGCTGGCTAGAGTGCTTGCGGTGGTGCTGCGGCCGAGGCGTTGCGTCGCCCTCCGCTGCTGGCGAGATAGCTGCCACAGCTTGCTGCTGCTGCTGGTCCGAATGTTCCTGTGCCTCTTCTTCTTCCTCCGCTTGCTCGCCTCCACCCTGTTCTTCCGCCTGCTCCTCCTCCTGCTCCTCCTCTTCCTCCTCCTCCTCCAGGTACAAGTGCTCCACCTCCAGACCAAACAGCCCCAGAATGGCCCCGTCAAGGTCTGCAGGGGCGAAAGCAGCCGTGTGGTAAAGCAACTGACGGCGAAACATGCACTTTTGTTAGCAGATGTGTAAACGTTCAGCATTACTGCAGAACCCCCAACAGGATGCACCCCTAACCACAGCAGAGGCCTGATGCTGCCCAGACCAGCCCCTGCCCTCACCCTGCACCGCCCGGGTGGCCCGCAGCAGCCGCAGCGAGTCCGCCACCTCCGCCGCCAGCCACTTGAACACCTCCTGGTGCTTTGGCTGGTTCTGGAGGGGTGGCGGGGTAGCAGCAACATGAGGGGTTGCAGGATTAATTGCAGGTGGGAAGAGAAAGTGTGAGCATTTGAGAAATGCATGGTCACATCCAGGGGCCACACAGCCGCGTCTGCACCAGCCGCACCCACCCCTCTCCGCTAGCAGCCCTCCAAGCAATTTGTCTTTCCCACCACGGTTCTACACCTGTCCCCCTAGCCCCTGCCGCGCCCTCCCACCTCGCATCCCAGGCTCTTTGCCGCGTTGTCCGCCGGGTCGAAGGGGCACTCCAGGGGCAGCAGGAAGGCGCGGCTGAAGGGCTGCTGCACCACCTGGCCCAGCCACGTGGACACACGCCACCGCCTGGAGAGCGGAGGGAGGGGTTGGGATTGATGATCGAGACGTCGAGATGGAAAGATGGGGAGTCGAAAGCTGGAAACGATGGGTTGTCGTTACGATTTACACCCGTATCCGCTTCACCCTTAGTTCATAAACTAGACACCCCAGCAGGCTCCAGGCTCCAGGGCCCACCTGTTCCAGGACAGCTGCCAGCAGCCCAGCAGGCGGTCCAGCAGCACCAGGAACCAGTGGAACAGCGCCAGCAGCCCGGGAGCGGGGCCGGCGCAGGCAGCAGGGCAGGCGGGGGACAGGCCCAGCGCCTCGGGAGGACCGGAAAGCCTGGGCAGGGTGTAAGGTCCGGACAAGAGGGCAAGGTGCGAGACAGTAGAGTTGCAATGACAGGACGGGACAAACGCACTCCGGACGCACTCAACTAAAATGGGCTCCTCGGCTCAACAACTCAGCCGCGGCTCTCCTACATCCCCACCTGCTCGCCATCTCCCGCATGACCAGCTCCAGGCACTCCGCAGAGGGCAGGTGCAGCGGCAGCCGCCGAGCGGGCCGCAACGCCACCCCACCAGGAGCAGCAGCTGTTGCCGCCGCCGGACCGCTACCCACAGCCCCGCCAGCGCTGTTACTGCTGCTGCTGTTACCCGGATTACCACCAGCGCTGGTGCTAGCACTGCCGCCGCCGCTGCTGCCGCTGCCGCCAGCGCCGCCACCAGATGAGTTGAGGGGAGGTGAAGGCCCCGCTGCGGAACCAGCGCCGGAGCCTCCTCCGGATTGGCTGCCGGCAGGGGCGGTGCCGCCAGCCGAGGAGGAGGAGGAGTCCCAGCCGCCACACACGCGGCACAGCGGCGGCAACAGGGGCTGCGACTGGAAGGTCTGAGCCGCAAAGATGACCTGCGGGGCGACAGTTTTGGCGAGGGCGTCTTAATAAGTGCGACTAACTAGCTGAGTTACTACCCAGCAGGAGGAATGTGGTATGCGCACACGCCCCAGCGCGCTGCAAGCAAGAATGAGGACCCACACCCAGTGTGCTTTCTGTGATTCTGACCCAAATCACCACTCCCACCAGGTTCATGAGCGCCCAGGAGTTGAAGGTGCCCGCTGCCGGGTTGTTCAGGCCGCGCGCGTCCGCCCACAACTCTACCTGCCGTGGGGAAGAGAACCAGGATTGACAGACGATGGAACGCAGTGGCAGTTCATGCACGTGCTGGTTCACAACGAACGCATGGGTTGGGTGACCCATGCGCCTCGCTCCATGTACCCCGCCACCCCCACCCGCCCCACCAGCTGCACGAGGCTCCTGAGTCGCGGCTCCAGCTGTACCAGCGCCCGCACCACGTGAGCCCGCACCGAGAAGCCCGGATGGGCCACACACACGCGGACGGGGATGCCGCTGCCGGCGTGCTCAAAGCTGGTGCGTAGGGGCACGGGTTGTGTAGGTGCAGGGGCAACAGCGGGAGAGCGTGCGAGAGCGTTAGTTAGAAGGAGACGTGGGTCCCGACATGCACGTGAGCCCTGCACACCCAAGGGAATTTAGAAGGCTAAGGGAACCAGCCATGCCGAAGTTGGTCGGGAATGGTGGCTAGGAATAGGCAACCGTGGCGCAGGCCGGTGTGCATGTGCCGACGCATGGCTGCTTTTTACGGCTGTCTACCCACAGCGCCCCACTAACCTGACGGAGGGCACTCGGGCGGTGCGGTTGATGCGGACGGTGCCTTGCGCCGCTGCACCGCTGTCGCCGATCAGGGAGTGCACGCGCTCCAACAAGCACAGCCGCTCGGCCGCACCACGCTGCTCCTGATGGGGTTGGGAATGTCGGCATTGTGAAGAGGGGTTCTTAGGAGACGAAGGGTATATAAAAGTCCGCTGACGCCGCTGTTGCCGCGGTATCATGTGGTGGTATCAAGGCCGGCATGTAGCGGCCTGGGACAGGTGACGACCTATGGAGTATTTGCTTCGGCGCAACCAAACCCCGAGCTCCCTGTGGTCGCAGCAGCAGTGCTTGCCAACTGTTGGCCTTACCAGGTCCAGCAGTTGAGCGTCGCCCTTTGAATCTGCAAGCTTTCCCGTGATGGCTATCTCCAAAGGAGACGAGGCGGTAAAGCAGCCCATAACGAAGTAGCCGTGAGGCTCCGCTGCCAATGTTCCGCCCAAGCTTGACCCGAGCGACGACAGCCTTGCCGTAAGGTCAGAGCATATATCCAGTCGTGCTTCTTCATCTTCTGGTGTAGGGGCCTCCATCTGTTCAGATGCCAGTCGAACAACCCGCAAGGAGATGGACAGGTTTGAATAAGTTGACGGGACTTCCAGTTGTCCGTCTTAATAATATGTAAATAAATTGATTACAGCTACACACCTGCGCTATTTTGTGCCATAAGTCCTCGAGGGTGCCATTCAAGGACGACGGTGCCTCTGCGCGCTGTTGGATATACACATCCCATGCTTGGTTTACTACACTCTCCATGGCGCTCAGCTTTAGACGTCTTGGCAACGCAGCGCCCTACAGTCAAGGTGGCTCAGCAAGCTGCAAGCGGATTGCGCAACATCCTGTGTTTGTGAAATAGGACAAAGCTACATTCTGGTACGCATACATTCCACTTCTAGATACAGCCAAGGAACTCCTGCGCTGAAAGGGCGATGAGGGCGATGAGGGCTCTGAGCTCTCGAGCCTTGGTTGCCGTATCCTGCTGTACCAGCATTGGCGGGACGGGTCGGACATAGCCAGAAGGCCTGCAGCTGTAATAGTAAAAGCGGGCAGAAGACCAAACCCCTTTGAAACTCTTCCAAGCTGACATCGTCGACAGAAAAGCGCCTTTTGTTTACCGTAGATGTCAGCTACTCTAGATAACCCTTGTAGCTAATTTCTGACCTTGCAACCCTACATGTGACGATCGATGGACACCGTATATAGTATACTTATGCGTCATTTAAGCACTAGGCACTAGTTCGCCAGCTGGCTGGACCCAATCATGCCTCCTAAGAGCAAGGCGGATGCGCTGGTCCAAAAGTCTCCAGCCGAGTTCTTTGCGGAGAACAAGAACATCGCTGGTTTTGACAATGTACGTGATCAGGGTGGCTGCGCTCTCAGCGTGGATTTCTGAGCGACCCGACGGGCCTCTGTTGCCGTCAGCAACGAACTGCATACGCAATTTGCTGCCCAACAGCACCTATCTACCTCTATCAGCATCTATCTACCTCTATCTCAAAGAAATCTCTAAATCACGCACCCCTGCAGCCCGGCAAATGTCTCTATACCACGGTTCGCGAGCTGGTGGAGAACGCGCTGGACGCCGCCGAGTCCATCAGCGAGCTGCCCATGATTGAGATCACCATGTAGGGGGGGAGGGAGGGAGGAAGGAGAGAATTAAATAAACTGAGCCGCGGAAACACTGGCCCTGAGGGGGGAAGGGGGACGGGGGCGGGAGCGGGCACTTGTTGGTCTTCCGGTACTCCTTGGCGACGCTGTTGGGCCCCACGCGTAGGAATGCTGCGCCCGATGCCCGCCCATACCTGACGCCGTTTCCCCTGCCTCCATGCCACGCCTTCAGCCCTGCCGCCCCCGCCCCGGCCCCCATCCCACCCACCCCAGTGAGGAGGTGTCCAAGGCGCGTCTGAACCGCATCCGCGGGGTGGAGCAGCACGGGCGGGTGGACGAGCAGCTGTACCAGGACTTTGAGAGCGAGGATGCCAAGAAGGTGGGGGGGGTTTTGGGGGCAGGTTGTGGAAGGGAGAGGAGGGGAGCAGGGGAGGGGGAGGCCACTCTGTCGTAGCGCCTGCGAATCCCGTTGCACCCCGTTCGGCTCATGACACTGCCAGCCTGTTGCGGGTGCTTCCAAACAAGCGCTCAGCCCACCGTTCGCCCCTCTTCGCCCCCTTCACCACCCACCCTCGCCCCTTCTCCCCCACAGAAGCGGCTGGCGAAGGAGGCCAAGGACAAGGAGAAGCTGCAGAAGCTGATTGAGAAGGTGGGGGTGGTGGTGCATGCGCCGGGTGTTTCTGGGGGAACGTCCGTGGGAGCTCATGTGTGTGGAAAACGTCTGGGCTCACAGCGGGTTGGGATGGGGTAAGGCCTTAGCCATGCACGCACGCTATCCTCATCTTCTTCCACCTGCCCCACCCGCTCCTCCTGGTCCACTCCCTCCTCCTCCATCACATTGAGTGTTCTTCTTTCCCCCTTTCGCCGCAGCATGGCGAGGGTGCAGCGGCGGTGGAGGCCAAGAAGAAGGAGATAGCGGCTGCGGCCAAGCCGGGGGGCGGCATGCGGGGCAATCTCTTCTACCGAGTCACTGTCAAGGTGGGGGAGGAGGGGGGGAGGGGGAGAAAGTGTGTAGCAGGGGCTGTTGGAAGACACAGGGGATTCGGGTTTCACACGGATGGGCCGCTGGTGAGCTAAGTGCACACCCCGAGGGAACCTCACCTCCTGGGAAACACCCTTTATCTTTCACCTTCACTTCTCCTGCCCCTGTTAACCTCCTTCCATGCCGCGCAAGAACCCATCCACTCTACCCCCACCCGGCTCAGTTAACCTAATCCCCCCGCTACCATTAACGGGTCTTCCTATGGCCACGGTCAGTGTTACCTTCCCAGTCGCACCCCACACCCGCGCCCCTCCCCCCCAGGACAACGGTGCCGGCATGCCCCACCGCGACATCCCCGCTATGCTGGGCCGCGTGCTGAGCGGCACCAAGTACGGCGTGAAGCAGACGCGCGGCAAGTTCGGTCTGGGCGCCAAGATGGCGCTCATCTGGTCCAAGATGACGACGGGGCTGCCCTTCGAGATCAGCAGCGCGCGAAAGGGGGCGGCCAGCCGCAGCAGATACGTGCTGGACATTGACATCCACAGGTGGGTGGGTAGGTGGGTGGGTGGGATGTAGGGGACCACATTTCTTGGTTTTAGGGGGGAGCAACTGGGTTAGGATCTAGGGGTCTAGATGGGTAGGAACTAGGGAACCAGGTTGCTTTCTTCTAGGGGTTCAGATCGCTTGCTTCTAGGGGGGGGAAGTGGCGAAGTCGGTCAGCTTCTAAGGCGCCTGTCGTCCCTTCCGCATCTCCGTTCGGTGGGGAAACGCATCTAGCAGCATCATGACGACAGAGCATGGCTGGACAGATTCTCTTGGTGGTGCCGGCTTTGACCTTTGAGTCTTAACTCTTTCAAGGGGCAGTGTCACCCCAGCACCTCTGGCAGCGATGTCAGCGGCACCACCTGAAGTAGATGCAGCATCAACACCAGTGTCAACACCTTCAACCCATCAACACTGGCTGAGACATTGGCGGCAGCGGCACATGCAGAGCTACATTGTATCTCTTGACTGCAACATCGGTGGTGTGAGCACCCGCGATATCACCTTTTGTCATGGCGTCAACAGCAGCAGCCCCCCTCCGGCTGCTAGACAGCGGCAGCAGCCCCCCTCCGGCTGCTAGACAGCGGCAGCAGCCCCCCCTCCGGCTGCTAGACAGCGGCAGCAGCCCCCCTCCGGCTGCTAGACAGCGGCAGCAGCCCCCCTCCGGCTGCTAGACAGCGGCAGCAGCCCCCCCTCCGGCTGCTAGACAGCGGCAGCAGCCCCCCTCCGGCTGCTAGACAGCGGCAGCAGCCCCCCTCCGGCTGCTAGACAGCGGCAGCAGCCCCCCTCCGGCTGCTAGACAGCGGCAGCAGCCCCCCTCCGGCTGCTAGACAGCGGCAGCAGCCCCCCCTCCGGCTGCTAGACAGCGGCAGCAGCCCCCCCTCCGGCTGCTAGACAGCGGCAGCAGCCCCCCTCCGGCTGCTAGACAGCGGCAGCAGCCCCCCCTCCGGCTGCTAGACAGCGGCAGCAGCCCCCCCTCCGGCTGCTAGACAGCGGCAGCAGCCCCCCCTCCGGCTGCTAGACAGCGGCAGCAGCCCCCCTCCGGCTGCTAGACAGCGGCAGCAGCCCCCCTCCGGCTGCTAGACAGCGGCAGCAGCCCCCCTCCGGCTGCTAGACAGCGGCAGCAGCCCCCCTCCGGCTGCTAGACAGCGGCAGCAGCCCCCCTCCGGCTGCTAGACAGCGGCAGCAGCCCCCCCTCCGGCTGCTAGACAGCGGCAGCAGCCCCCCTCCGGCTGCTAGACAGCGGCAGCAGCCCCCCCTCCGGCTGCTAGACAGCGGCAGCAGCCCCCCTCCGGCTGCTAGACAGCGGCAGCAGCCCCCCCCTGGCTTTCTGGGCAGCGGCAATGTTGTACTAGTTCCCATGGGTGCCTCATATACCTCGGTTGACCGTTGTCCACTATCACAACACGATGAGTAAGCTACGTCCGTCGCCTCCCTAGTCTCGCTACCACCTAGCAGACGTGTGCGTCTACAATGTCTACACGTGCATCTACGATCTGTTGCCGCGTGGAACGAGATGGCCGTAGGCGCCGAGGTCTTGGGGGATTATAGATCCTAGGAATGTGCTGACGGCTAGGGAGACAAATCCCAGCATCGCCTAGCATAGACGCGTGTGTGCACTTACTGGTAAAGTGGTAATAGCAGTAACACACCCGGACCCCGGTACCCCCTCGAGGGGGTACCCACTCTCCGCAACCCTCCAAGGGCACATCCTTCTCTTCTCCACCATCACGTCTTGCGACTCACGCCGGCTGCAGTATTCTTCCGGACCCATCCTCCTCGTCCTCCATCTCCTGCCAGACGTGGAATCAATCAAAAACTCCACCAATGCCACCAATCCTTCCCCTTCCCACCGCCACCCTCCCCTTCACCCCGTGCGTTAGCAATCGGGCAAAGGGCGTTGTAGCTCATTCGGGTGGCTCACCTCGCCTAATCCCCCTCTGACCCCCTCCCTCGTCCCCTCCCATCTATACCCATTCTTTTGCCAGCTTCGCCCCCTGTGGTTTCCTATGGTTTGCCCTACCTCTGAACCCCGCTCCCCCCGCTGACCAGGGACATTGGGAATTCTTCTTTCCCCCCTTTCCCCTTCTCTCCCTCTAACACCCCTTTCCCTTCCCCCCACCCCCAGGAACGAGCCCAACGTGCATGTGGAGCAGCAGCTGCCCAACCCGGACGGCTGGCACGGCTCCGTGCTGAGCCTCACCATCGAGGGAAACTGGCAGTACTACCGGTGGGGGGGAAATTATAAATAAATGCAACAACCGGTGGGGGGGGGGAGGGGGAGGCGGAGGGGAAGGGAGGTAGGGCTGAGAGGGAGCCCCTCACACATGCACACACCGGCAACCCCAACTAACTGCGTGCCTTCCATTTCCTCTTGCTACGCTGTGTGTATTCACACTGTGTTCGCATTTTGTGATGGTATATCTTCTCCTATGAAGAACATGGGGCTATGGCTCACTCGGACCCCACGCCATCACCTCCCGCCCCCCCTCACTGCATGAGCCGGAACATGGGGCTATGGCTCACTTCTCATCTCGTTCCCCCCCTCCTCCCTCCTCCCCCTCCTCCCTCCCCCGCCTCCCCCCTCCTCCTCCCCTCCTCCCCTCCTCCCGTCGCAGCTCCAAGATCGTGCGCTACCTGCGCCAGATCGCGGTCATCACACCCTACGCGCACTTCGCCTTCACCTACCGAGCGGAGGACGAGAAGAACAGCATGCGCATCAACTTCAGGTACCGGGTAGATGGGGGGGGGGTGATGCTAGGGTGGGGCGGGCGGAGGGAGGTGCTGCTGCTACTAACCCAACCCGTTTGACTGTAACCCAGCCTAATGCGGAATATTTAGTTCTATTTACCCCCTCCCCTTATTAATCCCCTCCCTTCTCCCTCCTCCCCTTATTAATCCCCTCCCTTCTCCCTCCTCCCCTTATTAATCCCCTCCCTTCTCCCTCCTCCCCTTATTAATCCCCTCCCTTCTCCCTCCTCCCCTTATTAATCCCCTCCCTTCTCCCTCCTCCCCTTATTAATCCCTCCCTTCTCCCTCCTCCCCTTATTAATCCCCTCCCTTCTCCCTCCTCCCCTTATTAATCCCCTCCCTTCTCCCCCCTCCCCTTATTAATCCCCTCCCTTCTCCCTCCTCCCCTTATTAATCCCCTCCCTTCTCCCTCCTCCCCTTATTAATCCCCTCCCTTCTCCCTCCTCCCCTTATTAATCCCTCCCTTCTCCCTCCTCCCCTTATTAATCCCCTCCCTTCTCCCTCCTCCCCTTATTAATCCCCTCCCTTCTCCCTCCTCCCCTTATTAATCCCCTCCCTTCTCCCTCCTCCCCTTATTAATCCCCTCCCTTCTCCCTCCTCCCCTTATTAATCCCCTCCCTTCTCCCTCCTCCCCTTATTAATCCCCTCCCTTCTCCCTCCTCCCCTTATTAATCCCTCCCTTCTCCCTCCTCCCCTTATTAATCCCCTCCCTTCTCCCTCCTCCCCTTATTAATCCCCTCCCTTCTCCCTCCTCCCCTTATTAATCCCCTCCCTTCTCCCTCCTCCCCTTATTAATCCCCTCCCTTCTCCCTCCTCCCCTTATTAATCCCCTCCCTTCTCCCTCCTCCCCTTATTAATCCCCTCCCTTCTCCCTCCTCCCCTTATTAATCCCTCCCTTCTCCCTCCTCCCCTTATTAATCCCCTCCCTTCTCCCTCCTCCCCTTATTAATCCCCTCCCTTCTCCCTCCTCCCCTTATTAATCCCCTCCCTTCTCCCTCCTCCCCTTATTAATCCCCTCCCTTCTCCCTCCTCCCCTTATTAATCCCCTCCCTTCTCCCTCCTCCCCTTATTAATCCCCTCCCTTCTCCCTCCTCCTCCACCCAGACGCCGCACCGACGTGATGCCCCCGCCCCCCCGCACTACCAAGCACCACCCCTCCTCCGTGGACCTGGAGCTGGTGAAGCGGCTCATCGCGGGCAGCGAGGCAACCACCCTGCGAGCATTCCTGAGGCGGGAGTTCGACTGCGTCAACCAGGACCTGGCGGGTGAGGAAGGAGGACTTGGCTGGGTGGGGTGGGTGAGAAGGAAGGGATGGATGGGTGGCGGGGTGGGTGGAGGTGCAGGGACAAGAGGGCGGGTGGGTGGGTGGTAAAAAGGGGAAAGAAGGGGGCTAGTTAAGTAACCCACCTTGTCAAAACACCAGGTGTGTTAAAATAACTGGCCGCGAGGCGAAACGTACTGTGATTGCCGAAAGATGGAGTCCATGTGTGTGTGTGTGTGTGTTTTGGATTGCGTCACGACCTGTGTTGAGGCTCCTGCGCTGCGTCTGGCGGCGGGCTGCTGCGCTGCTCCCACCTCGTCTCCCTGGCGGCGATGGTGTTGGTGTACGGCGACCTGCGGCAGACATCGCGGGTGAACTTGAGTGCGAAGTCCACTCAAAGAGTGGACGGAGAAATAAACGTACTTGTGTGCTTCTGTGTTGGGTTGTGTGGGGTTTTGTGATGTGGCCTGCGTTTCGTTTCTCCTCCCTTTCCTGTCTACACAGCGCCAACCTCAATCCTTTACAACTTATATCCTTTCCGGCCGCACACACCCGCTTGTCTGCCTTCTTCCCTTCCCTCCCTCCTAAAGCACAACTCACTGGGTATTCTTCCCCTCCCCCCCTCCCTCACTCCCTCCCTGCCCTCCCCAGAGCGCCTGGTGGGTGAGATGCAGGCGGGGGTGGAGGGCGACATGAGCCCCAAGAACCTCACGGACAGGCAGGTGGGTGGGAGGAATGAATGAGAAGTGAAGCAACGCAGTCCCAATCCCAATCCCATGGGAGGTGGGTGGGTGGGAGGGAGGGTGGGCCGCTGATGTGTGGGAGCAAGGGTCGCCTGCCGGAGGGGCAGGGCAGGGAAGAGGAGCTTTCTCGATGGCCAACCAGTGTTGTTAGTATTGTTCCTCCTCCTCCTGCTCCCCCTGTGGTTTCCTATGGTTCGGTATGGTCTTTGACCCCCCTCCCCTCCCCCCCCTTCCCCTCCCCCCCAGATCGTGCGGCTGCACCAGCTGTTGCACGAGGTGCGGTTCGAGGACCCGCGGGGCGACCACCTCAGTCCGGCGGGTGAGAGGGTTGGTAAGGGGGGGCTGGCATGCCGGCATGCTGTCTGTGCCAACAATACCTCTCCCCTCTCCCTCCTCCTCTCCCTCCCATCGGTCTTGAGCCTCTTGACAACTGTCTTGAGTAGTATTTGTCGCCCCGTTCCGTCTCCCTCCAATAACCCGCCGTGTCCCTATCCCTGCCACCCCTCTCTCCCCCTCCCTCCCCTTCACCCCCTCCCCTCCCCCAGGCGAGTACAACCTGCGGCTGGGTGTGATGAAGGAGCTGGCGCCCGACATGATCGCCACACACCAGGGGGACGTGCGCGTGTTCGAGGGGCACGCGTTCATTGTGGAGGCGGCGGTCAGCGTGGGGGGCAGGGACATCAAGCCGGGTGAGAGGGGCCGTGGGGGGTGGGGGGGTGGGGTTATGGCAGCTGGAGGGGATAGCTAGGCGGCGGCAGCGGGTGCATCCACCTCCTTACGGCCTTTACCTCCGGTCGCCATCAGTGTTCCTTCGGGGCTCAGTTGGACTATGCCCCTTTCTTCCACCCCTACCCCCCCCCGGGCCAAATATCCAGCCTAATTCGGATTCTGTTTCCAAAATACCCCCCCGGGCCCCCACCCCCCCAAGGCATCAACGTGCACCGCTTCGCCAACCGCATCCCGCTGCTGTTCGAGGGCGGTTCCGACGTCATCACCAAGACCGCACTCAAGCGCATCAACTGGAGCGCATACAAGATTAACCAGACATCCGACAAGGTGATATGGGTGCCAACAGGGTGCTGGGTGCTAGGGTGCTAGGGCTTTCGGGCCAAGGCTATAGCCAGGGCTAGGACTACGGTACCTCCCGTTTAGTGAGACCCCCACCGAGAATGCGTGGCTGAACGCCTGCATGTTTTGCTGGCAAGCTGCTTGCAGTGATACTTCTGCCCCCGCGGTGCTCACAGTCCCCTTCCACACCCCTGCATGTCCGCTGCACCCTGTCCGCCCCTTGCCCCCCCTCTGTCACCAACATACATGCCCCCCTTCGCAAACCCCTTTCCCCGCCTCTGCCGCTGCTGGCACGTATCTTCCCCTCCCCCCTTGCATACATACGTCCTCACGCCCCCCCCACGCCCCCCCCCAACCCCCCAGGTGGGTGTGTTTGTGAGCATCGTGAGCACCAAGATCCCCTTCAAGGGCGCCGGCAAGGAGTACATCGGAGACGATGTGGAGGAGATGGTGGCGGCGGTCAAGAGCGCAATACAGGTGCGGTGGTGGGAGGTTGGTGGGCGGGGTGGTGGGTGGTGAGGGTGGGGTGAAGAGGGAACCAACGAATTGTGACGGCTAGGCGAACCCAAATGCCGAACCGCATGTGGGAGAGCAGCGAAGAGCGAATGAGGGTGTCTGGGGTAGGGCCTCCCCACCGACCGCTCCCTCGTGCCCCTCTTCTGCATGAGTCGGGATATGGGATTGGGACTCTAGTTGTTTGCATTTATTTTGTAATCCCCCCCCTTAACAGGCCTGCTGCGTACAGCTGAAGGCCAAGATCGTGAAGCAGCTGGCGGCCAAGGAGCAGAAGCTGCGCAAACGCAACCTCACAAAGTACATCCCCGACGTGGCCAACGCAATATACTCGGTGCTGGAGCGCATGGCTCAGCGGGAGGAGGGCGCTGGGGGCGGCGGCGGTGGTGGTGGTGGAGATGAGGGCGGGGCAGGCGGCAGTGCGGGGGGTGCCGTCAAGCGACCGCGGATTGCGTTTCACGACGAGAAGCAGCTGCTGCCGCTGGTGGCGCGGCGGGAGGTGACGGCGGCGACGCTGCAGGCGCGACTGACGGAGTATGTGGAGCGGATTGACACGGACATGGTGAGGCAGTGGTGGTGGTAATGGCCGGAAGAGGCGAGGGTGTAAGAAGTAAGATATCTGGTCCGTTGCTTTGCTGCTGTTGTTGATGATACCACCATCATCCCACATCATCCGCTCCCTCCAGGCGCTGGAGTACCAGGTCCAGCAGGGGCTGGCGGCGGGGGTGGCCAAGGTACGTGGGGGGGGCAGGGGGGAAGGAGGATGGTTGAGGGTCTCGGGGGGGGGTGCTGCGGGTGTGCTACTGCAAGGGTGGGTGTGCTACTTGCATGGGGTGGTGGGGCCTGGGGCATGCAACCCTTGTAGCAGTGGATCGCGTTACGGCATGCACGGCATACTTCAAGCATCAATCCGTACTCGCTTCCCCCTTTCCTCCCCGCCACTACCTGCCTTCCTAATTGCTTGCTGGTAATTTGTCCCCGCCCCCCCGGCTCCCAGGAGCCGCTCTACCTGATGCCCCTCAGCGCCCGCCACAGCCACGGCCCCGAGTTGCACGCCAACACGTGCGTCGTGAAGCTGCTCACAGACTACACGTGAGGAGCAGGAAGGGGAAAGCGCCCACGAGGGGCGAAGAAAGGAAGGGAAAAAGACCATGAGGGGCAAAGTGCAAGAGATTAACCATGTGACAAGTTCAACCTAGAGGGGCAGGGGGGCGTGTAGTAGAGCGGAAACAAGAGCAAGTCTGAGGGAGGTGGCACGTGACGGAGGGTAAGGAGGCGTAAAGAGGGGTTACTCCTCACTGGACTTTATACTTTGTGGCCTGATGGAAGGGCTGCATACGATGTGGGTTAGGAGGGCGACCTGGTTGTGAAGGCCAAAGCGAAGCAAGCAATGTGGAGATTGGGTTTGGGGGCATGCCCGTCTACAGATCGCAGGATGCCGCTCTGCTTTCCTCCACCAAATGTGGGCAACGGGAGGACAAGTCGACACCCATGCGTGCATCTGGATCGAAGTTGCAATTACCATACATTACAGCTTGCCGCATGTCCACATGTTGGTAGCAACATGCAGCCGCGTCAGACGAGGTCCTTCATAGCTTATACAGCTCCTGATATACAGCTTCTAACAGCGCAAGATCCCGATTCTTATGCGCAACGGTTTCACGGCGAGCCACGCACTGGAGTTCGTGAGGTTTCAGCATCCAAACGACCACACCAGCAACAACTGTTCACCCCCTTGCCCTCCTTTGACACGTAGCCAGGCCAGCCCAACCACGGCGCAAAAAACACAATTGAACAAAACAGGAAAGGAGACGATGCAACACACGCACAAAAGAGACCGCAACGAAACCAGGAAAGCGAGAGCACTTCCAAGGTGGGTTGCTGCCAGCGAAATTGGGGCCGCGGAGCAGCGACACGCTGCCTTTCACACCCAACACGTCCTCAACAAACATGCACAACCAATTTGGCCACACAGGATGTACAGGTTTTCAAAACACACAACATAGGAGAGTCATGGCGCATTTAGCTAGCGGCGAGAAACCCATCGCGTGACTTCCTGCACCCGCATGAACGAGGTGCGATGCCTCGTGGGCCCCGGCGTTTCCAACACAAGCAGGTCCACGCAAACACAGGAGAAAGCCTCCCCCACCCGGCGTATGTGACCCTTGTCTTTCGCAGCAAGTTAACCCGTACCGACAACGAAGACAACCTGAGGCATGTCACCAACAGTGACGCTTCCGTACGCAAAAGGTAAGCCAACCTGGACAGCAGTAGCAGCGCACACAAGCCGCAGTGGCAGAAGCACACACACCTGCATGACGCCCCTGATTCCTCCACCCCACCTCTCGCGCCCTCCTGCTGTCCAGTCGCTCGCTCTCAAACCATCAGACGACAGCCATCGTCTTCCCACACCCCTCCCACCAACCATCCGTTACATGATTACAACCCTTCCCCCCACCCACATCAGCAACCCCCAACCCCCCTTCCTTCCTCACACATGCGCCGCTCACGTCGCCACAATCAGACCAGGCCTGCGACCGCCCTTCTTCTTCCGAGGCGCCTCATCATCGCCGCCACTCCCACCCTCCTCGTCCTTCTGCTCCTCATCCCCGTTGCCACCCTCCTCCTCCGCTGCCTTCTCCGCTACCTTCTCCGCCTCTCCCTCCTCCGCGGCCTTCCCGCTGGCGCCGTGCCTGAAGCGGTCAATGTTGCGCAGCTCCTGCGACTGGAAGGGGCGCCGGCCCAGCAGCCGCTCCACATCGTCCAGGTTCAACACCTGCGTGCATGCGCGTGAGAGTGTGTGATAAAAAAACTGGCCGCGAGGCGAAACGTACTGTGATTGCCGAAAGATGGAGTCTTCCCACCGAAAACGCCACAGTGTGTGAGTGCGTGTGCGAGTATGACGCGGAGGCGTGTCGGTTAGAGTCGGACAGCGGCGCGTGGGATATGCATGCAACACAAACACTTGAGCAGATAACAAGACCCGTAACAGATAGCTCTCGACCCGTCTTCATCACCTAGTACGTCATTATCCGGAGGACACCCCACAACGACCTCAACGCCGCTTCGCCCCCTCCCCTCCTCACCTCCTTGTGCAGCAGCTCCTGCGTCATCGCCTCGATCAGCGGCCGGTACTGCTCCACCATCGCCACCGTGCGCTTGTAGGCCATGTCCACAAAGGCGCGCACCTCCTCGTCGATCAGCCGCGCCGTCTCGTCGGAGTAGGGCTTGTCGAAGGCCTCCCGGTCCATGCGGAAGGACACCAGGCCAACCTTCTCGTTCATGCCGTACACGGCAACCTGCGGGGGTGGGGAGGGAGGGGAGGGGGGGAGGAAGGAAGAGGTAAAGCGAGAGACACCGGGCCGTGAGCTGAGGGCAGCAGCACTGGGCAACGTCCGATCGCTATAAAGCGCAACTCCCTCGCACACACCCGAGTAAATATACCCTGACACTTGGCGCCCCAGCAGCTCTCCCTCCCCCTCCCCTCCTCCCAACCCCTCCCCCCGCACCTGTGAGTACGCCATCTGCGTGATGCGCTCCAGGTCATTCACCGCGCCCGTGCTGATCTTGCCCAGCATCACCTGCTCAGCGGCACGACCGCCCAGCGTGGCGCACACGCGGTCAAGCAGCTGCTCCTGTGGGGGGGTAGTAGGGTGAGGTTGGGATTCGGCGGGTCAGAAAGAAATGATACTAAGTGTATGCGGACGGGACAAACAGCAGGATGCGACGAGGCAGCAACGGCATATTGTTGTGGGCTCCCTCAAAACGCCAAACGTACATCACAAGCGGCAACAACATGTGTACCCCATATCTACACATCACTCACATCCACAACCCCCCCTCCTCCTCCTCCTCAACTCCTCCCCCTCTCCTCTCCCGCTCCTCCCCCCCGCCTTGCCTTCGTGAGCAGCATGTTCTCGTTGGGCAGGTACTGCGCGAATCCCAGCGTGGCGGTTCCTCGCGGCACGATGGACACCTTGAGCAGCGGCTCCGCGTACTCCAGGAACCAGGACACCACCGCGTGCCCGCTCTCGTGGTAGGCAACGGTGCGCCGCTCCTCGCTGGAGATGACCTGGGGGGGCGGGCGGGCAGGTTGGAGGGGCGGGGGAGAGGTGGGGCATGTGCGACGCGTTCCGGGTTACAGTTCAATGGGGGAAGCTGCGCAGGAAAGGAACTGCGCGTGCATGAGTGGTATCGGATAGGATTTTTCGTTACGGCCAAGTGGCCTGTCAAGTCGCCATGGCAAGCAGCACCCACCCTCCTTTGCCCCCTCCTCCACTCTGCCTACCTTGTTCTTCTTCTCCAGGCCGCCAATGACACGGTCGATGGCGGCCTCGAAGTTGGCCATGTCCACCGCCTCCTGCAGGGGGGGGGGAGGTAAGGGGGGGCAGGTGAGGAGAGGGAGAGGGCGGCAACAGGACGCGCGGCTCAGCACCACCAGCTCTACCAACCTCATCCAGCCCAAAGAAAAGCCCACCCATCTCTGGTGGCAGGTGGCACTATTGGCAGTCAGTGCAGAGGCATCCAAGGTGCCTTCCGCCCTCCGCCGTAACCCCTCAGCCTACAGTCCTATACACATTAAGACATCCACCCCCCCACTCCTCCCTTCCTCACCAGGTTCTTGCGCGCCGCATGCAGCGCCGCCTCGTTGCATACGTTGGCGATGTCGGCACCGCTCATGCCGGGGGTGAGCGCCGCCAGCCGCTCCGCGTAGTAGTCGGGGCTCTTGACCAGCTTGAGCTTCTGCAGGTGCACGCGGAAGATCTGCTCGCGGCCCTTGATGTCGGGCGTGTCTACCGTGATCATGCGGTCGAACCTGGTGGAGGGAGGGGAGGGGAGGGGAAAAGCGTTGGGGAAACGCCAAGTGAAAAGTGAAGCATCTGGAGGAGACCGGGAAAGGGAAAGGGCCGTATGGCACATCAACACTCAGCGGAGTTAGGACACATGCACGCTCTGACCCCAGGATCCCCTCCCTCCCTCCGTCTGTTTATCCCTCCCTTCCGCCCACCCTCTTTAATCCCCTCCCTCCCACCCAGTATCACACCACACATTAGAATTTCTCCCCCCCCCAACTTACCGCCCGGGTCGCAGCAGCGCCTTATCCAGGATGTCCGGGCGGTTGGTGCCCCCCAGCACCACCACCCCGGTGGTGGTGGCGAAGCCGTCCATCTGGGGGGAAAAAAGATTTTCCAAAGTGTGGTGTGATAATGATATAAGTTGCTGACATCTCCCATCTGGGGGGAGGGGGGTGAAGTGAACAACATGGACTTGAGCATGAGGGGTAAAAACGAGGAAACTGGAAATAAAAGGCAACGGGGGGGGCCGCTTGCATCAAAACACCTAATCCCCCCTCTTCTCTCTCCCCCTCCTTCGCCCCCCACCCACCTCCACCAGCAGCTGGTTGAGGGTGTTCTCGCGCTCATCGTGGCCGCCCATGCCGCCCCCGCGACCACGCGCGCGACCGATGGCGTCGATCTCATCGATGAAGATGATGGAGGGGTTCTGGTTGCGGGCCTGAGAGGTGGGGAGATGGGGGGTAAGGGGAGGAGATTAGATAAACTGAGACGCGGAAAACACTGACCCTGACCGTAGGTTACCGGAATTGCTTTGTGGAGGGGAGGAGGTGGTGGGCGGTGCGTGTGTGCAAGAACGTGGCAAGCCGTGCTACCGGTAAGGATCGCACGCACTGTATAGATCAGACATCTAGTGCCTTCGAGGTGCCACCCGAAGCGGCCCAGTGAACTTCCCCTCCTCGCCACCCCCGTCTCCTCCCCTCCCCTCCCGGCCCCCCCCAGTCCCCCCCCCCTCCTCACCTGCGCGAACAGGTCACGCACACGCGCGGGTCCCACTCCCACAAACATCTCCATGAAGTCGGAGCCCGAGATGGACAGGAAGGGCACACCCGCCTCGCCCGCGGTGGCCTTGGCCAGCAGCGTCTTGCCGGTGCCGGGGGGACCAACCTGGGGGGGGCGGAGGTAGTTGGGAGGGGGGGAGCAGGTCAACGCCAGTGTCTAGATGCCATTTCGCAAGCTGCAGCCCCCGCCAAAGTGCTGTGCCTAGATGCCCAGCCCCCGGAAGATGGTTCGCCCGATCGCCACCCGACAGCAACACAACTCCCACGACTCCCCCTCCCCCTCCGCACACAACAACAACCATCCCCCCCTATATACACAACCACCCCCAACCGCCGTACCAACAGCGCTCCCTTGGGGATCTTGGCTCCCAGGTCCTTGTACTTGTTGGGGTTCTTCAGGAAGTCCACGAACTCCATGATCTCCACCTTGGCCTCGTCGCACCCCGCCACGTCCTTGAACATGACCTTGTCCTTCGTCTTCTCCATGAACGACACGTTTGCCTTGGACTGGGGGGGGGGAAAGAGGGGGAGCGGGGAGGAGGGGTTGGTAGGGATTAAAAGGGGTGGGGGATGAGGGCATATGGAAGCGGAGGAAGGAGCGGGGGAAGCGCGTGCGAGAGCTGATCCTTGTGAGGAGGGGTGTAGACAGCCGCTGCTGCATGGCTACCGAAGAAGAGTGTCACCGCCGTGCTCCAGCTAGGCCATGGCATGCCTCCCCTCCCCTCCTCTTCCTTCCCAACCATATCTCCACTTCGCCCCATCCCATCCGCCCTCCTCCCCACCACTTCACTCCTCCCATACCCATCTGTCCCCTCCCTCTGTCCCCTTCACTTTTCATTTTCCCCCTGTCCCCCTGCGCCCCTCCCCTGCCTCACCATTCCGAAGAAGCCCGCCGCACCGCCCTGCCCGCCCTTGCTGTTCCGCCCGCCCAGCCCGCCGCGCCCGCCCAGCCCGCCCATGCCCGTCATCTGCCGCATCTGGCGGCTGATGAGCCAGTAGGTGGCGCCCATGAGCAGCAGCGTGGGAGCCACGTCAACCAGCACGTTCAGCAGGCTGACCTCGTCAACGTACCTGGGGGGGGGACGGTACGGCAAGGGAGGGGAGGGGAGGAGGCGGGCAGGTCAGGTAGGGGTCAGGTTGGTAGGGTTATGGGGTTAGAATGATCGCAACGAGGTGCGGCGGGTGCGATAAACATGCGAGGGCGTGGTTGTTGTGAGCCCGACAACTGTGGCAGCTAGTTGGAGCGAGGCTATGTCGACGTGTGCGGGTGTTGTGTGGCCCGTTGGAGACAACGCACGGTAGCCAGGCTAACAACATGAGTGCCATTCATTGGATAGGCCATGTGCAAGGTGGACCTGGACCCCCTTCTTGCTCAGGAGGTGCTGCTCCCTTTTGCTTACGTTCGGAGGCGTTAGGAGAAAACCGCACATGCCCTTCCGCTTCCCAACCTCTACCCCACTCCCACCCTTCCTTCCCTCCTCCCTCCTCCCAGCCCTTCTCATACCCTCCACCCTCCTCTCACTTTACAGGCAGCGCCATGTGCGGCGGGATGCCCAGCTCCCGCTGCGCCTCATCCAGCTTCCGCTCGAACGAGTCCACCGACCCGATGTGGAAGTAGTACCGCAGCACTCCGCCCGCAGCAGCGGCACCCGCACCCGCAGCAGCAGCAGCGCCTGCACCCGACGCAGCGCCGGGAGCTGCGCGCGCGTCCGTGTAGAACACCTCCTCGTGCTGCTGGGGGGCCATGGCGGCTCCGGGGGCGCCGTGCACCTCCTCGGTGGCGTCCGCGCGGACGTAGACCTGCGTGTGGAGAGGGGAGAGGGAGGGTTGGCACAGGGCGGGCGGGCAGGTAGGGGAGGAAAAGGAGGGTTGGGGGAGCTACTAGGCTCTTGGGAAACTATACCCATTCTACGCAGGGACCTCTATTCCTTCTTTACATAAAGATTAAAGTCTGAGTTGTGAGTTGTGACCCCTACCTTGACCAGGTTGCCGTTAGCCACCTCTAGTCGCGTCACCACGCCCTGCGCCAACAGGCGGTTGCGGAACTCCTGGAAGCTGATCTCCGCCGTACGGCCACCGCCCTGGCGGTTGCCGCCGTCCCGTCCGTACGACAAGTACATGACGGCGGCCAGCAGCGCGAGCATGTTGAAGAGCCGGTACCAGGCGTTCTGGGCGTCGGGGTCTGCATGAGGTGCATGGGGGGGGGGGGGGCAAAAGGGTTGGGGTTGGTGCGGATGGTAAGAGTCAAACAGGTGCACGAATACCTAGCTCATGCGGGCATCATCGAAGCATAATGACGTTCACGCGGGGACGTTCGGCACCCCAACAGCCACCTTACCTGACCCTCCCTCGTTGCCTTTCTGGTTGCCGCCGCCGCCGCTGCCCTCCGCCTTGGGCGTCTTTGTTGCCTTTGAAGCACCCGCCGTCCGTGGCATGAAGTTCTCAAAGCCTGTGCGCATCATTGCGTTTGTCAGGCATCATTTGACAAAAGGGATCCAAAGCATGCGGTGACCACACCTTTCCGTGGGGCATTGCTGCCCATAGCTCGTTGGAAAACCTTTGCAAAGAAGCCCTCCTCCTGCGGGCGACGGTCGGTATAGCCCCTTACTCAGTCGGTACCAGACGCGGCCTTGATCAACCGATGCCGATTAATAGTTAAGCTGGAAAACGTCTAACAAACCTGCTTCAGAAGGCCGCTCAGGAACACCGAGTGACTGGTGAGCATGCCCTTACGGACTGCTTGCTTTGTAAACAACCGGGTCAACCCAAAAGCAGCATCTAATGTATAGGGGCTGCTCGATGGGCCAGCCAGACGTCCTGAGAGCAGGCGCTCAGCAAGCAAAGCCTCCTCACTGGCGAGCCCTGGATGCTGCTGAAGCAGCAGCTGAAGCCGCTGTGCCCCACGCCGCAACATTTCTACGTGACCTGCTGTATACTATGGATAGCGAAGTGCGCAATCTATTCCCAAAGGACAGAACGAGATGCCCGAGACGCCAAGCTGATAAGGGTTATTCCCTGAGGCCAATGAACCAGTAAGGGGCTATCCCAACTTGCGTATTCACTGCTAAAAGAGTTACAGGGGAAAATCGTGGAGCAACGTGGCCAAGTTGTCAGGTATAACGTGAGCCTATTGTCAGGTTGATATATACGACCAAGCGTATAGTAGATTTATAGTTGTAAAGCTTATATTACAAGGAATACACCATGGAGGCCTTTTACGGGTCCTCGCGTCTGCATGGCGTATGCGGCTTCCACACAGACCATTGTCCTGCACGCTCCCATCGTACCCTGTGCATTACGATGTAACAGATCATCTACCGATCTAACGCCATGGCCATTTAGAACCCAATTACATGCTTACGCTCCCGGATTACGTTTCCACCAACACAGAAGTCGAGGAGCCGGAAGAAGATAAGCTAGAGAAAGCTATGGGATGGCTTCCATCCTGCACTAAAGCTGTCAATCAACTAGGTAATTGCATTACTGCATAGCGACATGTGATGTATGCAAAGCGCAGCCCGGATGACGGCAGCATGCTCAAGGCTGCGACACCAGCTGCGGTCCCTCCTGCTGCAACTGTTGCAGCTGCGGCACATCTTGCGACTGATCCTGCCTGACGCACCATTGCAGCGCGGTCTGCGGGCCAAAGAACAGTGCGAAAAGACGACGTGGAAGGGTGTGACGCCAGAGGCGTGAAGGGGTGCCTGAATGCTTTGAACCATGGGACGGAAATGCACACACGTGCCCCCTAGGCAACGCCGTCACCCAGGCGGCGCTGTATGAAACGTATAAACAGAGCCGTACAACAATGACAACTGCCGTACCTTAAGGTTTGCCAGCATGAACTTGAGCGCCTTGGTCCACTTGGCGTCCTTATTGAGTGTGAGCTTGATGGTGTAGGTGTTGACCTTGTCGCCGTCGATTGGGAAGGGGAAGTTGAACTGCGTGGGCTTGCCTGCAGGAAAGGGAGGCAGGGGACAACAAACCGACAGACCAGGCGTCATATGGCCGTGCAAACCGTACCACACACCGTAAATACATCCCACCCCTGGTTTCCAGCGTCCTATTAAACAACTATCGCCATAAGTTGAAACATACCCCTGCTCCCCTCCACCAGCCCCACTCGCCCTTCCCCTCACCACCATCCTTCTCCCACCTCCGGACACACCGTACACGCGTACATCCTGTAACTGTAACCTTCCACACCTCTTCCTCACCGCGCGGCTCAGTTCATCTACCGGTAATCCCCCTCACCGCCCCCCTCACCGTCCTGCACGTCCTTGCGCCGCGCATGCTCCCCGAACTCCCGCAGGCACGCCAGGTAGGCCACCATGGCGCGGTCGTAGTTGGCGGACCAGAGCTTGGACACGGGCCCGAACAGGTCGTAGGTGGAGCGCTTGTCGGAGATGCGCGGGTGGGAGCCCAGCGGCTGCAGCCGGTGCTGGCTGAACTGCAGCTTGGTCATCTGCAGGCAAGGGCAAGGGGGAAAGAAATGCAAGAAAGCAAGAGGGGGGATGAGAAAAAGCCCCTTAGGAGGTGCGGCAAAGGGGCAAGGCGACGGAATCTTCGCTTCCCAAGGGGCTATACGCTACACCCGCAGCCGCGACCCGCACCGCATGGCAACCCACACCGACAAGGGTGGCAACACACATCAGACATCACCCTATCTGCCCAGTCACCTCCCTATCCTATCCTATCCTATCCCACCCCCCGTACCTGCGCCATGGTGTGCAGCAGCAGCACCGCCTGCCCCCACGCCGCGTTGATCTCGTCCCACTCCACCGGCACCTCCGGGGTGCGGCCCAGACGGAAGCCGCTGATGGTGCCGAACGGGCCGTCGTGCCTGGGGGGTCGGAGACACCGGTACACCAAAAACAGAGGTTAGGGTAGAGCATTGGGGATAGAGGAAAGCAGTTCATCACGAAGCAAAAGAGGGTCGTGCCTGGGAAGTGGGGCACCGAAGGAGTGGGGAAGTGAAGCGATACCGGTATGTAAGGCGCCGTTGGTAAGCACTAAGCACCTCCCAGCGATGAACTCCCAGCTCCCAAGTCCGCTCCTTCACCCCCCACCCCACCCCAACCTCCTCCTCCTTCCTCCCTCCCTCCCTTCCCCTTCGGTATTCTCCTTTCCCCCTTCCCCTCCCCCCCACCATATCTGGAATGCGTCGTGCAGCACCGACGTGTTCCTCAGAAGCTGCAGCCGCTGCCCCGCCCGGTCTATCCGCGCCAGCAGCGCCCCCCGCTCCTCCCCGTGGTGCCGCAGCAGCAGCTCCAGCTCGTTCACATCGTGCCAGTAGCGCTCCTCCAGGCTGTCCAGGTCGGCGGCGGCGGACGACAGGCAGGACAGCTCCGAAACCACGGCGGCCAGCTCGGCCTCCAGCACCTCTGCGCGAGCCCTGTGCGACAGGAGGGAGGAGCGAGAAACCACGAAAAGTTAAGCAAAACTGGAGTCCCAGTCCCGTATCCCAACTCGCGCAGGAGGGAAAAAATTAAATATGTGAAACAACGAGTCCCAATCCCATATCCCGACTCATGCAGTGAGCGCATTCGGGACTCACGCAGGAGGGAGGAAGGAAAGAGCGTGAGAGGTCTCTTTCCTCCATACAGCGACCCTTCCAGACCTCCTCCTCATCCTTTTCCTCCTCCTCAGCCCAGGCCTGCCCCATGCACACTGTAACTGTACTCCCCGAGGCCACCCCAGACAAGCCCCAACCTCCTCCTCCCCCCCTCCCCTCCCCTCCGCACCTCTCCTGGTCCCGCTCCTGCTCCAGTCGGCTGATCTCCTCCAACTGGTACTCCTCAGCCTCCCTACACACACCGCCACCGCTACCACTGACACCAGCACCACCACCACTAACCCGGCCACCACCACCACCCGGCAGCAGTAGCGCCCCACCGCCGTTTCCACCGCCAAGCAAGGCAACAGTCGCCTCCGCACCCTCCGTTGCTGCTGCCGCCACCTCGCCCTCGTCGCTGGCCTGCCCTTCCGCCTGCGGAGAGGCCCCCGCTGCGCCCTCCAGCTGGGCTAGGCAGGCGCTGTAGGCCGCGATTTCCCGTTCCGCTTCTGCAATCTGGGATGAGGGAACGGGATAAGGGAAAGGGGGAAGGATTGAAAGTGAGGTAGCGGGTGCGGACGATGGTAAATACGGCAATGGAGAACCGCGGAGGAAGGGAACAATGGCGCCGGTGGGCGGTATCTGCAAGGAACCAAGGATACAGGGCAGCGACGCTTAGGCCGCGGCCATAGAGGCCCCTCCCCTCTGGAGGTGTGCGCATCGTCCCACCCAATCTCATCTTCACCTCCGCATGTCCCTCTCACCTGCGCCTCCATCTCCTCCTTCAGCTGTCCCACGCAGTCCATGCACAGCGGGTGATCCACCTGGGCAGGGGGCGGCAAGGTGTGTTCAGAAAACTGGCCGCGAGGCAAGGTGTGTGTGTGTGGGGGGGGGGGCGTACGCGGGGAAGGTGGTGTGAGAGGAGGGGGAGGAGCAGGACTCGAGTAAGGGATGCAACAAGTTGAATACGTGTGTTGCGGCTGTGTTGGGTAGCAACCCGGCGCTTTGCTGTTCAGGACTTGTCACACGGTTACCCTCTTCCTCTTCACCCTGCTTCACCCACCCATCCCCCCCACCTGCGTGTTGGTGGAGGCCAGCTCAAACAGCTGTGCGAGCGCCTGCAGCTTGGCATCCAGCCCCGACCCGGCAGCTCCCCCTCCTCCTCCTCCGCCTCCTCCTCCACCTGTACTGCCGCAGGCTCCTCCCTCACCGCCGCTGCTGACTCGCCCCGGGCCACCGCGGGGAGGAGGGTGGCCGTCCCCGGTATCCGCTGCCGGGCTGCCGGACAGGGGCCCTGCTCCTGCTCCGCCTCCTGGACCCGCAGCATTCGCACCCCCGGCTGAGCCGGAGGAGGAGACGGTGGTGGTGGTGATGCCTCTTCGGGAGGGCCCAGCCAGCGGGGTTGGCTGCGGAGGGGAGGCTGGTTGCTGCTGCTGCGGTGGTAGGGCGTGTTGTTGGTGGGGGTGGGGGTAGGGTTGCTGCTGCTGGTGGTGGGGAGGAGGAAGAGGTTGGATGGAGATGGGAGCTGAGGAGGAGGGCGGCTGGGAGTGGGGGCCTGCGGATGGCGCAGACGGCAGCGATGGCTGCTGCTGTAGCTGCTGCGGTGGCAGCAGCTGGCTAGGTGGCTGTGGCTGCTGCGGCTGCTGTTGTTGCTGCATCATCGCTTGCTGTTGCTGGAGGGCTTGCAGGTGCAGCGGGCTCAGCCCCGGCGGGTGATGGTGCGGCTGCTGCTGTGCTGCATGGGGGTGCGGGTGGGATTGGGGATGCTGCGGGTGCAGGCCTGGGGGCGGTCGCAGCACGGAGGCCGCGCCCAGCATGACAAAGGACTCCTCCAGGCCGCGCGCGTGGGGCGGGGGCTGCAGGTGTGGGGGCAGGTGCGGGTGCTGCGAAGCCGGATGGGGGTGCAGGTGAGCGTGGGGGTGGCCGGAGGGCAGGGGCTGGTTGAGGGGGGAGGTGGCGGGTCCTGCGGGCGTGAGTGGAGGGAATGAGGGATAGGGAAGGGTCGAGGGGAAGCATAAGCGGACAGGATTTACGCTGACTCGGCGCTAGCAGAGGGGAGGCAAAGAACAAGAATGATGGGGATATGCTTATAATCATTGAAGCATGCAACCCCAGCAGACTCACTCCGAGGCAAAATGTGAGGAACGAAGCCCTTGCCCAGGGCGTGATCAGCGCATCCAAGGAAATTGTGGGTTGCTTAACGAGATACATATTAATCAGCGCGCAACCCTAAAGCTAAGGCGTGTACCTTGCCGCTTGCCGTCCAGCACAATGAAGGACTCATCCACATTGGAGTGGTCAAACACGCTCGCTTGCAAGTGAGGAGGCACAAGCAAGCCACGACCTCCCACCCATGCTGCTGATTCCGTTCCAGGGGCAGCCTCGAGACTTCCCACGAGCGTCAGCCTTGCGCGGCATAACTGACAGGTAAACGCGTAAGAACTTTCCATCGGCAAGCTTAGTGCCTACTACTAAATTCCAGCAGCAACACTCTAAATGCTGCCGGTTGTCGGGAGTGCTCAGAGTAAAGAATTAGGGCATTGTACCGGTCGATTGCTTGCAAAATAAAGTTTGTAAGCGTGAGAGAGTAATGATGGCTTGGATTGAAGCGCAATGACATAGCTGATATCGTGATACGCGACTCTGGTTAGCGTAGTACAACGTGCCGATGCCAACGGTTCTCGACCCATGGGTGAAGCTGGGTGAAGAGCAACCTTTCTTCCCTTCTTGCTCTTGTTGTCTACCATTTCCCTTCATAAATCCGATTAAAAAAGTGAAAGCGATGTTGGGCTTAACAAGCGCCCAGTTTGTGCCGCTGGCCAGCCGTGCCTATGCGGGCTTGCCAAAGTTTGCAGGCTCCGCTTACGTAACTGTGCTGGGAACACTTGGCACCTTCACAACAAACGGAGTGCCAGCGACACAGTCCGCATTCTACAGCTTCTCCCCTCCAGGTATTGCGTCGACCGCCTTCGCCGACCCGGGGGACAACCTTGCCATCAGCGATATCCATCCGTCAACGAGCACGAGCTCCAACGCCTGCACCAATCTATCGGGCTATGAACTATCCATCTTCGAATGTTTGAACCTTTCGATACCCTTTTCCTTATTGCATGACCTTTTGGTACCGGTCGGTGCCGCTCCTCCTCCCTGAAACAGCCGCCGCCGCCGCACCCAACGCGCTTTCCCCAACCCAAGATGCCGGCTTCCGGACATCCCCCAAGCCACCGCTCCTCATCGCAGCTCAGCCGTACAACTCCGGCATGCCCCCCCTCACTCCTTCCAAGCGCCGCTACTGGTCCTGCCGTACCACCTCAGCCCTGACCAGCGAGTCCCTTGCAGCGGCCGCACCGACAGCCCCCCGCAAGGCCGTCCTCGCAGCGACGGTTCCCCTCACCGCAGCTAGCCCAGCATTACGCAGCCGCCGCGGCTTCTCTACCGCCCACCCCGGCATGAGGCTGGAGAAGGTAAGAGCGATAACGGGCGTGTACGGGCGTGGACGGGCGTGGACGGAGACGTATTTTGGGAGTGGGGATGTCATGCGATGTTACCGGCTTGGAGGCTATCCTGGACGCGACTACAGCATGGGTAGAGTGACAGGGGTTTTAAAGTCCTAGGCTTCGGGGAAAATGCAGTGCTTGTCAGTCGTGGCAGGTCGCAGCTTTCAAACGCTATCCACCGAGCGTTACTAGCCGAGCAACGATGATGTGAGGCAACATACCCTGTACCATGACCCCTGTACCCCGATTCCGTCTTAGTTTCCTTTGCCCCCATGCTGCCCAAGCCCCCATCTGCTGCCCCCTGCCCCCTGCCCCCTGCCCCCTCCACCCGCCACCCCACCCCACCAGGACACCATGGGCCCCGTGGAGGTCCCCGCGGACAAGTGAGGTGTCGCTGCTGCTGCTGCTGCAGAGGGGGGGAAGGAAAGAAGGAAGGAAAGGATAAACGAAGAAGCGAAGCAAGGAGTGGTGCAGGGGTCAAACCAGGGACGTTCACCAACGGTACCCTGAATCGTAAATAGAGTCGAGTCTGAGTCTGAGTCCGAGTGTAACACGCATCTTTCATGTCCCACCCAGGTACTGGGGCGCCCAGACGCAGCGCTCGCTGCAGAACTTCCGCATCGGCAGCGGCCCGACCGAGCGCATGCCGGAGCCGCTCATCCGGGCACTGGGGCTGGTCAAGCGGGCGGCGGCCGAGGTAGGGGCAGGCGGGCTGGGTGGGCTGGGCGGGTGGGCTGGGCGGGGTGGGGTTTGGGTTTGGGTGCAGATGTATGGAGCGTGGTGAGTCCATACACCCACCACCGTTGTGTCTTGTACCGGTACCGAGGGAGAAACCCCGTCCCACTTCACACCCACCCACTTTCCCCTTGCATCCTTGCTTCATGCACCACTCTCCCCGGTCGCCACCCCCCCCCGCCCCCCAGGTGAACACCTCCGCCGGCCTGCTGCCCCCCGGCCTGGGTGCGGCCATCATGGGTGCCGCCTCCGAGGTGGCGGAGGGGCGGCTGGCGGAGCACTTCCCGCTGGTGGTGTGGCAGACGGGCAGCGGCACGCAGACCAACATGAACGCCAATGAGGTGATTGCGCACAGGTGAGGGGTGGGGGGGAGGTGAGGAGCGGAGGAGGGCGAGGAGCGGAGGCGTGGTGGCGGGTTACTGTGCGAGGGTACCATGCGGGTATCAACTATGCGGGCTTCTCCGCCGCCTCGTCTGGCCACTTTTCATTTCCCACCCAGACTGCACCCCAAGCCTCCTTCCCCCTGACAGGGCGAACGAGCTCCTGTACGGCTCCATCTCCTCCTCCGCCTCCTCCGCCGGTGAGCTGCGAGTGCACCCCAACGACCATGTCAACCGAGGGCAGAGCTCCAACGAGTGGGTCGGGCGGGGGCAGGGGCAGGGGCGGGGCCGGGATACATGCGTGTTTAGGGGGTGAGACCTGAGGGGCTACCTGGTAGCAGCACACCACCAGGCGTATGCACTTCGGATGCACTTCGGTTACGGGGCCCACCTGCCTGCTGCTCGACTGCTGACACACACGCCTGGAGGGCCCCACGCCACCCACCCATGGCGTGCTCCCCACCTCCACGTCGCTCCCCCCACTACCCCTGCTGCCCCCCCTCTTTCCCCCCCCACCCTTAGCCTCATTCAACACATTGGGTGTTCTTCTTTCCCCCCTCCGCAGCACCTTCCCCACCGCCATGCATGTGGCAGTGGCGCTGCAGCTGCACCACCGCCTGCTGCCCGCACTGCAGGGACTGCAGGTGGGTTAAGAAAACTGGCCGCGAGTCGGAACGTACTGTGATTGTCGGAAGATGAAGTCCCCACAATACCGCAGAACTGCAGGTGTGTGTGGGGGGGGGGAGGTGTACATCGGAACTAGCCGCGAGTCGGAACTTACCGGTACGCTGCTTGCCGGAAGATGCCCTCATCTTTCTGCACCGCCCCTCCTCCCCACCCCTTCGTCCAGGACGCCCTAGCGCTCAAGGCCGGGGAGTTCGGTCGGCTCATCAAGATCGGTCGTACACACACGCAGGACGCCACACCGCTCACACTGGGGCAGGAGCTCAGCGGGTATGCCACACAGGTGCGGAGGAGGAGGTGGAGGAGGTGGAGGAGGTGGAGGAGGTGGAGGAGGAGGTGGAGGAGGAGGTGGAGGAGGAGAGGAGTTAAGGGGCACATGCGAACAGGCCAAACAGTACATTCCTTCTCTGTAGTCATCGTCACTGTAGCTGCTCCCATAGAGTAACCGTAAGACTGCGAATGGCTCATTAATTCAGTTATAGTTCAATTAGCAATACAGTGTGGGTGAGGTGGGGTGAGAAGGGGGGTCCGGGACTGTGTCATAACCCATGCCGTACTGCACGGCCAGGTGAGATGCCGATGCGGAGATGATGCCGGAGTGGTCAGAGGAGGTGTAGTGATGAAGGGGTGGTGAGGGGAGAGGGGAGCATGTAGGGGGCATACACATGCCGCCTCCCAACCCATGATGACCGGTGACCCATGACCGAAGAAGCCGGCTTCCTGGAGCTGGTGCTGCAGCCCCGCAGCGGGACTGTTGACCCTCCTCCTCTCACACACTCTCCTGTCATACACATGGTTCGCGTGTGGGGTGCCCCGTCGCCGTACATGGCCGCAGGTGCAGTACGGCATAGAGCGGGTACGGCAGTGTCTGCCGTACGTGCACATGCTGGCGCAGGGCGGTACGGCGGTGGGTACCGGCCTCAACACGTTCGAGGGTGGGTAGGTGCTGTTCGGGTGGGTGGGAAGCGGTCGGAAGGCGCAGCGTGTGCCGGTATGTGCGTGTGTTCAGTGGCTTGGTTACAGGCTTCACGGCGAGGGCGTCCTTCTCTGCACCTACACCTCCCGCTTACCTCAACCACCACCCGCAACCGCAACCCCCTACCTATTCGATCCGGGCGGGCCGGGCTGGCTCACATGTCCCAAACCATGAAGACGCCGTTTCACACGTTCTCGTTAGTTGTTTCCTCCCTCCTTGTTGACCCCACCCCTCTGCCACGCTCCCCTCCTTTGCTTCTGCAGGTTTCGCGGAGGCGGTTGCTGCCGTGCTAGCTCGCGACACCGGGCTGCCCTTCACCTCCGCGCCCAACAAGTTCGAGGCGCTTGCGGCGCACGACGCACTGGTGGCGCTCAGCGGCGCACTTAACACGCTGGCGGTGTCACTCATGAAGGTGGGAGGGGTCCATGAAGGTATACCAGAACCACAGGTGGTGGGTGAAGGTGGTGTGGGGGGAATAAGGGCTGGCAGGTTCGCACTGGGCTGGAATGCCGGTAGAGGATTGCGTCTGAAGGTGGTGGGGGAAGGGAGGGAGAAAGGCTAGCTCGGTGCTCTGAGCCCCCTGCTGGGGAAGAGAGGTGACATGCACTTGCGTGTGTGTGTTTCGTGGCGGGGTGAGAGTGCCGTAACCAGAGGTAGGGAATCGGGAAGCGCTCGACGTCTGTCCTAAAGGTCCGTTGTTCCCCCCTCCAGCAGCCTTCCTCACCTCCTCACCTCCGCCCCTCCTGCCCTCCACCCCGCCCCCCACCCCCCTAGATCGGTAACGACATCCGGCTGCTGGGCAGCGGCCCCCGCTGCGGGCTAGGCGAGCTGCTGCTGCCCGCCAACGAGCCAGGCAGCTCCATCATGCCGGGAAAGGTGAGGGGGTTGGGGTGGGGGATGGGACGGGAAAGGTGAGGCCAGGGGGGGATGGGTTGTGTGTGGCGGGCAAGGTGAGGTGGTTAGGTGGGGCCGGGCACGGAGGAGGAATACACGTGGTGAGGACAATACACGGCTTCCCCTTCCTTTCAACCGCTCAGGAAAAGCACAGATACCGTCAGTTACCCCCAACCCCACCCCGTACCCGTCTCTTCGTACCCTCCACGCTCCATGCTCCACCCCTCACACCTCCTCCCCTCCCCGCAGGTGAACCCCACCCAGGTCGAGGCGCTGACGCAGGTGTGTGCGCTGGTGATGGGCCACCACACCGCGGTCACCGTGGCGGGTGCGGGCGGTCACTTCGAGCTCAACACCTACAAGCCGCTCATGGCGGCAACCGTGCTGCGGTCGGGGGGGCTACTGGCGGATGCGGTGAGGGGGGTGGGTTGCGTTGGTTGCGTTAGCTGCATGGGATGGGAGGGTGCAGGAATGAAGCACAGGCCTGTTCGCTTTT